TGCAGTCAGTGATGTGAGGATTTATGAATAGAGAATCAAAGTATACGATGGATATCAAGAAAGCACAGTTTCCCTATCATATGTGCTTGACTGTTTAAATTTAAATATAATCTCAGTTCTCACATTCACAGAAAAATAATCTGTTTGGGGTTTTTAACATGCATTTTCTTAAGTTACGCATGTCCTCAGATTACTGTTGTATTTATATTTTAAACAGATGGTCTGAAATATGAATGGTATTTCACAAATTTAGCATCTGTTTACATCACCTTCAGTCAGCATATCCATTACCCATTGATTTTGACCTGAAGAGTAGGCGAAACAGCATTCACACCTTCACTCATAGTGTGTGTCCTCTGTTTTCATTTTCCTGCCATACAGGTCCTTCAGTTTTATCACAGTGCTGCAGTTCTGGATACTGAAGAGAAATGTTATCACTGGATATGTCTTAAACTGTCCACATTAGTCCTGGTGAATGTGAAAGGTGGATAATAACAGTGCAGTTTTGTCCATCACATTATGTTAAGGATAAAGTAAAGGATAAAGATGATCACAGTTAAAATACTTTTAGAAAAAGAACAATCAAACACTTTTTTGCATGTGTCCGTGTAGCATATTCATTCACACAGTGGCCAATTGTAGCTTTGCTGTTCAGATCAGACTCTTTCTGCAGATGAAATGATGCAAACATGAATCATTGTATGTTTCCTACAGCAAAAGTAGACCTTTATGCAACTTAAGGCCCACTTGAAAAAGACCAGTACACTTCATAGTGGTACTATAGTTCTGAATGTTTGCAATAAATTTGACCCACTTATAGATGACAGATTTCTTCATAAGCAGCTGGAGAAGAGACAGAAAACATGAATAGTAGAGAGTGAGGGATGGCATACAGCACAGGGTCACTGGAATCAAACCAGAGGCTACTGTAACAAAAACCATAGCCCCTGTATGTGGGGCGCACTTTAATTGCTAGACTAAACTGGCACCCCCTTTAGAGCACCTTCAGTGAGAGAAATCTGCTTTGAATTCTGGGTAGACTGAGACCTCACCAAAAACATGGCTTCTGAGTAGATCTAGTCTATTGTGTCCAATTCAGCAGAAAACACTACACTGACAGTTCCATGGACTTTCCTCATGGAATGAGAAGTAAATAGCAACTCTTGGACATCTGGTTATATCACTGCTACTTTTGTGTTGAATTTGCAGGGTTAAGACAAGGAAAGAATTATAGAGCTACAACTCCATCTGGATGAGAAGAATCTGTATTTTGAGATCCACTCTTTTGCTTTCCAAGACTAATCTGCTCTTGTTCTGGTTTGTTTCTACTCTGTCTAATTTTTTAGTTTGTTTCATTTTTTTATCATCTGTTCTGTGTACTCTCATGTTGTGATTGTTTTGCATTTAAGAGTAATCACCTTAATGCAAAACAAATCAAGCTGAACCAGATACTTACAAAAAATCCAGATTAGATTTTATTTAGCGCATAAATTGTCCACAGGGGGGCACCAGGATCAAAGTTCCTCACAGGGACTTAAATTGAATGTTTAATGCTGGACGTTGATCATTTTGTTATTTTACAAAACCCATTATGTTCTCCTTCAGCGGAGCAATTCAAAGGGGAAGAATAAAATATGTACACAGTGTAGACTCTGTAAAAACATGCTGAATTGTTTGACCACTTTGCAAGGGTTCAGTTATGGTGAGCAGGTTATTATGCAAATTTGAATCTCGACAGGGTGAGTAGGACCCTGATGTGAAGCCCAACAGTTAAGAGTGCTAATAGTGACTAATGTGTTTGTCACAGTGTCAACAGGCAGAGGTGAAATGTGTGGGACTGTATATGACATGTGTGACTAGGTTAGTTCTGGCATCTGTTGTTATAAGTTTTTGACCAATCAGAGTAAAGTAAATAACACAGACAGGTAATAATAAGGTTTTAATGTGTTTTTCTTCTTTGGTTTATTTCAAGTTACCTCAAATCTACTTAAAGCTTTTGAACAAAGCAAACTAGAAGTCTTATCGAGATTAAAAAAAAAAAAAAAAAAAAACTGGATTACACAATCAGACAAAATGTCACAGTCCAGATCCTTTTTTTTAAAACTCATTTTTAAGATCTGACCCAATTAATAGCTATGATTCAATCAGACTGCTTTTGAACTACAGGTACTTCTAGTGCTTCATTCATGGCTTTAAAGTCACTCATACCATCTTTGTTTAAGATTTAGAAAAAAATCGGCCCAGACTTAACGTCATTTCATAACGTTGTCTTCATTCAGTCGTCGTAAATGTGTCTCCAAATCCCTCTTCAAACTTCGCACTCACACTTCTACTCAGAGAAACCCCCTCTCACCGTTCATGCTTGCACACTAACAGTGTCTGATAAGTCTGTTGTTCATGTCCTCTTCCTCTCTCTGTTGGCCTTTGACCTCCTGTGATTGTGATGTCATCATTGTGAAACAACTGCCTTGTTTCCCTCGTCAACCTTTGTCATATTGTGCTTCTGAAAGTTTAAAGAAAAAAAAAGATTCTTTTACATATAAAAACAAACCCTGTAAAAATGTTCAAGACAGTTATTTTATATATCTGTTACTTTTTCTTTTTGTAAACTAAACAGCTGGGTTTTCTCGCTCTTTAGCGGTTATCCCACAACTCTCTGTATATTGACAAATAAAGACTTGTTTTAGACTCTACACCATGCCGTTTGTCGTCTGTCTGCACAAGACAAGTGACATTCCTGTGAGTAGGAAACGTCCATAAATAATACACTGCTATTGAATTTGTCAGAAAGCAGCATGCAATCAGTACATGCTGGAAGATGTTTCAAATGTTTACATGATAAGTTTACACAGAGAAGTAGGAGGATGATTTACATGACCTGGCTGAATATCTTCACAACGTCAGCATTCACCGTCCATGAAAAGCCTAAAGTATGATCGGCTTCCTTCCACTGACTAAAGAAACCCCCGACATGCGACAACACTAGTAAAAGATGCACATGATCATATCCTCATTGGCCCGTGTCACTTCACTGACAGGAGGAGTGAGCAAGGGATCATTTCAACCAAGAATCTGATGAACATATATGGATAAATATCACAGTCCTACACACTGTACCTTTAAGAGGACAAAGACAGAAGAAGTGTATGTTTAAAGGAAGGTGTGACAGGGTTCCTACACAGTTGGAATTTCCATACTTTTCCATACCCTACTTTTTAGAATTATTTTTGGAAATACCTACTTTTCTATTTTTAGAAAACAGTATTTTAGAAATGTGGTAATAGTCTGGAAACTCTGCTATTTCTCCATACTTTGTTTCTCATTTACCGCACTTTTTAAAACCAGGAAATTGATTAAAGTACTTCCATTCTTTTCCATACTTGCATAGGAAACCTGTATGAGCAAATCCACTGATTTTCAGGAGGCTTTTTGAGTAAAGGATTTCCCTATCTGATGTTTAGAGACACTTCAGTGGAAGCTGGCGCACTTTGAGCCGTATTCAGATATGAAAAGATCATTTTGACGCCTCACTGGTGAGATGTCCAGGGCACATCCCACCGGTAGGAGAATATGGGGAAGACCCAGGACATGCTGAAGAGACTATGTCGTCAGCTGTCATGGGAACACCTCAGGGTGCCCTTGGAAGTGTTGGATAAAGTGGCCGGGGAGAAGGACGTCTGGACTTTCATGCTTTAGCTGCTGCCCCCACAACCCGATTCTGGATAAGTGTTAGAAGATGAATGATGAAGATGACCTTTAAAAATTATTCAAACAAGACAAGAAAGAAGCACATTCACATAATACAGAAAGCAGCCAACACATTCTTCACGCTCCTCTTCAGTTGAAACTTCATATTCAGGTATTTGAAGTTTTGGCCTCTACAGGTGTAACATTATCATCCAGCCTGTAGGTGCCGCTGTGTGATGTGACGTAGGGATGTTAACAACAAAAAGCCTTTTTTCAATTACTATTTCTTTAAACTACTGTCATTATTTGATTTTCAGGAACTTATCAACTCCAAGTATTTTACATTTACAAGAAAGCTACTGACAAAAGAGCAAGCTGGTTATAAAGATCAGATTAAAATTAGAGAGATATTTTCATTAAAAAGAAACTCAGCCAAAGAGAATGGAAAAGTTTTTTGTGTTTTTAATTCTGCAAGGATTTTTGTGAGTTTTTGTATGTGCTTTCAGCTGTATCTGTCCCTCACATTAATGGCAGGAGCTTTACTCAGCCGTGGGTGTGACGTCAGGCTGAGTGCACTCTCTGACAAAGTGGAACTAGAGAAGAAGCTTAAAGGGTCTTTAAGTTAACAAGGTCTACCATGCCATATTGTTTTCCCCTTCAAAAAATGTTGTAGCGAAAAATTATCTCAGGACAGTCACACAAAATCTCAAACAGAGCCAGGTAAAGCCATCTGCCATGAGAAGAGGGAAAGAAAAATAGGTGGGAGGAGATAAACCACAAATAAAACAGTGATACAAATAAGAAGGAACAAAATACCAACAGATAAAACTAACTTCTTGTAGCATTGCTAAAAATAAAGGTAAAAATGTGACTAAAATTAGCAATGAAAAGTCAGAAAACTTGATACAACTATGGCTGAAACATGATAGTAACAGAGTTCTTTTAGCTGATGGTGGTCTGGTTATTTCACCGCGCTGACCTCTGATCACAGGAGTTTGTTTAATCAGTTCGAAGAACAGCCTGCAAACAGTGTCATTGATTTTTGTTGGGAATATCCCAACAATGAGAAATCAGTTGAATAATTTTAATCTTTTTCAGGAACAGCTTTGAAATAACAAGAACAGTATTTTTGCAGAGCATTATGATGTAAGAAATGAGCATGAGTGGTACAAAAATGATTGAAACCAATGTGACCTGACAATTTATGAAGCAACACCAGCTCACAGTGTTTACCTCAGCACTTTGTTTACACTTGTAGGAACCTAAAATTGAGCAAGATACTTTCCAAAATGTGACACATCCTTGTTTTTTGTACTCATTTTAGCCAACTTCCGAGCATGTCAGCAGCCTGTCGGTAAATCAGTGTAATGTTTACTATTTCTTAACATGTTTGGGGTAATGCCCACAGTAATTATTAACAGGTCCTTTTAGCGAACAGGGTTTCAGCTCTGCTTTGTTCATGTTGTTTTAATTCCTGACAAAATGTGTGTGAGATATCTGCTCCTGGTTTGTTTCCTGGGAGTACTGAAAGGTAAGAGCTCTGCATCCTATCACTTAGACGCACTTTATTTTGTTGAAACTCATTTAATCTGTACTTTCGGTTGCTCTTGTATTCTAGATTCATGTGCGGCTCAGTCTTGTCAAGCTCCAATCTTGAATGGTGGTTTTCTTGTCCCTGAACAAAACACTTATTCAAATCAAGAAAAAATAACCTATGCCTGTGAGTATGGACACAAACCAGTAGTGGAGGGTTGGTGGGCTACAAGCACATGCCAGGACGGGAAATGGATCCCTGAACCACAGTGTATCAGTAAGTGTTCATAAGTAGATTTTTGGATCTCTTAGTTTAAAGTTTGATGTGAAACGTTGTGTACCCTGCTCAGTGATTGTGTATGAAGATTATCTTTGACTTGTCTGGTCTTCTGGGAGTTTTTTTAAGAAGATTAATGTTAGTGTCACCATTATTAGTGTTATTTGTAAAACATAAAAACGTATTTCTCCAAACAGATGAAACAGCCTGTCTTCCACCAACAATCCCTAATGCAGTATATACAACCAGCCCAGACGGCTGGTATGAGGAGGGGGAAAAAATCAGGGTATCATGTGATAAGGGGTATAAACTGATAAACAGGGATGCCACGGCCGTCTGTGTAAATGGAACCTGGTCCTCTATGCCCGTCTGTCGAAGTAAGTCTACCTCAAGATGGAAGAAATATCAGTGTCCACTTACCAGAGTATAAAGCAACAATGAAGCCATCCATCAGACCATTTCCTGTCCTTACTCATGATCTGTTTTATTTTTTGTGTGCACAGAAAGTGATCACTCATGCAGTGAACCTCCACAAGTCCCTCATGCAGTCATTGTTGGTCAGAAATACCACGAGGTGTTTGCTGTAGATTCAATGGTGCAGTATGAATGTGAGAATGGATATACCATGGAAGACGACAGCACAAAAACAGTCTTCTGCATGTCAGGAAACTGGAGTGAACGCCCTGTATGCAGTAAGTAGACAATATGTTAATTCTCCCACAGTAATGATGGCAATAAAGAACAGAGTTATTACAGTTACAGTTATTACAATTACATAGGTAGGTAGGTGTCAAGTGATGAGGGCACATTTAAAAAATATAAATATATATTTTTTTATTATTTTCAATGTGAGGTGCATGCTAGACATTCAAAATAAAACAAAATGTATGTTTTTGAGGAAAATCAGGGCTGCCAAAATCAACACAACACACACAGAAGTTCCTCAAAGGAGCTTTAAATCACTAACATTTCTTACCATGAACCTCAGGGAAGCTGGGACCAGAAAATCAAGTTTCATTCATACAAAGTCAGTTCATAAGCTCTTAAAGGACACTTTCCAATTTGAACAGGGCGAGACTGTGACCTTGCTAATGCATGGATACAGACAGAATATAATAGAAAACACACTTTTTTATATTAATGCTGAAATCAAAACCACATTCTTTCAACAAGGCTGAAATATAGAGCAATAAATATGAATCCTCAAAAATTCACCAATTAAGAATCATGAAAAAAAAAAGAAAAAAAAACAGTAAAATATGCTCAAGTGTATCTGTGAATCCTTTTTTCCTCAGGCAGTAGGATGAGACCAACGACAGGAGATGGACATGGTGGATCCACAGGGGGAGGAGAAGGTGACAGACCCTCGACAGACAGAGAGACTCCGCCTGCAGGAGGAGGTAGGTAACTGTTGTGTTTTCACACGTACACCAGTATCATCGCTGCAGGTACGGCACATGCATCCACGGGGGTAGCTAGATGAGTTAGTCAGCCGTAGTTCAAACTGAAAGTCAGGGGTTTGTGTCCTTGAACCAGACTCCTAACCTCAAACTACCCACCCTGGCTGCCACAGTGATTGGGATTAGATAACACTGATGGGTGCTCCACAGAGCAGCCTCTGCCATCAGTCTGTGAACATGGTTTGAATGGTTGAATGTGGCATGAAATGTAAAATGTACTGTAATGTACTGAGGTTATCTGTACATTGATATTTACATTCTGCATATCTAAAGTCTTTTCTTTATTATTGAGCGGGTACAGGACATGGCTCGGCAGGAGGAGGACACACTACGTCTTCTGGGAGGGCACCCCCGCATGTGGAGAGTAAGTTTTGATCAGGATGTTGATCAGAAAATCTTATGAACCATTTTGGCTGATTTTGGGGGTGTAGAGTCAAATTTAAACTTCAAGTATTGGTTTTGATGTTTGAATAGCTACAGAATAACCTACTACGATGAAATTTAACTCCTTGCTCTTGCTAGAAATTGCACAGTTCATCTTTCTTCAATGAAAAAAAAAAACAAAACACTTAATCAGTGCATCTGCGCCTCAGCCCGCTTGCTCAATTTGTTTATATTTCAGATACAGTTTGGAATAATATTCTATGCACATTATCTTTTCGTTTATCATTCAATCATCATTGTGTATATATTTTATTTTGAATATCATAGTTCACAGTATCTTCATTTTTCCAGAGCCGTTTTTTGTTGTTGTTGTTGTTGTTGTTGTTGTTGTTGTTGTTGTTGTTGTTGTTGTTGTTGTTGTTGTTGTTGTTGCTGCTGTTGCTGTTGCTGTTGTTGTTGCTGCTGCTGCTCGCATTGCCTGGTGCTGTAATACCATGATGTCTCAGTTTGTGATTTATGGAGTTCATTCCTTAACTATGTGTTTACCTGTATTTCTCAGTCAGTCACTGTGGGACTTATCCCACTGTTCCTGAGGGTGACGTTGTGATGACTACTACTTGGTTTTTGAAGTACATATGCAATTATTTTTACAAACTGGAGGGTCCAGAGACGGTGCTGTGTAACAGAGATGGCTCATGGACACGAACACCCATCTGCAGAGGTATTTATAAGACAGATCTGGTACAGCACTGTATGAAGAGAGAAAATATAAAATGATAACTTCTTTTCTTTTGTACAGCTGTCTTCTGTAACATAAACACTGATCAACATTCATGGTTGGTCCCAGTGGGAAATAAACTTTTACAACATGGTGAGACTGAAGAGTTTAAATGTGTAAAACTGAAACGCTGGTGGACTGACCATTACTCTGTGGCCAAATGCTTAAATGGACGATATACACTTCAGAAATGTAAGTATATCTTTGAGGGCTTTTTAATACTCATAAGCATTAAAAAAAAAAAATTAAAGGACACAGACTTTCCAAGTGTATTTTCTTAACTGTCATTAGATAAAATAAATGATATGAGTGCTGACCGTCTTCCAATCTCAACGACATGTTTTATATATCAGAACAAGATAATGAAGACGACAAAATCATCAACTTTAGTATGATCCTTTAGCACACCCATTTAAAGATTCTCTCAGCATCAGCTCTCAAACATGTAACCACTAACCACTCCTTAGATATATCTATTTTATGAACTTTGCTCATTTGCTCTCAGAGACGAGCAGATTGATTCTCCGCTTGTGTCTGTTCATCATAGATAAATCTCCAAGCAGCAGCAGGTTAATTCATCTTAGCACAGACACACAGGCTCAGTCTTAGTCTGACTCAGTCTAAAGTTACCAAAATCAACATACCAACACCTTGACTGCTCAAAACAAGCATGTCCAGGAGTCTCATTTGTTCAATCCATTCAAAAGGTGACATATTTGACCACAAAGGTCGTTATCTGAACTATTTCCTGTCTGGAAGTCTGGGGTGTACGATAACCTCACAATATTGACAAAACTCCTCAAGGTATCAATTTTTTTTTCAGGAATCATCATTAACAGTTAAGAACAATGCAGCGTCTTTGGCTTTACTATTCAAGGATCCTATGTTCATGTCTCAGTCATGACTGTATAAAGTGTTGACCATAGACTGTATAAACTGCATAGCAGCCTCTGTCAACACTGTATGAATGTTATGTGAATGAGTGAACCTGACATGTAATATAAAAGCATGTCATAAAAAGCACTTGGAGTGGTCAGACGATTAGACAAAATGCTTTTGTATTTGTATTTGTTTATTTAGCACAGATTAAAAACAGTGCAAGGAGGGAACAAAGCTGATAGGCTTATACAAAGTTCCACTCCCGTCAGGGCAGAGAAAGCATAAGGTGCAGACAACTAAGTAACATAGACAGGTTACATATGTACAGTGTTATATGCTGTGCACAATTGTCCATGCTCACTGCTGTGTCTGTTTTCAGGTTGTAACAGGGTAGAGCTAACACTGGTGAGTGTTACTCCTGCATCATTTGGTTGAAACAGATTGGATTTATGCTGCATGTAAATGTTCTGAATGACGTTTTACATCTGCTTGGTTAACTTACATTTGATGTTCTGCATTTACTCTCCATAAATTTTGATTACACATTCAGTCATTGATTGTTATTTCTAAACCTTGTGTCTTGTATCCAGAATACATGCTAAGGCTGAATCACACATGGGAAGACTCTGCTGCCTCTGGATCTGCTCTTCACTGACCATAATGCCACTTTGGAGAAATAAGCAAATTACGAATAAAGGCGTTGATGATGGCTGTTCATGTCAATCTGCAAATACATAGATGATGGAGGATCAGTATTGAAGTAGACAAGAATAACATATTAATATGATGAGATTTGATATACATGCCTGAATAAAGTCTTCATCTCAGATCTAATTTAAAACTTTTGTCAAGTTTCTTAAAACTTTGTGGGGTCACAATGCCAAAAAAATTAAAAACGTCTGTGTTTCTTAAAGCTGGTTTTATTGATAGTTGATACAAGATTTTTTTTTTAAAACTGTCTCAGAATGAGCAGAACTAAACACTTAATGTTGTGCTATTGCCAAACAGTAAAAATCCATCAGCAAAACAACCTTAAAATGTAACAGGTGTCTTTAAATGTGTTGTCTGAACCGTTCCAGTTTACAGTTTTGTTTAAAGTCTTGTCTTTCTTAAAACAGATTGTTATGATAAAAAAATCTGAGGACACATATTATGCTTTAATGATAAAGTTCATGAATCCATAAATAAGTACCATAACTTCTATCACTTAATTGTGCTTGAGTTTGTTTCAATGAAAAAAAGAAACCTTTTTGGTTTTTTACAACTTGGCAACTTCTCAGCCAGCTTTTGCAAAGACTGTACTGTAGCAAGTCTTTATTTCTCACAATCTTATTAACATTTATCAATATATGTTTATTTTATAAAACCATGTTATTGTTTTATCCAGTTTATTGTAATTTACTCAAACCAAAAACTGAGATGCCAAGTTACATAAATTCACTAATTAAGGAATCAAAATTGCCATTGATAAATTTTCTTTAAGTCAGCTGATCCCTTGAAAACTGTAAATGCTTCTAAAAATATATAACAGGATGCAAAAACTAGGCTTGAGGCATTGAAACCTCTAATCATCAGCGAAACCCGGCGACAGGATGGGGTTAAAACACAAAGAACATCATCAAACAGATAAAGTATATATGGTACGGGAATAAAAGCAGCCTGGGTTCGTGCCATTTTGTAAACGTGCTTGCCCCTTTCATTTGAGTTTGTACGTTGCCTCCACACCTATTTTTAAAAATTACCTGAAATTCATTTTATACTGAAAAGATATTTTACAGGTTTGTTCTTAAGTATTTACACAGGGAAAAAACCTACAGTTTTCTTAATTTTACATTACACTCAAGCACATTTATTTGGTTGCAATAGAGAAAAAAGTTCCCTTTAACTTAGTCAGATTTCTAATGAGGTTAAAATTAACTAAGTGCAGTTTTGTGTTTTTTTTATTTCACCTCTAAACAGAAAGAACAGATACTGCAGCTCTTGCTTTTCTCTGTGACCTTATATGACCCTGGTCTGTGACCCTGTTTTCTGGCTGTGGAGCATCAGTGTGAGTGTTCAGCATTGGAGATATTCTGCACAGATGAAGCTGAATCAAGTCCTAGCAGTGTGCCCAGATAGGACTGCTCTCTGGGGTCCAACATCTGATCGGGTCTCACAGGGTGCACAATGTTAGCTGGCTGCGGGGTGAGGGTGTACTTCTCTAAGAAGGCCAGGTCTGAGGACGCCTGGTATCCAGAGTTCTGCTGCTGTCCTTGAGCCTGCATGCTCACAGCGCTATGAGTCTGGGTGGAAAGAGATGAGGCTCTGTGAGTATTCAGGGTGCCCTGTGATCCTCCTGCCATCTGGACAGGAACTAAAGTGACCGGCACGCACACATTGGCAGGAGGAGGGGAGCTCAGTGATGACTTTGGTTCAGCGCTGTATGACTTAGATGACTCCTCAAAGGGGACAGGGACTATTTTGATCTCCTCCATTGTGCTGATTTGCTGTTCAGTGAACCGGGTGCTGTGCACGTGGTCCACATGGTACTTGAGTTTGTCTTTTCTTTTGAAGGTGGCGCTGCAGTGCGGACAGTTAAACGGCCGAGCATCTGAGTGAATCACCATGTGCTTCGTCAACGTCTTCTTGATACGAAAGGTCTGGTTGCACTCGGGACACCTGTGGGGTTTCTCTCCTGACACATGAACACAAGAGATGATTAGTGTCTGAGGGAGAATAACATCCTCTGTTGTGCTACTCTCTGAACTGTTTTCTGAACCCTGAAAAGTATAACAAGCTTGACAAGTGCAGCAGCAGAAACTGAACCAACAATTTTCAAAACTCAACGTTGTTTGCCTCTTAACAAACTATGCAGGGCTTGACACTAACTTTTTTCACAAGGAGCGAATGTGTGTCTAAGTTGAAAAAGTAAGGAGCACACAAAGAAATTTAGGAGCACAATAAAAATTGATTAAGTACTATGTGTCTTATTAGTCGACATAAGTACTATTATTTGAAATCAATTTTAGGTCTTTTGGTCACATGATATGAAAGTTATAAAAGGAAAACAGCCTTTTTTGAGACAATCAACCGGTAATTTATTGATGGTCCCTTATTCAACACCCACAGTGATAATGCCGAGTAGATTTAACCATGCTGCTGTTGATATTCCCAGTTAGGGTGGGTGAGAAGACACCGGTAGATCTGCAGTGAATGTCTGTCGGAAATCCAACTTAAAACTAACTTCACTGCAGTATTTACATGAAAACATATTTGTTGCCTCGGCTGATTCTTTTTATGCTCACATGTGCCCCTAGATACATTTTACAATTCGCACACATCTATTTTTCGTCACAAATGTGAGTGAAATGGTTGCACTGTCGAGCCCTGCTATGTCCGTGTTTTTTTCCTCCCCTCATAAAGGGAAGGATATGGTCAGCAACATTACCCAGGTAGGCTGTGGTTTCCAAACGATGCTCAGTTGCTGCTAAAGAGCTGAAAGTGTGCAGAGAAAATATCCCCCACACCATTACACAACCAGCAGCAGCCTGAACAGCTGATACAAGGCAGGACGGATCCATGCTTTCATGTTGTTAAAGCCCCACCATCTGAATGTTACAGTTGAATTTCAGACTCAGCAGACCAGGCAAAGTTTTTCCAATCTCCTACTGTCCAAATTTGGTAAACCTGTGTGAACTGTAACCCTAGTTTCCTGTTCTTGAGTGATCGTCTGCTGCTGTAGCTCATCTACTTTGAGGCTCATGTTGTGAGTTCACAGATGGTATTCTGCATACTTTGGTTGTAAAAGGTAGTTAGTTATCTGTCTCACTGTTACCTTTCTAACATCTCGAACCCGTCTGTCCATTCTCCTCTGACCTAAAACATCAAGAAGCATTTTTGTCCACACAACTTTCGCACACTGGATATTTTCTCTTTTTCAGACCATTCTCTGAAAATGTAAGAGATGGTTCTGCGTGAAAATCCCAGTAGATCAGCAGTAATATGTTGTTACTGGATCAATATATAAAGTGCAAAGTGGTGATGATAGCAGGGCTTCACCAATATGCACTGCTGGTCAGTCACATTATAAAAAGTGCTTTAGTAAAAGAGAGGTGTGACAATCTCAACCATCAGACCATGTGAAGATGCTCCTGCAACAACCAATGAGGGGAGAGAAATGAACACTTTGAGGACTTTGAATACTGAGGGGTCTGTTTTCTCTCTCGGAGTACTTTGGTCTCCCTTTCTCATTGATTAAAGGCAACAGCAAGAACTCTTAACACCTACACTTTTATCACCACCAGTGCTACATACTAATAAAAGTACATGACGCAAAAGAATCTCTGCCCTGCTATCAAGCACTCCCTGCTGGGTGCTTTCAGAACAGCACTTTCAGAAAAAAATGCATTGTACTGCTGCTGCTATTGCAAGTCAGTTTCCTTACCTGAGTGGGTCCGGAAGTGCATTTCTAGACTGGACTTTCCTTTGAATTCTTTCTTGCAGACCTCACACTGATGAACAGCAGTTTTATATCTGTAAAAAAAAACAGAAAAAAAACAAAGAGAGCGCATGCTGAACAGTGAAGCAGCAAATTAAAACTCCTCAATGACAGACAAATCAATACCTTTATAAATATATGGTAACTTACTTCTGCCAAACTTTCTCTCCTAAATGAATGCTTTTGTAGTGAACTGTCAGATGATCGTGGCGTCTGAAGCATTTGCCACATTCTTCACACTGGTGTGCCTTCTCACCTGTAAAGAAACAGCTCTGGTTAGGAATATTCAGAGGGAAAAATAAGTGACTTTTCTTACTTTGCTTTATTGAATTTCAGCAAAGACCATAGAGATAGAAAGACAGTCGCAGGGGAACAGTATTGTTGTGTGTTTTGTACTATACCAGAGTGTATTTTCTGATGTTTGGTCAGGTGATCATGGCGTATAAAGGTTTTCCCACATTCGTCACACTCATAGCGCTTGTCATCATGGTGGACTCTGAGGTGAAGCCTGTCCAAAGGTGCAATCATTTTAGGAAACTTTGCATTGAAGATGTTCCAGTCACCAACACCGAGCGCTTTCCTCACCTGTAGGAGCTCCCATGACGGAAACTTTGGCCACAAATACTGCAGAGGTGAGGCTTCTCCCCACTGTGGATCCTCATGTGCTCTTTCAGGGTCGTCCTTGGAGAGGAAAACAGCCAATAAAACAGCACAGGATTAAATGCAGCTCAGGGGGTGAAATGAAAATTTAGTAACCCATAATATACCGCATATGGTTACAAGCCAAAACAACATACTGCTGTTAAAGACAGGAAATGAAGACATACCTTTCTCTCACAGATTTCCCACAAACAAAGCAGGTCCACTTTCTTTTGCCTCCATGTGTGCACTCAATGTGCCGCTTCCTGTTGCCTGTGTCATTAAACTGTCGGCCACAAATCTCACAGGGAAATGGACCTAATATTTTAAAAGAAATGCATCAGTTATTACAGAAACAGCTGCTGTTATACACTGACAACTACCAGTTTAAGTTTGTAAACGAGTGTTAACATCCCACACAGGTCTTGCGCTGACATACTTCATTCTTAAATATTTAAGCCTTCAGTTGAGAAGAAGTAATAGTTTTTCCATCATTGTCTTTAAAGGGTGCATTTCTACTACACATTTCTTACCCAGGTGGTACTTTTCTTGGTGTTTTAGCCTGGCAAACCTGGACTTGAAATATTCATCACAGAAGGAGCACTTAAAAGGCCGGTCCTGGGTGTGCAGGATCATGTGCTCCTGCAGGTGAGGTCTGCGGCTGAAGGTCTTCAGACATATCTGTTTCAGAGGATTAAAAGGTTAGCGACCTTTTTTTTTTTTTTTTAAATGATCATATCTTTTTCTACACTGAAGATTATCTTCAGTTATCAGGCACAAACATAGACATGAGTAAAATCGGGACTAAAACAGATTCTTACAGCACATTTCCAGCCCTCGCTCTTCCTCTTCCTCTTGGTGAGGAACTCTTGGATGTGGTCTGGATGAAACCTGGCAGGACAATACAGTCAAAATGAGACTCAACCACTACTTCTACAGCCTATTGTTACTGGTGTTGGTATTATTTTACTTCCCATATTACAGCTGATATGACTAAAAATTATACTAATGAAATGTGAGATCAACAAGTGTTTATCTCCAACTGTTGCTACAAAATAAATGACTTTTCACTAACTGAAGGTTTATTCTTTTAATATAATTAATAAGTGTGAGATGCCAAACTGCTAAACAAAGATAGATAAGTGAGTCTCTGATTAAAAACAGAGAACATTTTAGACCTTTAAGGTTATAAAAATTAGCTTTTTAGGAAAACTTTCAAACGTGCTGAATCAGTATGTCAAGTACAAATACAAAAAAAAAAAAGAGTGCTAAAGAAGAAACTCACAGTAGGTAATATTTAAATTTTAAGTGTTCAAAAGGGACGCCAAAAACAAACAAAACAACAAAAGTAAAAGTAAATATATGAAGATTAAACTGTTCAGTTCTGTTAGTTTTAATCTTTGAGAATAAGTTATTTCATTCGGTCTCATCGCTGAGTTTGTGTGTAAACAAGGCTCGTAAATTGCACAGACCTTTCCTTTTTAGAAAACTGAGAGACATCTCACCTCCTGACATGCTTGGCGAGAGTTTTCTTGCTGGCATGCAGCTTGCTACAAAACGGGCATTTGTGCTCCTTTTTCTGGAACGGAGCATCGCTGGCATGTTTCTTTCTGTGTACCGTCAGGTTTGACTTGGTAGAGTAACGCTGGAGACAGATGTCACACTGGAACGGTTTCTCTCCTGTGTGCACTCTGGTGTGACTCTCATACTTTCCTAGTTATGCAGAAAAATGCAAATCAGTAACAAAGTTGTATCAGGAACACATCTAGGTCACTGTCTTTGAATAATCAATGAACATGCAACAGCTTATCCTTGAGGATAAAATAGAGCTGTGCTGGTATCTTCATATATCTGGGTTGTGATTGATTGTAATGGGTGTATTCCTTTAAGATTTTCTAACACTTTTCCAGCCAGACTATGAAATAGTTCACTGAAACTCATATAAATGTACAGTTAAAGCAGTCATTAGTTTGAGATTTTTTCTTTTTACAATTTCGACATTCTCTTTTTTAAGAAAACACAGTAACTCTAAATCTATAATGGAGACGATTGAAGTTCAACATCTATAAAAACTGTTTGATGTGATATAACTGCCCCTCCGCAGAGCCAATCTATATATTATAAAGACCCCACTCAAAAGTTCCCACCTGCACGGTCAAAAGTCTTGTCACATTTAGGGCACTTCAGAGTCTTCTTACTGGCCGTCTGGATGATGACTGGAGCAAGACCCTCAGGGTATACCGGACCCTGAGTGGAGCTTCCTGCTGTTGACACTCCCACCTCCTGCACCGTCTGGTTTTCTGCTACATCTGAACCCTGCCCTTGCATCTTCTCTGCTGAGAAAACTCCAACACCTTTGCCAAGAGGGACCACGTCCTCACTCGTGTCACCTTCCTCTTCTCCTTCCTCCTCGTCCAGAACATCCCCAGAAATTGGAGTAGGCGTCCCCAGTTTTGGGATTTTGTTTCTCACAACCATTTTTCCTACTTCAAAACCTATTTCTTCATCTTGCCTTCTTACTGATTCATTTTTTAGTTTTTCTTCAGGGGTCTCTTTCACATTTTCTTTCTGATACTTTGTAGGCGTTCTCCTCCTGCGAGCTGATCGTCGTGTGGTAGCAATCTTCTGACCGGCCATCTTTTCTGCCTCAGTTGAGGTTTCCTTCAGTACATCAGTGTGACTCTCGTCTAAATTGTTAGGCAGCAAGTTTGAAGCACTGAAGTGATGACTGGGAGGACTCTGAGTGTCTACGTCAAATGCTGGCGAGTCATTAGGGATCATTTCCAGCACAGGAGATTGTCTTATCTCATCCTGTACCTGGATCACCCGCACTGAGTTGCTGTTCCCTTTCTCGCACAGTAGCTTCAGTATGTCCATCATGTCCAGAAATCGAGCCGCTTCTATGAGAGCTGGAAGCTCCCTCTCAGCAACCACACACTCTGATGTATACAATAAACCAAGTAAGTGTTGGAAAACAGAGTCCTCCACATGGTCCAGAGTCACATGGGCTGTTGCAGGGTTCTTGCAAAGCTCAGCATGAAAGTAGCTGCTCCCATGGGCCAACACCACCTTGTGGGCGCTGTAGAGCGTCCCACCCACAGACACAGACACATCACAAAACCTCTGTCGGGTACGGTCCTCCTCCAAGAACTTAAGGAGGTTGTGACTATGTCTTGGCATAGCCAGGTGTCTGATTTGTAAAGTGGATTCTGGTAGAGTTTCAGAGGCTGGTGGTGGGGTATTTGTTGCCAGGACAGTGCCTGGCTCTGTTGCACACTCATTGCTGGCATTGACCTGCTTGCTGCGTTTGGTTTGCAGGGGGTGGCAAGGCTTTTTCTTCATTGGTGTGTCTGTTTGGCCACCATGGATCTAATAAATAGAAAAGAAAACAACATCTCCACTTGTGAAAACTCAAGCATGTGACGAGTGTTCATCACATAGTTGTTTGATAGGACTACAATAACCAAGAGGTTTGGTAATGGACTGGAACTGGACTAAAATAGATTACTAGGTTAATATGCTATAGTTTCACATTACATCAATGGCAATAATAACCATTAATAACACTTACAAGATAAAGGAATAGGGGTGCAGAGTCATACATAGGAAAACAGTGCATGACACTGATTAGTCATAACAAAATGATATAATATATGATAACACCTTTGTAATCTAATCCAATAAAACAGCCCCACATTAGGCTCCAAAGAAAGCTTTGTTTTGTTGGTATGATCAGTCAAGTGATAACTGTACATTCATAATCAACGCTACACTGTTGTCAGTTACGTTAAAAGCTGTTTTTTTATCATTTGTCATCAACAAACATAAGAGATCAAAATATTAGGAACACCTTTCAATGTAATGCAGTCCAGTCCTCCACCGACACCAACTACAACTTTAAAAATGTTCACCTGTCTGACCATGAAAATGAAGAAGTTTAGTAGAGCTGCTGTATTGGGTTGTATTTAACTGCCCAGCTGTTCATAATGGTATGGCTGGTGAATGTATGTATTCCGTTTGGTAAATTGTAGCATATGGCAAAATAACCATATGATAGGCTAAACATGATGCACCCAATGAGGATCGTAGCTATTACAGAAACACGGCACCGAGCTTGTAACCGTGTTGATAGTCTGGAGAGTATGACTGTTGTTCCTGCAGATTCGCTCTCCACCTCAAGGACCCCCACCATTATGTTAGCTGACTGACGAGCGGCCCCCCTCTGAGGAGAGTGTCGACAAACGACCCGTAAAGCAACTATGGCGATGCATATTTGTATCGAGGCATTGTTTCGAAAATCTTACCTTTAAGAAACTTGAGTTTTAAATGCACCCCATAATTCAGCCGACCTAAGTAATGTGTAATAAAGACGAAGCAACATTAATTTCCTACATATTCGTGACGCCCATCCTCATCATCCTACCAAAAATGTCGGACAACGTAACAAAACGAGCACCCATTGGCTGTTTGAGCATTTAGCCGTTTCATCTCTTGTTTGCAAAACTTTGGGTAGAAACACTCTCAAATACACTAGTTCATCTTTAAAACGAGTAAATATTCCCAAATTTGTTGGTATATTATGTCTGCAATCCATGAAAAGTCAAACTAAAGGAATAGGACGTATGCCATGGCAGCGACATACGGTTCACGCGAGGTTTCACGAAAGCAGTGCATTATGGGTAATGAAGTATGTGAGCTGTGCTGCTGCTGTGGTTCTTCTAAAACTGATTCTTTATAGATAGATAGATAGATAGATAGATAGATAGATAGATAGATAGATCATCTGTGACGGAAATTGTACAACCATCTCTTATCACTCATATGTTTAAAGTAAACCGGAAGTTACCAGATAACCAAGATAGGTCTAACTTGATTCCTAATGACTGTAATTATAAACTTAGACCGCTAGAGGGCGCACGAGGCCGAAGTTAGAGCCAATTCACAGTTTTCTGCCATTACAGGCTGTTGAGTGGTTTTTGCTATTTTAGAGTAAATGTTAAAAAGGCTTCTCCACAAAATAAGTGTCTGATGCTAGCTTGAACTCTTAAAAATTAACTTAAAGTTTTCCTCTTCTAAACACTAAACCTGATATCCTGCACATTGAAGATGTTTTCAGTTTGTGATCTGGCCTATTTCAGTCAACTCATTTACATTTCTTACAAGATTTTATCGTAGTAGTTTGTAACACTCATACTTATTTTTGTTGAAAGTAAAATTCACATGGTGTACTGTAGAGAAATTCCCCATCTCACCTTTCAACACAGTTTATTTTGAAGAAATGTTGTTAGATAATTGATATTTTGGTTCAAAATTCACGGTCTGTGGAAAAAAAATAAAAAAACATATTCCAGGGGTGGTGTTGGTCTATTGAACATGTGAGGATGGAGTGCACAGTGGATACCAAAAGCTATTTCACAGGTATCATTGCTGTGTGGTCTGAACAGGTTTGATGGATGGATACAAATGATTTTATATCATTAATGCACTGATCCATCCGGTCAAATAAACAACTCAGATTTGGTTAGGTATGCACTTGGTTTCTTTGTCTCCTGCTGAGGTTTGGAAGGAAACAGGGAGACTGAGGCCTACAGGGTGGAGTTTTATAAGGTCGAGTGGGTTTGGTATAGGCAAGATTGATAGGAAGCCAGTTGGATACAGGGGGTCTGCCATGTCAGAGGATGCAAAACCAATTGGTTTAGAGTGCATCATACCGTCTATCTCTACCAGTGCTGTGTGCAAAACTTCCTCAGCCACAGTCTGCTGCCCACTGTAACTCTGAGAGCAGCTTTAATGGTCCTTTTTTCCCCTGTTTTCTTGAACAATTTATCTTAAATTATCACTGTGTATGTGTAGGTGAGTGAGGGTAAGTGTGTGTCTTTGTGTGTGTGTGGGTCCATGGATGGGTGTGTGGGTGGGGCTTTGTTGTTGTTTAATTGTTGTTTTTAGCCTCTGTGAGGCACTTCTGAACTACATTTTTTTTGTCTGAGAAGTGCCATACAAATAAAGTTGAATTTGAATGTGCTTCCTTTTCCCACATTTCTATGAGCCATTTCTAAAGAGGTTTACAAAAGACCCACAACAAAATCCAAAGAACCTCACTTGGCATCACTTGCCAGATGGTAGTTGGAAGTGTCAAGTTAACATTTTGAGAATAAAAGCCCAAAGGATTGTAAAATTCAGATGAAATTCAGGGTTTTCACATGCCACTTAGCGATTAAAAAAACTCCAGCATTTACACGGGCACACAATCTGCCTTCAGCCACCCAAATCTCCATTTTTCTCTGTTTACATCCAAATGTGCTAACAGAGTTTTTAAAAAGTATCTTTTCCAGGGGCGAATCCTCTGTTTGCATCCAAACGAAGGGTGCAAATGATGGTTAATGTCTTTTGTTTTTAAAAATAACCGGGTACGTACAAACAGGACCCAAGTTTGAATAAATATCTAAAGTAAAAAATATGCAGAAAGAAAACCAGAGTGCTTCTCATTAAGTTAGCGTAACTTAGTACATATAACTATTCAGTGGTATGAAAAAGTGTTTGTCCCCTTCCTGATTTCTTTTCTTTTTTTTCCTACGTTTGTCACACCTAAATGTTTCAGATCTTCAAACAAATCTAAGTGAACACAAAATCCAGTTTTTAAAAAAGGTTTTTACCATTAGAGGAGAAAAAAAATCTGAACTAATAGGGATTTCCTTCCCTGTTAAAATATAACTGGTTTTTCACACCTGAGTTCAATGTAGCCACACCCAGGCCTGATTACTGCCACACCTGTTCTCAGTCAAGAAATCCATTAAATAGGACCTGCCTGACAACAAAGTGAAGTAGACCAAAAGATCCTCAAAAGCTAGACATCATGCTGAGATCTAAAAGAAATTCAGGAACAAATGGGAGAAAGAAATTAAAATCTATCAGTCTGGAAAAGGTTATGAAGCCATTTCTAAAGCACAACAACTACTCATCCAAGAGGTCACAAAACAACAACAAAAACATCCAAAGACCTGCAGACCTCACTTTCCTCAGTTAAAGTCAGTGTTCATGACTACACCATAAGAGACTCTGGGCAAAACTTTCTAACCTACTGTGCATGTTATCAAAATAAAAAACTGACCTCCAGAGAAAAGTTTTTGATTCCATTTAAACAAAACTTTATTTAAAAACAGAGTCAAGTTGACAAGTTTTACCAAACACACGGTATTTCACTGTCAGAGAGTTATTGACTCAGACAAAATATGTGAAAAGTTAGTTATATGTGTAATACAAATGCAAAAAAACATGGAGCAGAGAGAGGAATAAAGCATGACAGAAAAATGAACAAAATAAAGACAAAGCAATATGAGCAAAATAGAATATGTGCATCCAAAAAGATGACATTTAAGACAAGCTTTGTGTACAGAGTGAGTTTGGTGGAGGTAGAGATGAAAAATCAGCTGGGGAAAAATATTGAAGGAAAAAAAACCCCAGTGGATAAAAAGCTCTCTACATGCTGTCACAGTTTCAGCCTCCATTTAACAAAGTTTAAGCCATAAATGAAGCTCAGATAAAACATTTAGTTTTACAAATATAATGAGAAATCAAATTCAGTACAACACAAAAACCACCTGGTTACAATTGTAAGAAGACTCGACGAGCTGTAGATCTTACAGGTTTGCACCAAAGAAACTCAAATGTTAGCAAGTTTTAACAACACATCATCCGGTCAAACAGATGAATAATTATAACAGATTCATCAGTAAAGAACTATCCTCTATGACCCTTGTGTCACAGACAGGTCATCCATCTTCATCACTGGGTCCTCAGTCGAGACTCGAGTATCCTCCTGTAAATGAAGAAAACTGTCATGAGTGAATATTCTGTCTCATTTTCATTTAGCTTTCTATCAGTCAGAAAAGGTCTCAGTAATAATCCTATAATGTCAATTATACCGATAATGTCAGCGATATAAAGGTGGAGGAGATCTATAAAGTGACAGTGACAAAGCAAAGCTTGCACTCTTCATGGGTTGTGGGGGTTTATCTGTTCCCATCGAGTAAAAACATCCAACTATCATCATCTTAATGGACTCATCTGTTAGAAGGATTTAAGAAACCTGCTCATGTGTGCTCCTCAAAGTAGAGCCTGAAAGAGAGAGGCGCACTCACCATGTCCTGAGTAAGGGTTTTCTGGACGAAGTTGAAGGTCTACGGGCTCACAGTGAGACAGGAAGTCCAGCTGCAGGGTGGTGACTACAGAAGGCAAACAGACAGGGATCAGATCCAGTTAGTGGACTGTTTACATCAATTTATCACCATTAAACTTTGACTCATTATCTCTGTTTTATGTACCGTATTCTCTGGGATGGTGCCCACTGCATCTGGTAGAGTCCAATGGTGTCAAGAGGCAGGTTTCTGTGCTGGTGCAGACTTCAGTTAAGGGGTCCAGAATGAAGAAGATCCGTCCCTCAAAGAGGGCAAAGCACTGGTGTTTGGGAGAGATTAAAATTGGCAAAGGTTAGGAAATCTGGATGCATCAGATAAAACTGCTGTACCAGGTTTCTTTTGTAGGTGGTGGAATCTGTACTCCATGCTCACCTGTAACCCAGTATGCAGGGGCTCAGAGTCCAGCAGGTGATGGGGTCTGCCAGGGTCTTCTTGGATGTAGACTCTGTAATAACACAAGATAGATTTTGGAGAAGCAGAAAGATGGGTCACTACATTGGAAACAGACTTAAAAGATTCAACAGACAGATTTAAAATCAAGTTTCTCTTGGGCGTCTACAAAGCTGGAGTTTTTGGACCTCAGTGAAAACAACTACAAGAACTTTCTCAAAATCATAAAAAGAGAACTTCAGAAACCTTCAGCTTGACGGCGACTCTTAAAAACTTCCCGGTCTGGATGGAGGAGCAGCTCATCTAAGTGGGGCAGCATCAGATCCTCCCAGAACCTGGTGGTGGTCAGCACATCCAACGCCACAGCTCAACACCTCCGTCATGTTTAGGGGAAAAGCAGAGACATACATGTGCAGCCAAAAGGGAGGCAGAAAAACCTCGTACAGAATAACAGGACACAAAAAAACACAAGTAGATCTCAGATTTTCACAGAGACTGGAGGGTCAAAAAGAAACAAAACAACAACAAAAAAAGAAAACCCCACAAACAAACAAACAAGAAAACATTTTATATTTTTACAGAGACTGGAGGGTCAAAAAGAGAGAAACAAACAAAAATAAAAACCCCTCAAAAAAACAAAGACATTTTATGGTAACAGTTCATTGTCCCCCTCATGTTAGTTGAAGCTGTAGGAGACGGTGAGGCCTGAAGTTGTAGTTGATGTTGAGGTTGTCCTTGTTGAGGTGGTTTCCTTTTGCAGAACTGAGTGAACTCTGCTGATTTGTTGTTTCCTTAAGAGTTGTTGTTTTGCTTTTTGCGTTTTGGATTTTGTTTTTTGTTTTTTTACTGGTGGGCTCAGCAAGTATTTGGTAAAACTTGCAACTGACATTTTTGCAGTTTTTTGTGTCAACCAAGTTTCATGAAAACAGAAATAACCTTTTTAAAGTCTTAAAACCCTTTTTAACTTTGAATGATGCTGAACCATTCTCTGGTTGGTTGTGAATTTTCTTTTTTGGTTTGGTTTTTATTTAGTGTTTTTAGCATTTCTTGATTTTTTTGACTGTTATTGTTGTTAAGCTTTTGAGTTAAAACCACCTTTTGTACCTTGTTGGTGGTTTTCCCTTTTGTCATTGAAAGCACCATCTAAACCTTGTATTACCATTGTGTCCCTGTGGGCACCATTTAAACCTTGTTGATTTGCCCTTTTGTCATTGAAAGCACCATTTAAACCTCGTTTGTGTTACCATCATGTCCCTGAAAGAACCTCATGAACCATGTTGTCTGTTTTGATAATGTCTTTTGAAAGCATCGTTGTGAACCTTGTTGGTTTGTGGTTGTGTGGCTGAAAACACTTTTTAAACCTTGCTTTTGGTTTGATTGTTGTGTTTTTGATCGTTGAACCTTGTGTTGTTGCATCTTTGGGAACACTGACCCGGCCTTACATGTTATCAACATAAAAACAGGCAAAGATCGAGCTCAAGTGGGCCTTAACTTTGGGAAAACAGCTGAAGCACACCCACGTCACCTTGCGCCTTTGTGAAAACGATTAATGATCAGAGAAAAGTTGTTTCTGGAGTTGAAGCATTCAGACTTTTGGGTGACAATAGGAGAGTGTGTTAAGTGGTGTTCCCTGTCTCATCTTACCTGCAGCACAAGGATGCCTGACTCCATCTCTTTAGCGGTGATCTAGATCCTTCCTGAAGACGTTGGTGGTTGCCAGGTTCAACACTGAAGATGCTCACTTCTGTGATGGTTGGGGAAAAGGAGAGAGACACACATACAAATGTGTAAGATACTCGACTTAAAAACAGTGAAGGTGAGGTGCAGCATTAGAAAATCTGTTTGAAACTGAACATGGATGAAGTTATCGGAATGCAGGACCTGGTTTCTAACATGCTTTCTTGTGGTTACTTTGGTGAAAACATAACGTCAAAAAGTTCATCTTACCTTCAACAAGATAACCACCCTTGGATTTCCCAGACGGAACAGGAAGGCGGCACTTTGAGTTTCTGCAGCAACAGTTCCCCCAGGAAAAGAGTGGTCACCTCGTCAGACCTGCTTATGTTCGGAGGAAAGCAGACGTACAAGTGCACCCAAAGAAACATGGCCAAACATACAGCAAATAAAATAAGCTAAAAACAAAAAAAACAAAAAAATTGTACAACACATGCAGATCATGACAAGCACAGTTCAAGGATTCCAATTCAGAGATTCAAAAGGTTCACAAAAATACAAAGAATAAATAAAAATAAGAAAAACTACAGTTTTAACAAAAACAGTTGGAGGATCTACATCGTTTGTTTATTGTCCTCGTTCTGTTTAGTGTTGACAGTTACATCTGATTGAAACAATGTGCAAACGTTGCTGTCTTGTCATTGTTTCCGTTGGATCCTTTGGAAGCACTTTGGCGGTTGTTGCGATGTTGGTGGTTTTGAAACTTAGTTTTGGTTGATAGTGATTTTGCTGAAGTTGCTTTGACAGACCTTTTGAGAGCAGACTTTGAACATACCGTCTTTGCTTGTTTAAGAAACAGTTTTTTAAGCACCTTTTAGACCTTGTGTTTTGGGTTTAAGATCAAGGCCTTGGAAGACCTTTTAAAATTTTTTTGGGGTTTGAGGTAAAGTATTTGAAAGCACCTTTTTGAAGCTTTTTTGGTTCGAGACTAAGCCTTTGAAAACACCTTAAAAAAATGTTTAAAATTAAATCTTTGAAAGCACCTTTTAAACCTTTTTGTTTGTTTGTGATCAATCCTTGAAAAACAACTTTTGAGCCCTTTTTTGTTTCAGTACAAGTCTTTGAAAGCACCTTTTTTCGAAGCCTTTTTTTGAGAACAGGTCTTTGAAAGCACCTGTAGAACCTTGTTTCTGGGTTTGAGATCAGGATTTGAAAGCACCTTTTGAACCTATTTTGGTTTTTGGTTTGAGATCAAGTTTTTGAAAAGCACCTTTTTTTAAGAACCTTTTTTTTTGTTTGAAATCATACCTTGAAAAGCACCTTCTGAACCATGTTTCTGGGTTTGAGAACAAGTCTTTGAAAGCAACTTTTAAACCCTTTTTTTTTTTTTTAGAACAAGTCTTTGAAAGCACCTTTTGAACCTTTTTTGTTTGAGAACAAGTCTTTGAAAGCACCTTTTAAACCCTTTTTTTGAGAAAAAGTCTTTGAAAGCACCTTTTGAACCTTTTTTGTTTGAGAACAAGTCTTTGAAAGCACCTTTGGAACCATGTATCTGGGTTTGAGAACAAGTCTTTTAAAGCACCTTGTTAGAACCTTGTTTTTGGTTTGAGATCAAGTTTTTTAAAGCACCTTTTGGACCTTGTATTTGGTTTGAGATAAAGATTTTGAAAGCACCTTTTGAACCTATTTTGGTTTTTGGTTTGAGATCAAGTTTTTGAAAAGCACCTTTTTTTAAGAACCTTTTTTTTTGTTGAAATCATTCCTTGCACCTTCTGAATCATGTTTCTGGGTTTGAGAACAAGTCTTTGAAAGCACCTTTTAACCCATTTTTTGAGAACAAGTCTTTGAAAGCACCTTTTAACCCTTTTTTTTTTTAGAACAAGTCTTTGAAAGCACCTTTTGGACCTTGTATTTGGTTTGAGAAAGATTTTGAAAGCACCTTTCAAGCCTTTTTTGGTTTGAGATCAAGATTTTTAAAGCACCTTTTGGACCTTGTATTTGGTTTGAGAAAGATTTTGAAAACACCTTTCAAGCCTTTTTTTTGGTTTGAGATCAAGTTTTTGAAAAGCACCTTTTTAGAATACTTTTTTTGTTTTGAAATCATACCTTGGAAAGCACCTTGTGAACGATGTTTCTGGGTTAAGAACAAGTCTTTGAAAGCACCTTCTGAACCATGTTTCTGGGTTGAGAAAAAGTCTTTGAAAGCACCTTTGGAACCTTGTTTTTTGGTTTGAAATAAAGTCATGAAAGCACCTTTTGAACCATGTTTCTGGATTTGAGATCAAGTTTTGGAAAACACCCCTCAAACCTCTGAGTTTTAAATCAAGATGATCACATCTAAAGCAAGGTGTTCACCTACCCTCAGAAAGATAACCAACCTTATAGCAGAAGCCATGTCAATGTTGTCACGCTTTTCTTGAAGTTCTCGTTGTCCTTCTTGTAGTTCCTCTGGATCTGTTGGTCTTAATTCTTGAGGTTTTTGCAGTTTTAACATTAGCATGATCCTGATACTATGAAAGAATAGAAGTTTAACTGGACATATCAATAAAGCACAGTCGAATACTGTGCACTTGACAAGTTTAGCTGGGTTCATTTTCAGCATAGTTATCATTACAGTTTTGACAAGTGTTACTGCCACTGCATCAAAGTTAACATTACTGGTTTTTCGTTTTCATGTCACTCCAGAGTAAAACAAACATTTTATCATTAGGGTTTTTTTGGAGTGTGATCATCATATTCAAGTCAATTGTAAAAGGAAAAAAAACAGATCCAGTCCTGTTCAGAGGTTTGGGCGTTGACACACAGGGTCCTCATCAGGTCTTCTTCTACTCCTTCAGTTCTTCTGAATGGTCTTCTTGTTCTCTGTGATAGTGCTGCTGAGAAAAAGCTTTGATTGTTTGGTTTATGCCATTTTTTGATTGAGTAGAGGCAATTTATTTTTAGGCTTGAAGGTGATCTTGTTAATTAGGTGCTTTTGTCAAATGAAAAAAGGTGCTTTTGACATACCTTTTGAGACCAGACCTTTTAACATACCGTCTTTGCTTGTTCAAGAGCCAGTTTATGAAAGAAACCTTTTAAACCTTGTTTTTTGTTTTTAAGATCAAGTCTTTGGAAGAAACTTTTACAAATCTTTGTAGAGCTTGAAATCAAGTCTTTGAAAGCACGTTGAGAACCTATTTCTGGGTTTGGATCAAGTCATGAAAAGGACCCTTTGAACCTTGTTTCTGGATTTGAGATCAAGTTTTGGAAAACACCCCTCAAACCTCTGAGTTTTAAATCAAGATGATCACATCCAAAGCAAGGTGTTCACCTACCCTCAGAAAGATAACCAACCTTATAGCAGAAGCCATGTCAATGTTGTCACGCTCTTCTTGAAGTTCTCGTTGTCCTTCTTGTAGTTCCTCTGGATCTGTTGGTCTTAATTCTTGAGGTTTTTGCAGTTTTAACATTAGCATGATCCTAATACTATTCAAGAATGGAAGTTTAACTGGACATATCAATAAAGCACAGTCGAATACTGTGCACTTGACAAGTTTAGCTGGGTTCATTTTCAGCATAGTTATCCTTACAGTTTTGACAGCTGTTACTGCCACTGCATCAAAGTTATCATTACTGGTTTTTCGTTTTCATGTCACTCCAGAGTAAAACAAACATTTTATCATTAGGGTTTGTTTTGGAGTGTGATCAATTTTAAGTCAAATGTAAAAAGAAGAAAAGAACAGACCCTGTTCAGAGGTTTTCTTCTACCTGGGTAGAAGAAAACCTTCACCCTGCTTCTTCCATGTCTTCCTGGTGTCACCACGCTGATCCCGATGGCCACATCATTCTTCTTATATCTTCAGGTTGTACTTCCTGCGTTAGCTCACATCACTTTGCACAACTTACAATCAATAGAAATGCTAAACTGGTCTACAAGGTCAAAATAAAGCACAGCAAAATACTGTGCACTAGAGTTTAGCAGGGTTTGTTTTCAGTCTAATTATCCTTACAACAGCCTTGAATCCCTATCTTTTATAACAGCCGATGCGGCTCCTGTTTCCATCATTAATATTACTGGGTTTTCATTTTCATTGTCATTCATTTCAAGAGTGTCAAAAAAAAAAGCACAGCAAACTACCATGCACTTGAATTTAGCAGGGGTTTTTTCAGTCTAATTATCCTTACAACAGCCTTGGATCCTTCTCTTTGTAACAGCCACTGTAATTAACATTACTGGGTTTTCATTTTCATAATCACTCATTTTAAGAGTGAAAACAACAGTTTCAAGACAAATTAGGGGAAAAAAACAAGTAGTATGAAAAAATCAACCTGGTTGATGTCCTTTAAATGGGTCTGTGCACTGGGCATCCATTCCTCGTTGAAGATCTTCACACCTTTTGAGATCTTCTTATATCTTCAGGTTGTACTTGCTGCGTTAGCTCACATCACTTTGCACAACTTACAATCAATAGAAATTCTAAACTGGTCTAAAAGGTCAAAATAAAGCACAGCAAAATACTGTGCACTAGAGTTTAGCAGAGTTTGTTTTCAGTCTAATTATCCTTACAACAGCCTTGAATCCCCATCTTTTATAACAGCCGATGCGGCTCCTGAAGTTAAATTTTAATTCGAGTGAACTCTCATTTTTGTATTGGTAAATTTGTTGAGTTACACGTTTTTGAGGACCGAGTTGCTATTTTGTTTAATTAAATCTGATAGTAGACTTGTTTTGGGGGTCTATATTGCTGCACTGGTTGATCGTTAATGCTGGTGATTCTTGTTTTTGTGGTTTTAGAAGAGAACAACTTCTCTCCACAATTGCATCACCAAAGCAGACCAAAACTAGACCAAAACCTGCAACCCCAGAAGAGAACACTTTCTCTCCACAATTGCATCACCATAACTAGACCAAAACCTGCTACTCGGGCAGAGAACAACTTCACTGCTTGATTGTTCATGGTGGGGGTTCTTGTTTCTGTTGGTGTGGTTGTTGTCAAACCAAAAGCAAACTGACCTCCAGTGTCCCTCGTTGATGGTCTGTCCGTGGAGTGAAGTAGTCAGTATCTTACCTTACAGGGTCCAGGCGTTGGACGGTCATGAGTTCTGCCTCAGTTTGACTTGATCCGGCGTAATTTCAGCTCCTGGTTAACACACAGAGAAATACACAACCATCAAACCTTAAGTCCTGAATATAAGACTCAGAATTAAAAACCTTGACCTCTTTGACCTCCTTCAATAATCAGCTTTCACACAAGTTTATGAGTTCAGCCCTATTTTAAATACTTTACAATAACTACAATTTATAAATGGTAAATAGATAATTAAAGTTTAATCATCATTTAAAAACAGCCTATAGACCAATTATAAATGCCAAATAGATACTATTTATTAAAAGGTTTATATAGGGTTTAAATATTGGTTTTAAAACATCTAGATTTAAATGTGTGTCAGTAAATGGTTAATATTTGGTTCTTAAACCATCTATAAACATTACTTGATGGTTTATTGTAAAGTTGTAACTGATGTTTGAAATACTTTGTAAATTGGTTTATAATTATTAATAATTATAAACCATAATAATTGATTAATAATTGGCTTATAAACCACCTATTACTTAAATGGTAATAGTAACGTTAGGGTTAGGGGTAAGGTTTTTATAAAATTGTAAAATTTACTATTTATGGCCTATATGCTATTTATAAATTATTTAAATATTAATAAACTATCTTCTTACCATTCATAAATGGTCAATTTACCATTAATAAGTTGTGGTTATTGTAAAGTATTACCAGTCATTTTAAACAGCTCATGTTTGCATGATGGTTGCCAGCAATGCTCCAAATCAGACCATTTAAAGACCATTTTCAAGCCTCATCTTTATTGTCTTTCTGGGCTTATAAAGTTGCATCCCTGTCTCAGTCTCACCTTTGGCCTCCGTGGAGTGGAGTCATCTGAGAGGACATGAAGTCAGCTGGGGTCTGAGGAACATGCTGGAAAAAAAAACAAAAAAACACAGAAGCACAGTTAGTACACACCAACAACAGCACTTTCCACTGCAGACTCAGGGTACACTAAGACAGATCTGAATAAGCAGTTTCACTTTTTCACACTGGGCTTTGAGATCTTATCGTCTTTTACTACAATCAGAAAAACAAGAATAAGGCCAAATGCAGTCTTCTGAACATTATATTCATGGCACCATCATGTAAACCTTAAAACACACTTATTCATTAAAGTAAAACACTTAAATGTTTTTATAGGTGTCATGGATTCATGTTTAGGGTAGCTGTCAGAGGATTTTAAGGCCCAGTGGCCTGAATAACGCCATCTGCTGGACATTTAGTGTACACACACACACCCTCTGCAAGCTACAACTTGATGCCAGAGTAGAAATTTACTGAAAAAGCTTGTGTTTAACTTTATTAGTGCTTAAACATGTCAGGCCTGTATGATAATCCCATAAAATTAAAAGCATTTTAACTATCGAAGAGTGCCAAGGACCATTTTGTTCAAACACTAGCTAAGTAGAAGTTGTATATGCCTGCAGATTCATCAATATAAAAATCAGTCATTTAGCTTTTAAAGCTTTGCATTCTTTTGTCTCAATTCAAGATTAAATAAATGAATTAAAATATATATATTTTTTTTTCTTTTTAAAGTCGAATTTTTCGAGTAAATTTCGGCGAAGCGCGTATCGAAGCTTGAGTTGATGACGTATGTGATAACGTTTGAAGCCTCGCGAGCCGGTGTTATGCCGTGGAATGCATCCCCTCCACACATCCACTCATTAGCTTCTAAAAGTGGGGGAAAATGGATCTTATATTTAAAACAAAACACGAGTATTAGATCATGACAACATGTCTAATAGAGCAGCAAACTTCCCTCTGTTTTTATGTGTCTAAAAAATGCACATAGAGAGGTGTACTTGGGTATATAAACTGTACAGTACACTGTTAAGGTAGAGAACATTATATTTTCGGGACAGCAAATATTCCCAATCAGAGGGCTGTTGTTTTCCGCTTATCTGGACAACCTGAACAAAATCATTAAAGCAGGGCTCTCAAGTTTTGAACTAAGCTTAGAGTGAGATTTCCTTGGGGGGGGGGGGGGGGGGGGGGGGTGTTGAAGATAATTATTGGTATAATTATCTCTTAAATACAACGGAATATAAGGGGCACAATTAGGAAAAACACGTTTTAAAAACCTTAAAGAATAAAGTTATTATTTGGGAGAATAAAGTCATTAATATCAGTATTAAGTCGTAAAGTCACCTGTTTTGAAGGAGAGTTGTTAAAATCAGCACTGTGGAGCATTTAGATGAATTGTACTTCAATATAGGTTTCACAAACATGGAGATACTAAAGTACAATTCATACTTAATCCTTTGGTACATGAGCACTACACTGTCATGAGTATCAGAACTTTTATTTGAGATATATGAGAAATGCTGCTTTTGTGGAGGGGAAAATGGCTGGGAATGGCTGTACAGAGACTAAATCCGTCAATACAGCTGTTAATAGCAATGGCATAGGGCTTTAGTTTATCATATTAGTTTATATGCCATGAGGTGTTGAGGTCTCTGCATGTGTAGGTTACTGACTTACTCAGGGCTCTCAAGTCTCACGCAATCAGCGTGAGACACACGCATTCCCACCCGTTCACACGCTCACACGCCACACATCGTATTTCTCACGCATTTAAATGAACACGGTGATGTCCACCAAGTTGCACCTCTTTAACTATGGAACAGGTAGGAATCAACTGAGTTTCTCCGAGAGTTCAGAAGCTGCGTGCCACGCGCAAGCCAATCAAATAAAGTATATCTACTGAACAGCCAATCAAAAAGCAGCATTGCTGTATCCGGGTAGATTTTTATATCTTGCGGTTTGACTACAGAAGAAGACAGACACTCGCCGTAATAGAGCAGGTTATTTATAAGGACGAGATAGACCCGATGATTACAGTAAGTCAGTAACCTACACATGCAGAGACCTCAACACCTCATAGCATATAAACTCATATGATAAACTAAAGCCCTATGCTATTGCTATTAACAGCTGTATTGACGGATTTAGTCTCTGTACAGCCATTTCCAGCCATTTTCCCCTCCGCAAAAGCAGCATTTCTCATATATCTCAAATATAAGTTCTGATACTCATGACAGTGTAATGCTCATGTACCAAAGGATTAAGGATCTCCATGTTTGTGACACCTATACTAAAGTACAATTCATCTAAATGTTCCACAGTGCTGATTTTAACAACTCTCCTTCACAACAGGTAACTTTACGACTTAATACTGAGATATTAATGACTTTATTCTCCCAAATAATAACTTTATTCTTTGAGATTAAAAAGCGTTTTTTTTTCTAATTGTGCCCCTTATACTCCGTTGTATTTAAGAGATAATTATACTTATAATTACCCCCCCCCCCCCAAGGAAATCTCACTCTAAGCTTAGTTCAAAACTTGAGAGCCCTGGACTTACTGTAATCATCGGGTCTATCTCGTCCTTTTAAAAACCTGCTCTGTTACGGCGAGTGTCTGTCTTCTTCTGTAGTCAAACCGTAAGATATCAAAATCTACCCAGATAAAGCAATGCTGCTTTTTTATTGGCTGTTCAGTAGATATACTTTATTTGATTGGCTTGCGCGTGGCAAGCAGCTTCTGAACTCTCGGAGGAACTCAGTTGATTCCTACCTGTTCCATAGTTAAAGAGGTGCAACTTGGTGGACATCACCATGTTCATTTAAATGCGTGAGAAATACAATGTGTGGCGTGTGAGCGTGTGAACGGGTGGGAATGCGTGTGTCACACGCTGAATGCGTGAGACTTGAGAGCCCTGCATTAAAGGCATGCACTTTTTAATTCATCCAATGGTAAGGAAAACTTGGATTATTTCGCCTTGTTCTGTACTTTCAACCGCGCTTCCGTCAGGGGGTGCATTTTACGGCAGAACACGGGTCGTACCACGTGACTGATTCAGGAACCGGCTCGCTGTTTTGGCGGGTGATTTAAAATCTAACGGGCAGCGAAACGCGACGGAGTACCGCTAAAAGTCCGAAAAGTTGTTTTTTTTAATGAAAATGAATGAAATATTAACGTGTTCGATGCTGTCCCCATAACAAACGCACAGTCGCAAACTGAGTTACACACAAGCTCATTCACATCACAACTGTCTCCATTACTATTTATGTCCTGTTCCCCTTTTCACCCTGCTACTGTGTCGTAAAGACAGACAAAATATAAATAACTTCATAATTTCTGTATCGATACCTCAAACACATGGTATCACATTCATTCATTCATTCAATTCAGAGATTTGCACACCAAATGGGGTGTCTCTGATAATCACTCTGCCTGTTTTACATTTATTGTCCACGATGGCACAGTTGAGCAAATGCAGTTTCAGACCAGAGTAAAGCAAATGCGTGGAAATGATTCAAGAGGCTTCATGTCACGATCACCAACTGAGTCCTTACCTGTGCTCTGGACAAAGGTGTTGCTTCCTCTCAGTTTGGTGGCGAATGGACCGACAGCTTCAGGTGACCCTCTTTTGAACCCCGTGACCACTCCCACGAGGCGTTATTAATTACATAATTTCAAACAACCCGAAATTTTCTCACCATCCAAAAGCAGTTTATTCCTCTACCCACTGAGCAAAAGACGTATATTAGGAGAGGGACTCTTGTATATTAGACGTCTAGTCTAAATTTATGCTTCATTTCAACGTCGGGATTCGGTCTGTTTTTAGACGTGATTTAGACGTAAAAATGTGTACGTCATTTCAAACGTCTACATATAGACCGAATCTAGACAATCGATCTTAATCCACAATTCAAGAGTTGATTATTTAAAATGATAACTGAACGTTCATACTCCTGAGCGTGACCAGTGTTTTCGTCATATCCGGTCAAAACGCATATACGGCAAAATAATAATAATTTAAAAAAAAACTCCGGATCTTAAAGCCTGGGTCCTGCTGAGTACTAGACAACAAAGTTGGTCGCTGAAATTCAATTTGATTCTTAGATTTCATGTGTTTTATCCGTCTCGGTAACGCCGGCTGCCACCGTGAAAACAATCCAGCCACCTTATTGGTGGAGCACGCTCATGTGATCCACCGTGCACCCACTTCGGGTAGATTCTTATTCCGCCAAGAGCGAAGTAGTCCGCGATAAAAGTTATCGGCATAGCCGCAATAATACGAGATAAGCGACAAAAAAGTATTTGGTACCTCTGCAAGAGCCCAGCTTAACACCCGTATGGAGATCGTACCCTAATCGGACCATAGCATGAAAACGGCTTCAAATTGTGGACCGCACAACATCCGGCTGAAGCATTGCGCTTTGTCCACACTCGACCTCACGACCGTCGGACTACACTAGACGATCCAGGGGTCGCAGAGTTCGAGAGTCATACATTCTGCTGAAAAGAGGTGGGTGCTGAAACACACTGTATAAGATAGGAAAACACACAGATGGCAGTTGTGACAAATGTGGACAGGCTGAGACTGTCCAGCATGTGTTGTTAGATTGTAGAGGATATGTGGAGCAAAGGAGGATACTGGCAGCAGCAGTGCAGGAAACCAGGATGGCATTTAGCATGGGGAATCTACTAAGTTCAGAATCAGAAATTGTAATCAAGCATCCAATGGCATATTTGGAAAAACTCGGGGCTACTGGAGAGGATCTAATTCCTTTTTAAAAAAATTTATTTATCAATTTTTTCTGTCTACCAATTTACTGCTCCACACTCCAGTCCAGTAGGTGGCGGTAATGCACCTTCTCGTTGGTTTGCCAACCGCCAATAAACACCATAGAAGAAGAAGGCGGGTGCTGAAGGAGATATTGTAGAAAATGTTTATTTTTGCAAGCTGTGGTCCTCCTACCGTCGTGCATCATGATGCGTGACGGTGAGATGCATTTACAGCAAATGTTAAACTCGAGTTCGCATGTAGCCTGGTTGCTACTACGAGGGCTAGCTTGTGGCTAATTTAGCCAGCGTTGGCCCAACAGCATCAAATAGTCCATGCTATCGTGTGTTGTCGTTTAAGTAAATAAGGACCTGTGCTGCGTCCGAACTGCCCGCTCGGATACTACATGCTACTGCTACGTGCTACTGCTAGATCCTACTCCTACATACTAAACACGTTGGCCCAATTCGGACACACTAGACGAGCGGTGGGGAAAGACGACCCCCGCAGGCAGAGAGTAGGTACTGCGCCCGTGCAGACAGTGGTAACTGAAGCCCCTCATCTGCGGGCCTGGCTGTAGTACTGCAGCTGTGCAGTTTAATGATGGAATAAGTGAGCTTTACCTCCATGATGTCGCCACATATTTGCTCATAAAATGATTACTTGGGCAAATATGACACCATGACATGACAAAGAGATACAACCGCACATTTTTTAGGACAGTGTGTGAAGTTACATGAAACTTACATCTGTACTGCTGCGGTCCCGCGACATGGTGCGCGCTGTTGTGGCCAGCCGGCGTTCGCGATACATTTAAATAGGCAGAGCAGCTGGTGGCGCTAGCATCACATGCGCTTCTACAACTTTTAAGAGGACGAAGAAGAAGCCCGTGGTGCATTTTGGGTCAGTAGCATGCCCGTAGGATGCACCGAGACCAACCTACAATGTGGGCGTGTCTAGTATCTGAAGTAGTATCTGAAGTAGCATGCTACTCGCTCCGGTGGCCAATTCGGACATGCTAGATACTACTTCGACTTCTACTTCGACTACTACTTGGCAATTCGGACGCAGCTCTGCTCTTTCTGATGGAGCCAAGTTTAACACTAGAAGGACCAGCTTTTTGCTGTTCTACCTATAAAGGCCACAGGGCAGCCGATCGGCTGGAGGGCTTTTAACTAGTACAAAATCACCACATTTTGTTTTGCAAACGAGGCTATCGCTGGTGCACCACAATAGGGGATATGCTGAGTTATTTCAAGGAAACTTGTGTTGTGGGGAGAGTGAGTGGGGAGGGGGAGGGGAGTTTCCAACCTGGAAACAACTGTAGACAGAAACTGCTTCAGCCATAGCCACTGCACAGACAGTTAGTACAAATAAATGATGTAAAATCTGGATTACTAAATATAACCTGTTGTGTGCACCAGAGGTCGGTCCACGGACAAAAACTGTTTGTACTTTATAAAAAGGACATTGTAAATGTGTCTAAATTGTTAAATTGCATACTGTTTGCATATGATATTGCACTCACAGGAGAGGTAATTCCTTCTTTGCTGTGGTGGATGAATATCTCACTGCACACAGCCTACTACTACGGCACCTCAAGAATTCTGAGGTGTACAGACCTCCTCTCCAAGGAACGAAGATGCAGAGAAGACTCAACACTCAGCAGGCATTGGAATTGGTCCTGGATGGAGTGAACCCTTGTGACTCAGATGGGGAAGACATAGACCTTCAGCTGGATTCGGACTCAGAGCTATCTGAGCTATCTTCAGGTTAGATTTCATTTCAGCCATTTTGTTTCTCATTTGGTTTCTGAGTGCAGTCGTCTATTTCTTTTGTGTCATTCTACTTCTCCCAATGTCCCTGCACCTTAGCTGAGATATTTGAGATGTTAGCTTTAAAGCATGCATTTGTGATATCATTTCACTTTCCCATTGCTCATAATTTTTAATATACGATCCTTATTACCTCTGTCAAGGAGGTTATGTTTTTGGTTGCCTTGGTTTGTTTGTTTGTCTGTTAGCATATTCTAATTTGAATTTGTTCACTCTGCAGATGAGGAGACTGCTCCTCAACCAGAAAAGAGAGCTCGGCTGGGGACTGGCCTGACAGAGACGGCGAAAGATGGCACAGTGTGGCATGAAGAACAGGTGGGGATGGGTCTCCATTGCACCCCTCCGTCCGCATACGACGCAGATGGAGAGCCTACGCCTAAGGCCCGGAGTTCCATCTTGACTCGTCTTCAGAGCTTCCTGTGTTTCATTACACTGGACATGCTTGCTACTATTCGAGACTGTACTATTCAACATGCAAAGCAAACGGAGTATGTTGATTGGTGCATGGCCCTCCCTGAACTAATGGCATTTATTGCAATCATCATCTTGCGGGGGCTGACCAAGGTTCCATCGATGAGTGACTGCTGGTCAGCAAACCTGGGAAACCCCCAGATCATGGCAACCATGCCCCGAAATCGCTTTAAAGACATCATGCGACACCTACGCTTTGATGACAGGGACACCCGCAGTGAGCGCACAAAGACTGACAAGTTTGCTGCAATTTCTGCTGTGTGGTCGTCATTTGTCACCAACTGCATCACATCCTACAACCCTGGTCGACACATCACCATTGACGAACAGCTTTTCCCCTCAAAGACTCGCTGCTGTTTCCTGCAGTACATTGCAACGAAACCTGACAAGTTTGGGATCAAGTTTTGGGTGGCTTGTGACTTGAAATCCAAGTACATCTGCAATGTCCTCCCATATCTTGGCAAGGACCCCAGTCGTCCCAGTGGGGAGAGACTGTCTGAGAATGTAGTCATGAGGCTGATGGAACCATTCCTGGACAAGGGCAGAAATGTTACCACAGACAATTTCTTTACATCACTGTCACTTGCGCAACGACTGCTTAGGCGGAAAACCACCATCCTAGGCACAGTCAACAAGATTCGCCGGGAAATTCCACAGTCATCCAGACAGAGGGACCGCAATGAATTCACCACTCAGGTGTTTTCAACAACTGGAGCCACGCTGACAGTGTATGCGCCCAAACGGAAGAAGACAGTGTACGTTCTCAGCAGCATGCACAGCGTGGTTCAGACTGAGAATACCACCAAAAGGAAGCCAAACACCATCACCCTTTACAATGCAACAAAGTGTGACGTGGATGTGATGGACCAGATGGTGCGGGAGTACACTGTCCGCACAGGAACACGGCGCTGGCCAGTCGCTGTGTTCTATAACATGATTGATATGGCAGCATTGAATGCACATGTGCTGTATCAAGCATGCACCGGGAGGAAGGAGAGACGGGTGGACTTCCTGGTGGAGCTTGCAAGAGAGTTAGCTAACTCTCATGTAACTGCGAAGACGGCACGAAAGGAAGAATTGTTTCGGCTACAACCTTCCACACCTAGCCCTGGAAAAAGAGCCATGTGCCAGGTTAAAAATCACTGTAAGAACAATCATGCCACTGTGCGATGTGTTGACTGCTACAGATACACATGTGGGAAATGCAGAAGGGAGATACCATGGCAGTGCCAGGATTGTGAGTGACAGTCTAACACTGTATCCTGATGATGCATATTCACCTGAAGTCCATCACCAACCTTTTTATACTTTATATATGTCCTGCATGCTCTTGTTATTTTCTATTCTTGTATTTTACATAGTATTCTCTGTTTAATGTTGCACCTTCACGCCGTAAAAAATCCTAGCATTGTACATAGCCTTTCATACTTTTATACTTTATATATGTCCTGCATGCTCTTATTATTTTTTATTCTTGTATTTTACATATTATTCTCCGTTTAATAATGCACCAACCCTTGAAAAAATTCCTAGTCTGTGAAACCTGTTCATTGACAATAGCAATAAAACCCCTTGTGATTGTGATTCTGATTCTGATTCTTGTTCTTATTCTATACAGTTTTTTAAATTTCGTTTATTTTAAATCCATACATTTCAGCAACAAAGTAAACAACCCATGTGTGTTGATCCCTTCCTTTCTGTTGTCCCTTCCCACTGCATACACCACTTAGTCCAGTCCCCTCCTGTGGTGCGCCAACGTTCACCTCGTTTGCATAACAAAATGAGTGTTCACAGGTGATTTAGGATATTAGCTAAAATCCTTCCAGCCGATCGGCTGCCCCGTGGACCTTGAGGGGGGTAAAGCCAAATGGCTGCTCTGCAGTCCTTCTAGTGTTAAAAGCTGCTAGTTAGGCTTTCCATTTAATTAGAAAATGAAGCCTATTTTGATGCCAGTAATGTTGTTTTTGTTTATCCAGTGGTATTTTGTCATATAATTAAAATTGTCATAGATTGTGTTTTCACTATGTGTGGTAGAAATGGGACGCATTAGCTGAATTATTCCAATGTTATTTTGTTAATGCATTAGCAGTGCTATAGGAAATGCTAATAGTAAAAATCTCAAAGTACTGGTATCGACATATTTTTTACCAAGAGTAAAAGGTATTCATTATGCATTATGTCCTGCTTCACAAGTTGCCAATTGTACTAAAAAAACAAAACAAAACAAATCTATGATGGTTGATCTACAAGTTCACACTGTTATTAACATTATTATTTTTCTACTTTATTTTTTCCATGTGTTTTCTTTCCAGCCAAATTGAATATGGCCTCTAATTATTTGAAAGAGTGGCGGAGAAAAAGAGCTAGGGAGGATGATTTCATGGATGAATTTTTGAATTGGATTCAAGGTAAGGATTTATCAGGTGGTTTTTAAGTAGGGTGGGGGCTATTTTAAAATAGTGCAACAGCATATGATTTTGTGTTTAACAGCTAAAGTTAAGCACCACACTCATCCATTTATTGTCTCGTTCTCGGATTTTGCAGCGAGGAAGAGGGTTTATTCCTACCCAATGCCTGAGAAAAGTAAGAGTGGCATAACTACAGTACAAAATGTTGTTATGTAATGTATTGTAATTATTGAATTGAATGTTACTAAATCATATCTTTTCACTAAGAGTTCCAGCGAGTGGTTGTCCAAACACTTTTGGAAATCTGCAATGAATTGAAATCGCTCAACCAGCAGGGGGACATTGAAGATGGGGGTGAGCGGATACGTCAGTTGCCGTTAAGGACTTTGGAGGAGGCTCAGCGCATGTCGTTGGAAATCAGTAGGCACCCCAGCGTGAAACGTTTACTGGTACGTCAAATAGAAATGCTAAAAATTATAGAAATCTATGCATTAAACACTCTTGATAATTTGATTATATCATACAGATAAAACAACTGTCACACCTTGGGGGGAAGGACATTAAGACCTGCACACGCAGGATCCTGGACAGGTATGAATATGACAGCAAGACAATGTTATTAATATAATCATGTATTGTTGGTGTTTATCAAGTCTTTCTAGTGAATTGCAAGAGTAAGCAGTATTAAGGTGCGTTCACACAGGCACTTGCGCAACGGCAGCAAGTGTTTCTCTGAGGTTTTAGGGACTTGTTCGGCAAATAAAGAGCAGCGCTGGACACGGTATCCGACGAGATCGAGGGGAAACCTAGAGCGGGTGTGACGTAATGCGCAACGCGAATTTACGGTGGCAAAGTGACACGTTTTAGGACACAAGACAGGACAAGTTGCGTTGCCTGTCCGGTGTGAATGCACCTAAAGAGATTTATTTGTCTTTGATATCCATTTCAGAATTTTACACAATGACGTGCAGAGGAAGTACAACCTCCTGGGTGGAGGATGCCAGGGGAAAAAAAGCTTAAAGAAAACTGCTTTCTTCACAGTTGTTCTTGGTAAATTAATTATATCTCTGCAAGTTATTACTTATTCTTGGTCATGTTACTGACTCATTTAAAGCCTGAAGCTGTAAAAAAGTGAAGAATCCTTCGGGACAATACTAGATAATTTCTACACTTACTATGATTCAAGTTTCTTTTGTTTTTTTTTTTATCTTTATGCAGAGTCTGTTCGCACTAACTTCCCAACAGCAACAGAGGAACTGGTCGCAGCATTGATTGGGGACCATTTGAAACAGGCACCAGCTCGACGTGGTTGGAGGGGCACCACCAGAACACCACCCTGCTAATTTAAAAAATATATATATATCTTAAATTTGTTAATATTTATAGTTCATTTCAGTATTAGTATTTGTTAAATTTTCTTTATGTTGTTGTTCTTGTTCTTTATACTTTGTAGCTATGTTTTTATATAGAGAAAATAGATTTTTTTCTTTTTTAAATGTTCGTTTTACTAAATGTGAAATTAAAAAATTGTTTTTCCCACTCCATGACTGTAATGGTTATATTCTGAGTAAAAAATGTACTGTGATTTCAATTACAGTGGACTGATGGTTGCCAAATGTAGATCAGTGTTAAATTATGAATGAGCATGACTGTAGAAGCTATTCTAAAAGGTCCAGAAAGAGAAGCAACATTGCCGAAATAGAACATCCTGGGAGTATGTGTATCATGGTAAGCGTTATCGTTCAAGCTCGCGAGTCACCAGCAGCCATGGTAACAGAACGGTGACGCGCGTGTGGTTACCCTATACATTCAGAATGTTTGATATTTGTGATTCAATACAAACTGGACATTTGGCTGGCTTGTATTACTTTTCGCTGAGAGAGAGATATTTCTGGCAAAAAGCTCAAACTTCGCTTGGATTTTAAACACCCGGACTTCACGAGAAGAAAACAACACCTGAGGACACCTGCGGATCCTGAATCTTCGCTTGGATTTTAAACACCCGGACTTCACGAGAGGAAAACAACACCTGAGGACACCTGCGGATCCTGAATCTCGACGGTAGATGGCCTCCAGCAGACCCCAGCCTGCGGAGTTCCCCCTGACTCCGGTCAGACTGTGGCACAGCAGTGTCACAGGTAAGAAAGCTTTGAAATCTTATATTAAAATTCAATAAATTGTCGCAATTTTGAGGCAAAGTTACAATCTACCAAGAAGGATTTAAGTGTAAAGATTGACAGTTAATCGAAGTTTTGGGCACAGAGTTGTGGATTTCACTTGACCATGTCTTGACCTATAGAACCATGTTTTAATGTCAGAAATGTTTAAATTTGCGCGGGGAAAACGTTGAAGTTAATTGACTTAAGTGTGCTGAGGTGAAAAACTTTTGATTTGCTCATGTATGTATGGTGTAAAGACTTCAACTTTCAAAGTTTACCGTCGATATTATTTTTTTAAAGAGTTGGTGGGATGCGCATACGTGCTTTGCAAAACTCGTCATTTATGCCATGGCTGTGATGGTTATGTTTTTTAATGGTATGTAGTCTGTTTAAATAATTAATAGACATGTATTTGAGACTGTAATGCAGCCACTGTGCGAACGCCTGTTTTTAAACTGATATATTAGAAGTTTAAAGAAGAAAAAGCTCTGTTTCACATCTTTATTAAGCTGCCTTGTGAACCTGGTGTAAATGTTTTCCCACGCTGGAATTAAGTTGAAACTTAATGTGACTTCTATGTGTAGCTACTGTTAACCAGCAAAAATCAAGGTTGCTTGATTAGTCCTCGCAATTCCTGTTTTAACAACATTTGAAATGGTATATAAACTTTTGTAAACTTGGGTTGTAAGATAAGTTGTTTTAGAGTTGGGATATTTGCTAAAAGATGACATGCCAAAACCAGTGTCCAAACATTGAGGATTTTGAGAGTGAATATTGAGATGGTATTTAATTGTGTGTTTCTTCGTTAGGAGGATGTAATTTGCCATGGCTGTTAAACTTAATTCATAGATTTAAGAATTATATTGTTAAAATAATAGAAAGTGTGTGTTTTTTAGGGGATTTGCTGGTTCAAACTATGCTTTGATGTAGAGTGAGGAGATGAAATTTGGATTTGTGAGGCAGCCACTTTGCGCATCTCTAGATTATGAATTGATTATAAATTGAAAAACAGGCTGTGAAAGAAACTGTAGATCCTGTGTGCTAACGCTGTTATCTTAACTACAGTTATTATTTCTCATATGTGGTAATTATACTCCAACAGCAGAATACTATTCATATTCCTGCAAGCCTCATATTTCATTCTCTTATGGATGCACAGATTTTGACAGTATGATGCTTTTCTCCCCACAGGTGGTGGCTCTCCTCCTCCTGCTCATCATCCTGACTGCTCCCCTTCTCCTGCTCCTCCTGCTTTCTCTTTTGGATCTCTCCTGGAGTTATCCACTCTTGCTTCTCTTGGTGCCTCCTGTGCTGATTCTTCTGCTGCCTCTACCTCACGAAGGTTCAGGCAGCGGGAGGACAGTGACCAGGAGGTGACGCCCCCACCAAAGAGAATAAGATTGGGTGATGAAGGGAGCGATTCTCTTGCTCTTTTCCGTCTCTCCTCTCCCCCTTCTCCCCCTTCCCCTGCACCTTCTCTTGCTTTCTCCCCTGCTACTCCTTCTTTCTCTTCTGAATCTCCCCCGGAGTTATCCTCTTTTGCTTCTCTTGTCATCTCCTGTGCTGATTTTCCTGCTGCCTCTACCTCACGAAGGTTCAGGCAGCAGGAGGACAGTGACGAGGAGATGACGCCCCCACCAAAGAGAGTAAGATTGGGTAATGAAGGGAGCGATTCTCTTGCTCTTTTCCATCTCTCCTCTCCTCCTCTTCCTTCTCCCCCTTCCCCCCCTTCCTCTGCACCTCCTCTTCCTTCTCCCCCTTCCCCCCCTTCCTCTGCACCTCCTCCTCCTTCTCCCCCTTCCTCTGCACCTCCTCCTCCTTCTCCCCCTTCCCCCCCTTCCTCTGCACCTCCTCTTCCTTCTCCCCCTTCTCCTGCCCCTTCCTCTCCTTACTCTTTTGCTTCTTTCTCTTTTTCCTCTCCTGCTCCTTCTGATTCTTCCCCTTCTTTTTCTTACTCTCCTTCTTCCTCTTTTCCCTCTCCTGCTCCTTCTGACTTTTCCCCTTCTTACTCTTCTTCTTCTTCTTCTTTCTCTCACTCTCCTGTTTCTTCTGCTGATCTATCCCCTTCTTTTTCACCCCCTATCTCTTCCTCTCCTTCTGACCCCTTCTTCTACTTCTACATCTGACTTCTTTGGCTCTCCTTTTCTGACTCCTCTCCTCCCTCTACCCCGGATTCCTCTCCTCCTTCTACCCGAGATTCCTCTCCTCCTTCTTCCCCTCATCTCTCTCCTCCTTCTTCCCCCTCCTCTTTTTCCCCCTGAGCTTTCTCCTCCAACTTGCTCTTCTGACTACTTTGCTTGGAGAAGGGGCAGGCAGTCAGAGGCCAGTGATCAGAAGGAGGGCTGGTTACCTCCGCCCATCTATGCAACATGAAAGGTAAGTCTAAACTTTTGAATCAGATCAAATCTCTCTTCATATTCATATTATTCGTTGAATAATGGGTGAAAGACTGTCTTACTAACCTTTTTTTTTGTTTGTTTTAGGCCACTGAGGCCGAAAAAGTAAGTATAAGCTTCTAAATCTATCTCATATTATTGATTAAATTATTTATGTTTTTTAATTATTTATGTTAAGGTTTGACTAGTTAAATGGCTAATTTTATGAATTTTAAAGAACAGCCCCAAACCAGTGACTTTAGAATCTCACATTTGACATTAGTAAGTTGTGTCAATGATAATATCCTAATTTTCTTCTGCCCATCTTTGTTAAATTTATTTTACTGCTGTCAAGAAAAGAGTCAATTATTTATGTCTTATTGTTGTCATTGTAATTCAAAGTGTCTTTGCCAGTTTTACTAACACTTAAATATCGCTTTTTCTCTATCCCACCTGAGCGGATGTGTGCCCCAACACACACCAAAAAAGTAAGTATGAGCTTTTTAATCAGATCAAATATCTCCTAATTTTAATATTATTTATTGAATAATAGTTTTATGACTTTCTTACTAACCAATCTTTGTCTTATCTCACTTTTGTCTTACATGGTCTCCTGAGCTTCTCCTGGTCCCTGAGGACGAAGAAGGTCCTTCTGAGTTCGTTTACCTGGATAAGGGTGGCGATACACATTGCTTGTCAGCTCAGTAATGTATGAAGGACAAAAAGAGACAGAATTAAATAAATAAATACATCTTCAAATACATACTTACGTATGTCATTAATTAATGAAAATGGGAATTAAATATGCACTTTTGAAAGTTGCTGTGAGTTTGAAAAGTTTGAGAAACACTGACCGAAAGCATGCAGTGTGTAAAGCAGAGGAATTAAGTGAAAATCTTGGAGTCATCCCCACACTCTACAACCAAGGTATTGACCATAGAATGGCTGCATCAGTCCGTTAGCTGGAGTTGATCTGTCTTGACTTGATATGCCAGGTAACCAATCAGGTGTTAGAATCCGCCCACTGACTTAGATGGGTGAGTTTGACAGATGAGCTCTGTCAAGAGAGTCAACTGCGCTGCACATCCGCCTTTGTTGGAAGAAAACTCAGCATTAAAATGCTCCGTACAGAGTGTTTCTGCTTAGAATTAAAAGCATAGACAAGATACTATTTTTATTTCACTTTTGTTTGTTCTAAAAGACACATTTTTCAGTTTCAACAAAAACTGAGTTAGATGAAATCTGCTGGAGGCTGATACAAACAAAAGCTACTGATGATAAAACAGCTTTGAAATCATTAAATATCATACAGACATTTACTCTCAGAGAAAAGGGTGTTTTTTTGTCACTTTATCATTTTCTGTCACAAAAAAGAAAGAACATTGTGCTAAAAACCGAACTGCTGAAGTCATATTTCATATTTCACACACAAAATAGTCAGATCAGTTTAATGGAGAAAAGATAATCTCTTTATTTGATATATTGTTCTCACTTTGAAACAACCACATCACATTTAGAAATAAAAGATTGAAAAAAAGACTGGATAAAATAAAGACAGAACAGGCGTGAGAGTTCATCCATGTTTCTCCATGTTTACTCTGGTCCTGCCCTGGAGGAGGGGGAGGTCAGACAGAGAGGACAGCGTCGGCTGCAGAGCCACAACACACACAAACCAAACCACGTCCCGTATAGTACAAAGAGCAGAATTTATTCCGCCTGTGGAATCAAACTGTAAGTTCAGACAGAGAAAACTAGAACATTTACAAATAATCGTCAACAGCGAGAAAGTACAAAGTATTTCAACGGTACAAAGATGACAGAGAGTTAGAAACTCCTCAGCTAAATATGAATCACAGCAGCAGAACCTGTTCCAGGCTTTCGGCTGCATGTGTGCAGACTGTGTCATGTAAAGATAGCAGACTCAAGACAGAGTTTCTCGTTTAATGCTTGTTTAGAAAAATAGCTCTTACAACAGATCTATGTCATATTAATCATGAGACAACCATTCAAAAGAGAACATTAGAAAAGTGTTTTGTGTTATACTGAAAGGTGTTCTTTTAATTGAGTTTTCCACTTCATTTACAAACCTGAGGGGAACATAATAAAATGAACATATCTCACCTTACCCTCTACAACTTCAACAATTAATTCAAAAGACAGCTATTACCTGTCTGGCTGTGTTTACAAAAATTGAAAACACAGAATGGAGTTTATTATAGAGCTGCTGTATTTTATCGCATTAGTGTTTGTTATGTTTTAGCTAGACGGTGTATTTAAAAGGTAAACTAAAGGCTCTTGGGGCTGTAGGGAGAAAGGACTTGTGAGAACAGGAGAGATGTTTTAATGATAGAGATACTTACAGGATTAGAATCATTGACCTAAGTTTTCTTTTAAAGACTGGGCTTCGGTCCAGCAAACTGCTTCAGGCAGGAATTCAACTAGGCACCTGTCCGTCAGTGCACGTGTGCCTAAATGTGCACCTGTGCAAGAGTTGGTGCCTTCTTTTCAGGGACTGCATTTATACGTATTAATTTATCAGATTATTTTAAAAGGTCAGTTGTTGTAAAGGGAATTTTAGTTCAGGTAAGGCTCACCATTGCTTCCTTCTTTTCACCTGGTGAGCTTCTGATGTCACTTATGTAAGAGAACATCAGAGGTCTGTCTAGGGAAGGTGTTTGGAGTTTCTCAAATTAGCCCACTGGATGAACTCTCCCTTCAGGAACACGTTTAATGTGTAAGACATTGTAAGTGCATTAGCTTAATCCCTCCTATCTGTCCTGCAACGCTCAAAGAAGTTCAGTTAAGGCATGCATGCATGCACGGAGGAGCAGAGCTTAAGATGGAGCTGCACACACAAGTATTACCCACCTGCCTTTGACCAAAAATGAAGATACTGCCAAACATCTTGTAATTTTGAAAATTTAAGGACAATGTTGAGATTCAGCATGCATGTGTGGATATTATGGTTGCTTTTTGCAGGTAATGTTTGGTTACAGTATGTGTAGTTTGACTGGAGATGACTGTATTTTATTTTTGCTAATTCAGCTTCAGGTGTGTTTTCAGACTGGTAATAATCATGCATTTCTTTTAAATGTTTCTTCATTTTATAAGTACATGTTGTCTGATGATTTGCCAAAAAAATGCTTCATGAAATACTTACCATATGCTAAAGATGAACTCCAAAAGTTAAATTTTTTATTTCTTTATAAATTTAAATTGGTCTTGCTTCATCTTGCCAGGGGCTTTCTCAAAAGAAGACAGAAATGGATGTGAAAAGCAGCCATGCCAAAACGGTGGTGTGTGTCAGAGGTTCAATGGAGGTTTCAGATGCCTTTGCTCTCAACAGAGCCGAAACGGTCGTCTGTATGGAGGAGAGAACTGCACAACTGCACTTTCAGGCTGCGACTACAACCAATGTGAAAATGGAGGGATATGTTCTCCTTTACTCATCAACAATCAGCACAATTACACTTGCTTCTGCCTTGCTGGCTTCACAGGCCCTCGATGCCAGACCTCCACTACTTTTTCATTTGAGTCCAGAGGCTACATGTACATAGAGACTCAGCTTCTAGACCCAGAGGCTCCTCTCAATGTGACGTTCAGCTTCAGGACGGCAAGACCAGTCGGCACCCTCTGGCAGCACAGAGTGGACAACCTACTCCTTAGGATTGAGCTACTGGACGGGCATCTTAGCCTTCGCAGCCTCAGAGGTCAAGGCTCCAGCATGCTCGTTCAAGAGCTGCCGGAGCACTTGTCAGACAGCAAGTGGCACACGGTGGAAGCGTCTCTGGGTGGTGATGTCAGCCTCATCAAGTTACTCTGCACTGAGGGAAGCTGCACCAGAGACTTCAGCACTGATATCCCGTTGCTTGAGCAAGCCTCCACTCTCCCCGATCCAGGAACAGTTCGTCAAGGCCTCTTCATAGGAGTGGTCGGGAGGAACTGGGGTTTGAGCAAAGTGGAGGATGAAGCAGAGAACCCACCAGCTTTTCTGGGCTGCTTCAGGGACGTGTTTGTGGGTTCACATCTGGTTTTGCCTGTTGTCGCACCAGGAGATTCAGATGCCCAAGCAAACCTCACTGTGGGCTGTAGCGACACAGACAAGTGCGATGAAAGCCCTTGTCAGAACCGAGGGCGCTGTGTGAGCCAGGGCTGGAGGAGCTACACGTGTGATTGCCAAAGGCCATATGAGGGACACAACTGTGCAGAGGGTAAGTAAACCCTGCATATATACATATACATTAACACCACTGCATGTCATTTGTAAAACAGGTCTGTATCCTCTTTGCTTCACTCTTGAATTTTGATTGGAATTGAAAAAGGGTCGAATCATATAGTTGAGGGTATTGGTGCATTCGGCTCATCACATCTCTCAGACATATTGTTATTTACTTTTTTTAATATAATTTAATTATTGTTTTTATTTATTCATTTTTATTTACCATGGTAAATCACTTTGGTTCACCAAAAAGGTTGTTGTAAAGGGCTGTATAAATGAAGAACATTTACATTTACATTTGATTTATGTGGCAAAGACAAAAAAAAAAACTAGTTGATCATGTTTCTTCTTTCTCTGAGTTTAAGTATAACTCTTTAATGTGTTTTAAATGATTATATTTATTCAAATCATGTTGCTGTTATATATAAATACAGTGAACTTAAAAATACTTTGCTGTCTTTTTGATGCTAAGTTGAGTATCTTTGTTTTGATTGTCATAAAATGCAGCATTTGAAAGACACTATACTGATAGGGTTAAAACATGGCAATGGTCAAGCCAAGTTCAACCTTAGTCACTTTAATGCTAGAACCCAGAAGAGAGAGAGAGAGAGCCTCCCTGCAGGATGATAGTCAGTGGACATGAAAGGAGCTTACAGTACAAGTAGAAATAGCGCAGAGTTATATAATTAGGAGGCATTCAGCAACACCTGGGCTGAGGATTAAAAAAACGTGTGTATCAGTGGTTCACCAGAAGCTCCTTTACTTTGGAAAACTAAGGACAGAGTCACGCAAAGCAGATGCATTTCAGATTATTGGTGTCCTCGGCTGCCTTCTCTTTGAGGATACTCACACGACGAAGTTCACACATTACCAGTCTGTCAGAAGATGCTTTTGCTTTTTAAGGACAAGGAATGTCCTGGTGACACTTAGCCTAGATTTGCATAAAGACTGGGTGATGGAAAAGTCTTTGCCCTTGCATCGCCTTTAAGGCTCTCAAATAAACATGCTGTTTATTGAGGAGTAATGCCACAGCCATATGTTTTCTGGGTAACTCAAGACTCCTTATCAAGAGTCAGTTCACAGATAACAAAACCTGTGTGCATAGATACACTTTGTTATATTTTGGTATGAAATAAAATGTTTATTTTAAGCTCTAAGGATGTTGGATTGACTGATCCCTCTTGTGTTAGTGTTCCTGTACATCATAGTTCCTTGTACTCAGCAAATCTGGTACACACAGAACCGCATGAGTTTTATTTGCTAATCACAGTAAATTGAAAAATCTGATTAATGTAAACTCAGGCATTAATCAACAAAACTGGAACAAGGTAAAGCAACAGAAACAACCGTTGAAAAGAATTTATTCGACAAATGTTGTAATTTGAAATTTGACTCATCCTCCTTAAAGCCCACCACATGAGAAGGTGGGCTTTAAGACTAATATTGCAGCCAAAACCCTTAAGTTTTACAGCCCCTCTCTAAGGACCTATCATGTTGTCCATCTTTTGACACAGTCCGTGTTCCTGACTCGCTCTCTTTCCTCTCTCTACCCTCACAGAGTATATCACTGCAAGGTTTGGGAGTAAAGACCTTGAGAGTTATGCTCTCTTCTCACTGGATGATACCCCTGGTGATTCTCTGACTATATCCATGTTTATTCGCACCAGACAGACCAGCGGCCTGCTCTTTATCCTATCCAACACCACCAGCCAATACGTTCGCCTCTGGCTGGAAGGGGGCAGGGTTATAGTTCAAGTCAACAACTTTGAGACCCTCACTGGTCGAGGTTTGGTTAGTGATGGCCACTTTCATCTGGTGACTATAAAGTTGGAAAAAATGGAAGCCGTCTTGTTATATTCAGCACAGATTCAGGGCTCTATGTCCATACGCCCCATCCATGCCCATGCTGGGGATTTGGTTTTCATTGGGGGGCTGCCAGACTCCAGGGCCTCTGGCTCATTTGGTGGCTATTTTAAGGGATGTGTCCAGGATCTGAGGATCAACAGCAAGCGACTGCAGTTTTATCCCATTTCAACCCCCGTGGAATTTTACAGCCTGAAGCAACTCATCAATGTTGGCCAAGGGTGCAGCAGTGACAACGCCTGTGCCGTGAGTCAAAACATTGCAGTCTTGGTCCCTGTATGGCCCATAATGATCACATTTTTCTTTTCTTAACTGCACTAATAATGACTAAGGACATTATACAACTATTTAGCGGCCTGCTTAATTGATTTGAATTGTCACCTGTCTTTTAGAACAACCCTTGTCTCAATGGAGGAGTGTGTTACTCCATGTGGGACGATTTCATCTGCAACTGCCCCCCAAACACTGCAGGGCGACGCTGCGAGGAAGTGAAATGGTGCGAGCTGTCACCCTGTCCAGCAACTGCTATTTGTCAACCCCGATCCCAGGGCTTTGAGTGTAAGTGTCCTGGGATGATCACTAGCCAAGGCCAAGAACATTAACTTAAAAGTGCATTACGAAAAGATTAAGAAGTCTCAGACCCAGTGGAGGTGACAAAAGATAGAATCCATGCTGTTAATAGTCCAATGTCTTACAACTACCATTGCTTTTCCTATATTTTACACAAACTAATTGCAAAACAAGGGCTATATTGAGCATGTGTTAGCTGTTTAATACACTAATGTATTTCTGCTGTGGGCATGTATCCACTAAGGGAACTCTCAGTGGACACTCTCTGCTGAGGCACTGATTAATTACAGGTTGGCTGATTACACAGAGGAACAGAGTTGAAGCAGGATTCCTCTAAGACGTGTTAATCTCAGGTCAGATTAAGTCTACCACCACATGCCTGTGTAAGTTTATGATGACAAATCTTCCTGGAAAAGTCACATGTTCACAAAGAATAAGGCAGGGGAGCTGCTGGCCCACAACTGCAGCAAGTCTTCCCAATAGACGACTGTACTTAATTAAAGCCTGTAGACTTTAAATAAAGGGAAGCTGCAGTTACAAGCACTGTTGCCAAAGCCATAGGAATAGTTTTAGTAATTTACCTTTGTTCCTATATCTTGCTTTTAAGGTCACAAAGGCAGAATGCGTCAACTGACCATCACTTCATAAGAATTTTACAAATTTGTGTCCATTTAGAAATCTGTGAATAAATTCATCCAACATTCCTGTCTTTGCCCACCTCTACAACCCTGTCATCATGCACTTGCTAGTCTGACTGTAAACAACAAAGAACCAAGGAATTGATTGCATTTTCCCAATTATCCACTGGCCACATTGATAGCTTTGAAAAACTGAGGAAGTTTTTTGTGATTTTAGTGCCAAAAGTCAAAGAATCGATTCATAAAATGTTTGAAACCTTGTTTATTTATTATTGGCTACTCATTTCTGAAACTTGATGTTTGAGTCTAACTTATCCTCTGAAAATCTGGTCTTTTTTGACAATATTTGCGGTTATGTACTGGTGAACTTTGGTGAATTTTGATATTGTTGGGTGCGGTGAAAGTCACACCATCACAGTCTGCTCCATGGATCATTAAATCGTAGCGAGAGGTGACCCTTGAGTGGGAAAAGTTCCTTTTTTAAAATTTAAAACCAAGTTTTCAAATGGTTCATGAAGAGAACCCAACCAATGTGAAGTTCAGGTCATTCAGCATCTCTCCTGTTTCTCCTCCAGGTGTGTCCAATGTAACATTTCGTGAAGGAAGCAGTGTTCTGCACTACCGCAGTAATGGGAGGATCAAGCAAGGCCTCAGCAGCGTCTCTCTCCGCTTCCGCACAAGGCAGAATACTGCAACCTTGCTGCATGCACAAAAAAACTTAGAATACCTCACTATATCTGTCCTGGACTCTAATGTGGTCATGGAGCTGCAGACTCGCAGGTCCACCAAGATCACAGTCCACAGTCAAGGCCCGATCAATGATGGAGAGTGGCACAGTGTGGAGCTCAGTATGGAGAATCAGGTGTTCCCACCCTCCAGGTGGATCATGGTTGTAGATCGAGATGTGGAAGAGCTGAGTGTGTCTAAAACAGCTGCAGGGAACCTAGATTTCCTTAGAGAGGGAGCAGACATCTTCCTGGGAGGACTGAGCTTGGATGCTGGTGCGAGCATGTCTGGCTGTCTGGGTATGGTTGAGATAGGGTGGCTTCCTCTTCCTTTTTTCCTGGACACAGAGTTGAATCTCCCCAGACCTCAGGTGGAGCAGTTTGTCAGAGTTAACACCGACACGGCTCCACATTATGGCTGCTGGGGATCCATTGTGTGCACTCCAAACCCTTGCACGAACGAGGGTGTGTGTGAAGACTTATTTGACCTCCATCACTGCAAGTGTCCCTCAGAGTGGACAGGACTACTGTGCCAGTACCCATCTGACACCTGCAACTCTAGCCCATGTATCTATGGCAACTGCACCAACCTAGAAGGCGGGTTTAAGTGTGTATGTGAGCCGGGGTACAGTGGAGAACTGTGTGACGTGGAAGTTGATATGTGTGAAAACACCAATTGTGGTGAAGGATCCACATGCATCAAAGGTCTCCAGAGTTACGCATGCCTCTGTCCTCACAACATGACTGGCCTATACTGCGAGTGAGTCCCTCCATAGTAAATTGATATCTCTTAACTGTACAATAAACAGGTAGAGAGTAAAAAAGCCCTGAACTGTACTGATTTGTAAACTGGTCTCTTCCAGTGAGAAAATTCGGGAGATCCCATGGTACATTGAAACAAGCCCGTAAGTATATGTTTCTATCATTTCACCAAACTAAATGATTCATCCAACAAGATAAACAAATAGAACGGACAATAGCACACTGTTTCTTTATTGTTTGAGGGTGGCGAGCTCTTTTACTGTAGCTATAATATCACGCTGCTGTGTCCTAGGTTTTTATGATTGTGGGGCATCAGACAAATCCTTAAGTCACTTCTTCATCAATTAGCAGCAGTGCATTTATTTATTTAGAGGGAAATCTTACAATATAACAACCTCTAGGTGCAGTAAAACCTAAACTAACTGCTGAGTCCAACTACTTGACTAAAAATATTACTGCTGGCTAAAATATTTGGCTGAAATTTACTATTGAGTTTGGTAAGGTTACACAGTACAGAAGGTGTAAATTCTTACTTAACTGAATGCCATCTAGGAATGTAATAACTTGCTAATGTAATATTAGCTAGGACGCAGTTGAAAACTTGGCAAACAGTAGCTAATTAATAGTTTTACTTCGAAAATATGTCCTTCCAGAGTCCTACAATGAATTATCTCTTCAGTAATTAATTTTTCAAGAAACAGGGAAATAATGACTGTGTACAGAAACCTTTTACTTATTTAATTTAAAACCATGGGCACAGCAGTACAACACTATAAAAGTGTCTCAACTTCTCCTCTTGAACGGGTAGATGGAGCAGTGTGGGTGTCATGTCAATGTGGTGAATTAACATTCCTTACGTTCTTCCCTGGGTTCAGACTTCCTCAGTTACCCACATCAGCATGCACAGGAACAAGATGGAACTACAACTGCTATAATGGAGGAAACTGCTCAGACATAGACGACACCTGTTACTGCTTACCTGGTTTTGTTGGAGTGTGGTGAGAAAAACTGAATGATTTATAACCCTCTTTGCTTCCCATAGAAAGTGACCCTGATGTTTACGAAGGATGAAAATGAGCACCAACACGAGGTCACCAGAAAGGCCATAAAGACTGTCAGGGTTTATAAATTAACTCCACTATAGCACTTTGAACAAAATCAAACGATCGGAAAATCTACCATAAAAGTATTTTGTAATTTGTATGCCAATGAGAATCTGGAGACCTTGAAATAGGGTCGTATGCCAGAAATAGACGACAAAAACTCTGCCACAGGCTTGTGCATAGCTGCCATAGTCAATATCATTGTATAGTCATTGCATCCAATCGAAAATGTAATTAAAAAATAATAATTCTCAAACTGGTAAGAACAAAAAGATTAATTATAGAATATAGCCCAACTTTATGGCTTCTGTGGTTTTTTGAGACAAGATTTTTTTACCCTCAGCTTGGCCTTGACTATGTTGGTTCACTTTCAAACTCTTCAGTAGTTTTTTTGTCATTAAATTTCAATGCATTAAAGGCCATTTAAAAGCAAAATGGTTCCTAAAAGCTGACTAAATGCAAAAAAAATAAAAATAAAAAAAAATAAAAAAACAGTGAGCAGTCAAAGACACAAAATGTTTAACATTGAAGTCATTGATAGTACTCCACCGCCCCCTACTGGCCGAAAGCTTCCTATTCACATTCCTTAAACAGCTAGTACTAGTTCCACTGACAAGAATAACTGTTTCACCTTCACCTCAGAACAAGTGTCAACGCATAGAAGAGGCTCTGTTTTTGTCAGTGTCAAGACTAGCCCTGGTTGTGTTTTTTTTTTTTTTTTTTTGCTTGAACAGCTTTTTATTATAGTATTTTAAAATTGTACTATTGTCCTCTTTCCCTTTTTTATCAATCCAGGTGTGAGCGGGATGTTGATGAATGCGCCTCAGACCCGTGTATGAACGGAGGCTTCTGTGTGAACTACGTCAACAGCTTTGAGTGTGTGTGTGAGATGAATTTCTCAGGGATCTACTGCCAAATAGATGCCAGTGACTTCTACTTGTACCTCTTCTTGGGACTGTGGCAGAACCTCTTCCAGCTGGTGTCCTACTTTGTACTACGCATCGATGACGAGCCGGAAATTGAGTGGGCGTTCCACGAGAACGAATAGACCCCTGCTGTCTTGAGATAGCCACTCCATATGAAAACTCAAAAACTTGTCAGACAATCAAGTTAAACCCAACTTACATTTTACAGTTTAATTTTGCTAGATCAAATTTAACAGGGAATTTAATGCAAAAAATGAACACACAAAGTGATATTGTATTGTGTTTAGTGTTCTGACAAAGTCAGAAATGTGTCTGTTGTGAACAGATTTGTGTGACAGTGAATTTACATATCGCACTATAACCCTATATGCATGAATGTATTGTGTCTGGTTCTCATACTGAAAACCAAACAGTAGTTTGTTTTGTGCCTTAAACTTTCTCTTTTTATCCAAAGCACTGTAATCTCATCAGTGAATGATCTGCAACTGTTCAGGGATTCAACAAATTATAATCTCTCAGTTATTAATACAATACATGTCTCTAAGTAGTATATGTACAAATAATGTTGAACTTTATAGAAAAAGATCAAAGCTACTCTGCATGCAGTGCATTCAGAACATTTTCTGTACAGCTGAAAGATGAATAAATAAACTTCTATAATATCCACCAACTGTTTGCTTTCATTCAAAACTTTGTGCACAGACTTCCTTTTTTGTTGTTGTTTGTTTTTTGTATTTATTTACAGAGACACAGATTCTGTTTGGTCTTCTCAAACCTTTTTAATAATGCAAAAAATTTTCTTTACAAGTGCAAACAAGGTGAAAAGCAAAAAGGACGAACACAAACTATTTTAGATGAGGTTTGCTCGGCTGTCCGTTCTCTAAGGCTGTTGGCGCACTGTAGATGTTTGAACTTCAGTCAACACGCCTGATCATCTTAACAATATTGTCATCACACAAGGATGATGATTCAGAATGGACACTGCTCTTCATAAATAAATGCCTCTAACAGGGTCCCTCACACAGGCTCAGAGCTGTAATAAGGAGCTGCTTTTCCAGACTACAGGTTTCCACAGATTATCAGTGATACGTACAGCTTCAAGATAGTTGTCAGCCTTCCTCCCGCAGCCTACATTCACAGAGCTCTTTGTAGATCCTCTTGCGTATCTTTGGTATGTCCTTCTGAGAAAACTTCAGAGGTTTGCCCAGGGCAAGACATCGAGAATACTGTTAAGGAAAAAAAAGGGAAAATGTCTAAACAACCAGTTTAAGCCACCAGGTATTAGAATGATTGATGTGTTATAGGAGAAAAACACAGCAGTACCTCCAAGACAAAAACTCCACAATCGTTCTCATTGGTCTGCTGCGGGACTTTCTGTAATAAACAGCAGGGGGAGTCAAGAGACCGTCAGTGTGTCAGGTGCTCTGTGTCTCTGACTGTGTTGGTCCATCAGATCAGGTTATTCAAACATTAGTTAAAAGTACCTCATCAAAAGATACAGCCCAGCCATTTTCAAAACCGCTTTGTTTCTTTTCCTTTGCTTCTGTCATCAAGTATTTCAGGATGTTCTGTTGAAATCGAAGCAAAGAGAAAAACCCTCTTTAAGTGTGTTGCACATCATCCGAGGCCACTTTTACACATCACACTGCATCTCCAGACAACTTCCAGACATTGTCCTGATAAGAGGACGGGGGCAAAAGTCTCAATCTGCTCACCCTGACTTGATGCAGACTATTCTCTTAGTTACAGTTACTGTGTAAGAGGGTTTTTATGATTACCCAGGATGTCTGAGATAGGCTCTGCTTTTACCCTTGCAATCTTCTGAAGTCCGTTCCCTTGGGAGTCGTAGATGCAGATCTTCTTTTTGGCGATATCTGCTGACACCAGACACCAGTGGACCTCCAGGTGGATGGGCACCAAAAGCATACTCTTGGAAAACAGATCCACCTGCATGAGAAAGGCGGGTTTAAAGCCTAACAACCTGATCGGACTTAAACGTTTCACTAATAGTTCATTTTCAATTTTCACATGAAAACAGAAGTCTTTACTACATTGATAACTGATTACAAATCTTCCATCTGACCTGTTTTGTCCACCTCTTTACACCCTCATATCCTTTTGTCATGAGCTGCCTGTGGAAGAAGCTGTTGAGGAAATGGACCTTAGAGAGGAGAGAATTACAAGCTTAAAAAAGGATCTTTTTTTTTGTTTATTTTCAAAAAAAACAACTTGGCTTTGGAAAACAAATCAAGACCCATAAACATGTATACCTTGTGGTGAGTCGACTCCATAATCAGTTCCCCATACATGTTCATAACCTGGTCGTTGAGCCAGTTCTGATCCGCCAGTGTAGACAAGTCATCTAGGGCCAGAGTGTGTTTCTTATAGACCACCCTGAAGGAGGGAGCGGGCTTCTGAACTAAACAAGATTCATATTTGGTCACTTCTGAGCATATGAATCTTTTCCTGCACAGAAAGAAAAACACAACACTGAGGACTGGTCCAGATTAAAACAAAACACACACTCAACTTAAACCTCCACCTTTATTATGTTGTCAAACAACACTAATAAAAAGTGGTGCTCTTGAGTCATTCAGCTTTGGAGTGCATAAAATCGTTTGTATGGATTCTGAGAAATGTACCAGTCATTGAAATCTGTGTTAAACCTCCCCTTCATGTGTCTCAACACATCGGTCTTCTGTAGGGGGATAAAACTTCCATACATTCTGTAGAACTCATCTAGAAATCCTAGGAAAACAGAAAAAATATTGTCATTATCAGCAGCCCTAAAAATCAAAATACAAAGAGACACAAATGAGAGGACAAAAGTGAGAAAGATCTACCACGGATGTCTTTAGTCACTATGAGGCTGACATCAGCTTGAGTAGACAACATCTTTTTTGAGGCAGTAGTCTCATCTGCATCGTTGTTTGTAATCCGCGCTTGACATGGGGTGAGAGGAATAGACTGTCCTGATGGGCTGTTAGTCTCAGGCCTCTGAGCTTGTACAGCTGTCCTTTCTTCTTTTACATTTATGGAGAAACCACAAGCCTCACTGTTTGAAGGCTTGGCCATTTCAATCACTTGTACCAAAGTGTCTTTCTGTTGAGAAGATATTGTTTCCCTGACGTTGCATGAAGTAACATTAGTGTCCATTAGTGAGTTCTGTGAGGAGATGGGTAAAGTCTCTGTCGAACCAACTGATTCACACCGGCTGAATAGGCAGTTCTGCCCTCTAAGTGACTCCTCTGACTTTCCATTAGCACACTCAAGACCTAATGTTCCAAATTCTGAATCATCTGAGTGTGGTGTAGGAAACACTGATGCTTTTATTTTACTTTTCTGTGACTGTGTCTTTACACCGAGGCAGGAGGTAGAGCTGGGGCTGATCACACAGGCTTGTTTCCTTGATCTATACATCCCAAAACCATACCTCTCCTTCTGCCTCCTCCACATCCACAGCTGCAATTTACAGTATAAGCGCCTTTTCGCTCGCCTGGATAGGTGACAAACTCCCTTGATGGATGACATGAATCTCCTCTTTCTCTTGAGGCCCTTTGGTTTATTCCTGTCCCTCTGTGTACGGTGCATCTGGGAGCATCCGATAGGAGTGGGCAATCAAGGGTCACATGAGAGTATGGGTTTGTGGGTATTCTCTCAGCGGCTCAGAGGAGGTCTGAATCAAACAGCTGATCCACACTAGTGTTGAATCTGGGCTCTAGTTTGATGTCTTTGGATGAGATACAAATAACCTCATTTTTCAGGCCATTGTCCACTTTCTCTGCAAAATATCTTCTTTTAATCTGGATCAGCAGTCAGATGCTGATAGAGCTGCAGGTTCAACCACTCGTTGACAGGATGTTTACTGCTTACTCAGTTGTTCTTGGTTTGGCTCTGTCTCTGGTGGCTCACTGGGTAGAAAACTGCAAATCCAATACATCTGATGTACAGAAGAATAATTAGTCATTATATGCATGGTTAAAATTTTCATCTAAATATGAAAAAAAAATGGTTTTGAACACAGGAAAAAAATTTTGTCTACATCTTGCTGCAGACCACAAGGCATGGTGGTGTGAACTACATCATCTTTGTCAGCAGCTTCTCAGAGATGATTCTTTTGCACTGACTACTTTCATATTTACACATGTACACTGTATATTAAAATGCCATCAGCCCCTTTGTTTTATCAGATGAGATTGTCCTAATTCAGCATTCATGGAAGCACATCAACAACAAAATAAAATCATACAGTAAAGCCTAGCATAAAAGTCCACCATTTTAGCTTAGAGGAATAATAAAGTCATAATAGTAGTTCTGGGGTAAGTTGAGCCAGTGACTCAACTGAGAAAGTAAAGGAGTCTGACGAGAGGATCAGAGTTTTAGTTCAGGTTGTTGAAATGTTTTACTTTTTCTTTTTAAAAATACAGCTGTGAATGTTCTGAATCACTTAAAGACATTCTCATGTTGAAATGGCTTTTTACAAAACAGCTTTTTAGCAGTTATATGTAATAATAATAAAAATAATTATTGTACTAGTTGAATAGCGTATAATAGATGAAAAGGCACATGAATGTGAAGAAGTGACTGTTATTTAGGGAGAGAGAAGGTAAGGGAGGGCTGGGGTGGAGAGTGGGGTGGTGGTAGGGGTACGACTCAATTTACCCCGCTCCTATGGTCAACTTACCCCATACACGGGGTAAATTGACCATTAGAGATCACTCTTTTTGGCATGCTATATTATCAAGACAGTTATGTTTACACTCATTCTGTTGATTTGCAGGGATGCACAACATCCTTAAATATATGCAGATACACTAGTTAGAGACAAGACTATGATTGTCTTGATGTAGTGATCTGAAATATGAAACATGGCTCATCTTACCCCACTCTCCCCTACAGGTTTACACAGCACCTACAGGAGCCAATTAAGCAATAGGTCAGTACACTGCTCTTGATACAACCACTTGAAACTTGAATTCGACTAAAAGTCGAGTCTTTTTTTTTTCTTTCTTTCTTTCTGTCTGTCTTCTTTATTTTTTTACTTCAGTGCTGGATCTCATCACTGATAATTTCCTGCTGGGTTTTACTGCTGCAGCTCCATGAAACAGTCACCTGTTTACAGATGAGTTCAACTATTTTCAACCATGTTTGAGAGGAAATTAATCTCTATCATCGAAGCATCATGCGTCTTTTGTTAAAGCTCACTGCAGTTTAAAGACAGCCCTGAATGCAGAGTGAGAACCTGTGTTTCACAGAGGTTAGTCGATCAGAAAAATATCTTCCTTTACTGACACAGCTGTGGATGACAACAGGAGAGCAGGTAGCCTTACCGTGTCTGTGCAGTAGTCTTATTGAAAATTCAGAGGAGGATACATCAAAGTTTCACAAATGCCGAGTTATTCTATCATGATTCTCCAACTTCTGGATGTTATTCCATTTTTTGTCAACGATATTCAGCCAGTTTCACACTCTCAAACTGCAGCGCACTGAGCATCATGTGTACAACCATCCATTGCACTGTTTGAGTCGCATGTGGATTGTGTCACTGATGCGCGGACCAATCAGAGTTGACTGCGAAATACAGGTTAAATTGGCGTTTGGTTTTGCGTGTAGGAGTATTAGAGCGATATTTAGAGCGGTATCTGACTGGTTTCACGATTCAGCAACGTTACCCCATTTTGATTTACTCTTCTTGATTTTCCATTTATCGGTTTGTTGCTCGGTATAAATAGTAGCATACTCCTCACGCACAAAATGACCGTGTTTTACTTTATTATTCGTATATTTCACACGCATACAGACTGCTTTTATCGTTAAAATCAAAGGGCAACTAGGATCTCAGACAGGAAGCGTCTCTAAATCTCAACACATTTACAGTTGGGACTCTATGGTTGGGTGAACAATATTCATATATTTATGATCATTTGACTGTTTTCAGTGTGGCTTGTAAATTTAGAATTAAAAAGACAAGCTGTTGTAAGTCACAAGAGATTATTCAGCTGGAGGATAATAATTAACCCAAGATAGCAAAGGTCCCATAGGTAAATACTCGGAATGAAAAGATCCCAAATCAGCCTGATTCTCATGTCATGAATTTAATCAGTAGTTTATAAAACTTGTGTTTTCCACTCAAGAGGATAAGAAAAATTTTAAGTTTTATAAAGCTTGGCTCAGATCTGGTCTTTAAAAAACCCTAGATGATAAAAACGTATTAAAAATCCAAAATAAGAACGTGCATATATTATGTACAGCTGAGAAACTACATTTTCCAGTAGAAAGAATAAACAGATATTGCAAAATCTACATAGAATAATATCAACTGACTGATTATGATTAGATCAAATAAAAGAAAAAGAAAACATTGCCGGGCCATGGTTCTCCATTTCTAAATGGCGATAAGTGGTTGGTGATCCTAATGAAATTTCCTGTTGCTTTAACAACTTTTTGCAAGTTTTTGCAAATTAAGGTACTTAGTTATTTAATAATGATATGGAAAGTCCTTAACATTACTCAGAGGAAAAAAAGACATTATTTCTGGACTTCCATTTAGAGCCCCTAGAGCTAAATAAATAGTGTTTGTTTAAAAAAAAAAAAAAAAAAACCCTCCCTGCTGGCTCAGACAAAATTAGTTATTTGTAAAAGTAATGTCAAACTACACACTGGAACCTCTCACTTAGATCTTATTCCAATCTCCGGCAACTGAGGTAATTTCATAGACCGTATATAGTATACTACATAAATTCTTTGGGTAACTTCCAAAGAGTTTGACAAAAGGAAAAGAAAAAATTGTGAAGGTAAAGAACACGTCTGAGTGGCATTTTAACAGCTTGTAGATGAAATACAGGCAGCTGCAAACAATGAAAATCATGCATTAGACATTTATCTAAAGACTTGTCATCAGGGTTTGACATTGTTGATCATGATATTCTGTTTGCTAAATTACAATTCTGTTGTTTTCTGTACCATATAAAAAGATTTTAGTACATAACAAATCTGAATGCATCACTTCAAATGTAATGAAGGAAACAGAAATAATCAGTGCCTAACTAAGTGATGGGGAAGACCTGCTCATGAGAAAGCTTGTAATTTTCATTATGATTAGTGCTCACAACCAAAGAGCCGGTAACCATATCTTAGCTGACATCCCCCTCAAACGTCCTTTTTAAGGATCGGTGGTATGAAACTTGGCACACAAACTAAAACTCATCTGGGGAAAAAAAAACACAGTCTCATAAAACACTGGAAACACAAAACACGGCAAAAATTAAAGTAGAAAACACAAGAAAAGGGAATTTAGTACAGATGTCTTTATGCATCCTAGAACAATATTGATAAGTAATGTATTGTCTTAGGCAATATCCCTGCTTGCTGTTGACCTGGAGCAACACCAGTGTATTGTGCATAAGGTCCAATAATAAGTAAATATGTGACCAGCCGCACCAAGTGTCCCAGTCTCTAGACTATGGCCCCCCTGTTGGTAAACATCCTGTTTTAACTAAATGCTGTTGAGCAAGTCAGTGAATCCTGGCCGCCAGTAGCGCCCTGCTCACTTTGACATGAGGAAAGGAACAGTTTTTAACAATGTTTTAGCAAAAAGTTAGTCGTTAAGTAAAATATGTAAATACATTTGTCCGTTTCTTTTTTTTTTTTTAAACACTGATGGTGGACATGTTTATATCACCACAATGACCACTGGTCTAAGTTATCCCCACACCGGTCTTTGTCAGCTCACATTTGCTTTGGCAGGGATCCCAAAAAGTGAATATCCTGAGTGTGACGCAGGAGTCAGTGGGGACAATCATGGTGTTTGACTTGGCTCTTTTGTCCTGTTTGAAGTACAAGTTATATATGCCTGATACTGTTGGAGCTCTCCTCTCCATACCTTCTTCTGCTCTGATACTCACTGAAATGAATCCACTACGCATCTCTGTGGTTCTGGTTCTGCTGGTGGGTCAGTGGGCCCAGGCCAGTGTTCTGTTCCCTGAGTGTGACTCTCCTGAGGCAGAGGAGGCTGCTCTGGTGGCTCAGGATTATCTCAACGAACAGCACTCTCATGGCTACAAGTATGCTTTGAACAGGATTGAGGACATCAAAGCCTATGTTTTGGTAAGTTGTGTATTTGTTGAGAAAGTTGCCCCTGTTTTCAAGAGTTAAACTGAGACAAGGGATGCAGAACATACAAAATTATTGTCAGGTTAACTTTTCTTTGCCACTAACATGATTATATAATATAAAGAATGAGACTGTAGGATATGGTGAGAATAGTAGTTTTGAATAAATATGACACAGACAATTTAAAATGATTTGGGAAAGATGCATTTCCCAGATCCTCAATAGCAATTAAAGTTGTTTAAAGACAAAAATTAATTCGCTCACAAACGTTTTTTCTTCTTTTTAAATGGTGCTTTCACCATTCCTTCCTTTAATTGTTTTATTTCATGTTAGCTCCATATATAAACTGAAATACATCCCCCAACACTTGGGAGAAAACAACTCTCTCAGCTCTGAGCCTGTAACAGCAGAGCAGAGCTATGTCCAATATCTGTCTGATGTAGTAGAAATGTAAAAATAAACGAATAAATGAATAAATAAATAAATAAATATAATTTAAAAAATACCTGATATAAGTTTTACCTCTCCATAGCCTTCAGGAGACACCATGTACACTCTGGAAATTGAGCTGTTGGAGACAGATTGTCATGTGCTGGATCCTACACCTCTTGCAAACTGCACAGTCAGACCCAAAGTACTGACGGTAAGACACTTAGACAGAGAAGCCTTCATACCAAAGCTGAAGAAAGAAGACCAACTAAAAGGGCTCTTATGGGACTTGGATTGTGTCTATGTCTCTCTCGTTAGGCAGTAGAAGGAGACTGTGACGTGGTGCTGAAGAAGGCTGGAGGAGTTCTGACTGTCACAGCATTTAAATGTAAAACAGAAGGTAACCCCCCCCAAAACACACACATACACACACACCACCAAAAGCAAAGACACCTTCATACTTACCCTACATTTCTTTTACCACATACAGAATCAACAGAAGACTTATGTCTGGGCTGTCCAACCCTACTTCCCCTGAATGACACTGCAGCTCTGGACTTTGTCCATGCCTCTCTGGTTACCTTTAATAACTTCACTGCAAACGAGACCTATTCAATTCTGGAGGTTGGACGGATGTCTTCACAGGTTTGTCTGGAAGGTTTCATGCACAAGCACATTAGATGACCTAAGATGACCTGTGTCTGCAAATATCTATACATTTTTTCATTCCTTGTTTCAGATCGTTTCTGGTGGGCCGGCCTATTTGGCAGAATATATTATAATTGAGGCTAATTGCATGAATGATTCCTGTGTACCCATGAATGACACCATGGCTGTAAGTACAGAGATTCAGATTTTAACCAAGAATTAGAAATATTAAGGAGTGTTTTAAATTTAATATTCAAAGTTGAGCTCACAGGCACATTGAAAAAACTTTGCAAAAATGGTAAACCTGGACACTCAACCAGTCAAAACAGGGCAAATTACACCTTTATGTTTTTTTCCCAACCAGGCACGTGGTATCTGTATTGCTAAGGGTTTGGCTGCTGACCACACAGTGGACTGTAGGATGTTTGGAACTCTGGTAAAATAGTCTATAAAAAAAGCATGTTGCCTTAGGAGAGGTCATACACTTTATTAATTTTATCAATTATTTTTCCTTACCATGTGATAAATGCTTATAAACCTTTTCAGATGCCTGCTGTGGATGTCAACAGCACAGCAGCTGCAGCTCCTGCAGCTCCTGCCATGCCACCCAAGCACGGTCTAAGATTCCACAAACTGACGACCTTCCACAACCCTGAACTGAACGTCCTCCTGTCTGCGGAGTCAGCAGAGTCAGCTGAGGTTGTACCTGTAGTCCCTGTGGTTGTTGAAATAGATGTACTACCAGCTGCTGATCCTTCCTCAGCTCCTGCCGATCCAGCTGCTGATCCTGCCACAACTCCTGCCGATCCAGCTGCTGAGCCAACTGCCGATTCTGCCACTGATGCTCCTGCTCCTGTTCCAGATGATGACAGTACATCTGCCGCAGATGTTCCCTCCAGTAAGGAGTCCCCTCTTATGTTTAAGAGAGATGTTGATGCTGTATCTGCCCCTCCATCTCAAACTGGTCCTATTTCCCTCATGCCAGTGTGCCCAGGAAAGGTCCGATTTTTTTAAGCATTCAGATCCCACGGGCTGTTACGATTTCTTTCAGTGTACCTGTGGCTCAAAGAGATACATGAGCATGTCTTGTGATAAAAAAAGCATACCTGGGGGACTTCTTGAAACCTCAAACAAAATGTATTTAAAACTGAATCATATATAAGCTTTATGCATTTCAAGACAACTAAGTGTTTGTAAAAAGTATTCTGAAGATCATCATTTGGTGCTGTGAAATAAACCTCATAAGAACATGCTTTGTTCATTTGGTACTCATACATCCTTTAAAGGTTTTACAATACCTCTTCTCCAGTTTATCTAACAGTAATCAATGAGATTTAGAGATACCGAAGGCCTTTTACAAGTTTGATAGAGGGAAATTGATAGCCTATGTACACAAAAGCACTAGTACCAAAAAAGCATTTACTCATTCATGTCAAATCTCTGATTGCAAAACAGAGCTGTTTGCCAATTTTGTTGACTCATATCAGGGACATTCCTGTGAACCCATTGACATTTCCACTGACACATTTCCCATTTACTGAAAAAAGTATATCCTACTTAAACTCTCTGCAACACCAAACAATGCTTTTAAATACACAGATTTACATAAATCTAAAAAAAAAAGATTCACATTCAGCAGATATGAGATATTTCAGAGGAGAGGACTTTTCTGTGTCTGGGTTTTTCTTATTGGGGCCAATGTTAATGAGTGGGCAATTCTTAGTGGTATTTACTCAATAGGTCAATGTTCAGGAAGTAACAGTTCATGGTAACGCAAAACGAGCAAGACAAATAAGTTCAACAAGGGCATTGGCCTTTTGTTTCTGCACAGCGGATATAAAACCAACATGTAGCGACTGTATACTCGTCAACTGGTCAAAGAAAAAACAAAAAGCTGTCCTTGAAAGCCCACGCAATGAAGAGATAAGGACTCAAACAACATGCTTGCCCATTCATGCCATGAAAATGCAACCCTTACAATTGTAGGAAAAAACAATGTAAAGCTTATTTTGATGTGTTTACCAGAAGTAAAAATCAAGAGGGTAAAGACTTGTTTCATTATTTTATTCACATTTAAGGCAACTTATTCCTGCTCTTCACCTCCCTCCTGAATGGGTTGGATAAATCCTGCAAGAGACACACATTAGTTGAAAAGTCTGGGATAAGAAGTTATTAAGAATTACCTTTACATACCATTTGCTGGCTGGTCAGCTGCAGGGCTCCATGGTTGAAATGCTTCTGGGAGAATATGAGAAGTCCTTTGGCCTGAGCTAAGGGGTGTCATTGGTTTCCAGAAGTCAGAAAATCCAGGCTCTAAATGATCTGAAGTGAAAGAGCGATCTTGGGGCACAAAATTAGGGTCAACTGGAGCAGAGATGAGCTGCGAAGAGCTTGATCCATCACCAAATCCGGGCATGTAATTAAAGCTTCCTGGTGAGGGATTGGACAGTCCTTGCTTCGGCCATTCCGGTTGTTGGGATTCTTCCAGTGGGAGGTTTAAACTTTGAGGATACTGCAGTTTGTGGTTTTGATTGTTTGCATCATGAATATGGTCAGTGGAAGGCAGAGGTAATCTGTTAAAGCTGTTTGACGTCCTGCTTGGTGGGCCATGCTGAAGAAGCACATAACTCATTGGTTCAGAGTAGGTGTTACTCATTGGTTGATGATTGGAGTCCTGCAAATTTCTGACGGAATGCTGTGGTTGCAAGGATGGGTTGTGATTATTGTTAGTACTATGAGCCCTGTGCAACAGGTGTTGGAGGAGCTGTTTTCTATTTGGGTCATTTGTAACTATATGTCTTTGCGCTTCAGAGCCACTGGATTGACTAACAGATGGCTTTTGTTCTGTGGTTATTGGATACTGCACCCCTGGATTAACCTGACCCTTTCCCAGAACCTGTGATTGAGACGGCAAACTGTGGTGAGCTGGTAATTGACTCTGTGAACCCTCATGTTGTGGTAGATGCATCCAATAAGAGTGCAATGGATTAGGTCCAATAAGAATTGGTTGTTGGTTTGTCAGCATGCTGGGATTACTTCCTTTCATGGTATCAAGGCTGCCATCTGGTGGCTGATGATATTGCTGCACCGTTTTTTTAGATGATGCAGGCTGAGCTGAAACAGGTGTAGAGATGGGAGCTGGAGGAGCTTCAGATGTTGTACCAGTTGACTTTTGAGGAAGGGGAGCAGAAACCAAGTCTTGGTCAAACCCTGAAGAGTACATTGAAGGGAGGAATGGCAGACCTGGATAGAGAGGAGGTGTCTCTTTTGCAGGTAAGATATGGTGGAGGTGTTGATGGAAAGCAATTTGAACACAGCAATTGGATATTCCAGATGGGCAAGATTGTGGGCAGTACACAGGTGGCTTATATGGAGGGCCTGACTGAGAGTCCTGCGTGTCTGTGCCACCTTTACTGGGTTGTTGCGGTTGCTTTCCAAGAGTGACAGGGGGTAAGGTTACAAACTGAGGGTCCGGGGGCAGCTGTGGGATTGTGACAGTTTGAGTATCTCCATTTGCTCCAGCACTCTCTGTCTTAGAGGACTGATGATCAGGTTTTGGAAGTTTACTTTCAGGGGTGGTAGGCTTCTGTACAGCAGCAGGCTGATTTTCAGGCTGGGAGTAGAAAGGGAAACCATGGGGATATCTGTAGGGATAGTGGTAGGTGTAGAATGGCCTGTACTCTTGGGACTGAGGGGTTGCAGGCTGCTGTGGTTCTGGGGGAGATGTGGGCTTCTCAGTGAGTGGTTTCTGAGGCTCTGGCTGTTGTACTTGGTCCTTTGGGGCTTCAAGCTCTGGTGTTTTTGGAAGATTTGCTGCAGGTTGACCCTGTGATCCAGGCTGAGGATAGAAGGGGTAGTGGTAAGGGTAAAATGGCTGATAAATCTGACCCGGAGAGCTATCAGGATCTGATGGTTTTTGTGCAGCAGCAGGCTTTTCAGAAGGTAGTTTTTCAGACCCTGGAAGAGGGGAAACTGGCTGGTCCCCTTTGCCTTTGGGAGATTCCAGGTGAGGGGGTTGTACCGGTTCATTTCTAGATTCTGGCAGGGGGTAGAAAGGGTACTGGTAAACTGACATGTATTCTTGTCTTTGAGTGGTTTCAGGCTGAGGTGGCTGTGGAGGCTCTGCAGTACCAGCAGGCTTCTCAGCTGTTGGGTTTTTAGGCTCTTGCCTGTTATTATATAAGGGATAATAGTACGATGAGGATATTGGAGCCTCTGGTGATTCATGCTCCACAAGTTCTGGTGCAGATGGGGATTTTTCTGGCTGGGGATAAAGAGGAAACTGCTGGTGTGCTTGGTTTTTTGGAGCTTCAGGTTCTGGTGGATGAGAGGGCTTTGCTGCCAGTGGATTTTCAGGATGTGCAGACTGGAAATAGTAGGGATAGAAGTAGAATTGTGGGTGTTCTTGGCCCTGAGGGGTTTCTGGCTGTTGCGGTTTCATAGGAGCAGTAGGCATGTCAGGTGGTTTTTCCATCTCAGGCCAAAGATTGGACTGTTGGTTAATTTGACCTTTCGGGGCTTCTGGCTGTGGTACTTGAGGGGCAGCTGGAGCTGGTTTCTTTTCAGGCTCTGGTTGAGGGTAGAGTGGGTATTGATAGGGGGGGAATGGCTGATATACCTGACCTAGATGGTCAGAGGATGGATGTGGAGGTTTTGGAGCAACAGGTAGCTTTTCAGGCTCTGGCTGAGCAGATGACTGTTGAAATTGGCCTTTAGGAGCTTGAGGCTGTGCTGGCTGTGAGGGCTTTGTGGCTGGGTGAGGCTCTGGCTGGGGGTAGTAGGGGTAGTGGTAGAATGACTGATAAACTCGGCCATCAGGATTCGCTGTTTGCTTTGCAGGGAGGTCAGTTTTTTGCACTTGTTTACCACCATTTTTCACAGGAGGAGAGAAAGGTTTTTCAGTAGGTTTAGGTTCTGGATTGGCAGGATAGAAGAAATTGGGGTAAGTAGGAAAGTAAGGCAACTGAGGTTGATCAATATTTTCAGGGGCATGAGTTTTCACAGTATTTTGTGACTGGGCGGGGGTATACACCCCCTTGCTTGGTGGTTCCGTTTGTGGATTTAGGTCCTTGACTGGATATGTTGTGGATTCCTGTCCAGCTGGCGGCAGTGACGGACAAGAAATTTTAATTTCTCCATCCCCAGCAACTTCTAGGGTATATATTCCATCCTAGAGCATAACAATTCAAAAGTTACAGCACTTTCTTTTTTTTTTTTTTTTAATGGATGGAATCTTAGAGTTTAGATAAACAAGCTGTTACTTACGGTTTTAAGCAGGCAGGGTGTATAAGGAACAGAGATGACAACGCCTTCAGGATGTGTAACTACACCAAAACCACATCTTGATGAAGCAGTCATAAGGGGCTCCCAGTCGCCAGACACTGTAAAGTAATTTAGCAAGACTGAGCGTAGTCTCCAAAACTGTTGCATAAATTCAGAGAGCAGAAAGTCGCAGGGATCACACTTTTAGGTGTTTGCTGTGTTGTATGAGACGCCAAACGGGAATTCAAAATAAATCAGAAATCTATCATTTACCCAATTTTGATCATTAAAGGCTCAGAAAATGAGCTAATTAGCTAATAAAAAAGGGACAGAATGGGCATTTTTATTTAATACAAAGAAAGCTTAAGGGCTCACTGCTATGATCCTAACTTGATATAGCAAGATGTGCATGCCCTGCTTAGATATTGATGTGCAACACAGGGGCTCTAACAGAAGGCCTTTCACTCCCTTTACAGCAGCGAAACAAATGTTGTGTCAATTGAAAATACTTACACTTCATTTTTATTTTAGCGGCAGACATGGTCCATTCTGTTTTAACTATCATGCCCTCAGCTTGGCAGGTGACCACTGGAGGATTAGATGACTGCCTCATCAAAGGGCACGACATCCTTACTGGTAAACCCCACCAACGCAACGGCAGGACATAAGCGTCCTCCTGAAACCAGCAAACGATATTTACAAAATGGTGTTTGTGTACATTTTCAAGTGCACATCACTTCCAGTACAGAGGACCTCACCTCAAGAGCAACAAAGCAGCCATCATAAGGTGCCGATAAGACCAAGTCTCTCCTCGTTGACTTGATGGAATAGCCACAGCTTGGTGGCAGTTTGGACAGGGGCAGAGGAGACAAGCGACTTCCTGTGTGAATGAATTAAATAGGAATTTAAATTCATGAAATTTCTTGGCATACTTGATGTAGGTCAAGTATTTTAAATGAGAGATAAATCATGATTTCATGAATCAACAGTACACTGGAAATATACCCCTGTCCACAAATAAGAGAGACCCAGGGGTAGAAGCAGCATCTTGGACTTGAAGCTTCATAGAGTCTCTGGTGCATTCAACCTTGGGCTCCATTTGTAGGAGTCGTTCCACCGCTGCATTGTCTTGCTTTTGCTTTGAAAGGCCATGATCCTGTGTTTTAGTTTGCTTGCTCTCCTCCCAACCTTTTAAAAATAAGCTTTGTGAATATTCAATCAGGTATACTGTTCAAACATTTAATTCCAACCTTAGCCTGAAATGTATTCAGCATTTTGCTGACAAATATTTAAATCATTTTTGAAAAGTTTCAGTAGAGATAGAAAAAATGTTGCATTCACATACCCATGTCTGCCTGGTAGTCTGTGTCATGGTTGAGTAGGTTCTTGAAGGTCCTGGCTCTTTTGACTCCAGACATTTGTCGAGTATTTTCACTTATCAAGAGTCTTCCATGGTGGAGCTCGGTACTTACAAGTTGAACATGACCAAGTGTTGAATTTCCCAATAAATTATCTGATGCTTTAAGCCTTGTCAGTTCTGTACAAAGGCAAAATGAAGAAGCAACCAAAAACAGTCCGAAACAAGATAAAATCTTAGAGCTTAGTGAAAGCTCTTGACACGCCATTGGGAAAACAACAAAAAAAGCACTTCCCTGGCTGGATGCCTCAGCAATAAGCTGCAAACACTGAAATTCCTCCACACAGATTGAGCTCTATGTTTGGTCCAAACTACAACTCATCAAGCACCTGGTCACAGCAAGTGTTGCTAGTTAGGCAATCAAGGGCGGAGCATCAGTGTGCCACCCTGAGTACACCACACTTAGAAGCTGACATGAAGTTCTGAATTAACTTTCAATAGGACAATATTTGAGCCGCACAATTATTTTGTATTAAGGTACTACTTTAGGAGGAAATTCAATTCTTTTTAATTGCGTCTCAGGGTTATAAATATTTCTCTTCTCAGGCTTTTTCCAAACGATTTGATTTTGCATACATCAACATTTTTTGCACATCCGCTGAGCCTTTGAAGAATTTCCTTTTTTTATCAAAAAGAACAGGGGGTGGTTTTTGGACAGCACTTGTGTGACCTCATTTGTTTGTTAGGCATGCCAATTTCCAAACATCCCAGTCTTACTTGGGTAAATATTTTATGTTTATTTATCTGTCCTACTGCTGTTTGTAAAATGACTTCTAGGATTTTGATGTTTCACATTTTGTTTTTCTAACAAAAATGATGAAGGCTCAAAGAGTTTGAAAAGATGTATCTTCAGTAGATAACAATTGTAAGGAAGCAATAATTGGCCCTGTGTATTTGTAGTAAAACTATCAAGACAAGATAAATTTGAAACTTAAAATATACAACTCTTTTCAATGTGGCTTTATCAATAAATCCTTCATATTTTCAATCCATTTGCACCACTGGGGTCTTCCTAAACTTGCACATTGTTGTCATGCTATGGCACCAAGAGGGATTAAAGACATGGAGGTGTTTTCATTCAAAGAGTCAGGCTATCACTTAAGTTGGGATCCATGTCAAGTGTAATAAAATGAGACACAACCAATGCAGGCTATTCACACAACGATAAGATACAGAAAGTAAAACTGCAAGAACTGTTCATGCTCGTTTTCTACAGGGTTGATACAGTTTGTAGGGTATTTTTAGGTTAAAAAAAAAAGATGTTGTGGCTTTTGGTTAAGAACTCGCATCTTCCTTACAAATTGCTGACTCCATTGTAGGATCCAACCAGTGTAGAAAGGGTCTCTTTGATGAAACATGTTGCCAGCCAATAGCTGAGTAGCTTATTGCTAATGTGGTACATGTTTTTCCATCTTTCTAGGAAGAAAAGCTGGTTATTTTTTGACTCAGTTTAAGTCAAACAGAAGAAAGAACTTGATAATTCCCCCGACACTTACAGAGGTGACTAATAAGACAAGTAGTCTGTCAAGAGCTTTTATGGTGATACTACAATATCCCATTTATCAGTTTTTTTTCTGCCTTGTTGCTAATAAAACATGCATTTTGCGCTTGTAGTTTGGGCTGAAGACATAGAGCTAATTTTTTTTTACGACTTTTGAAACTGCCCACACACTTTTTATTCTCTCAAGGCAACAGACAGGACATGCTGACTTAAAATCTGGTTGGAATAACTTTTATTTGATCCGTCTGTAAACAAGATGTCTCATCAATTCATGGCATTTGAAATAGCAGATGTTGTGGCAGAGGGAATTTCAAACAAAAAAAAAAAAAAAAAGACAAAATATTTCAAACTTATTTTTTCTGTTGTTTAATTCTGTACATATTCCACAAAGTCTGGAGATTACTGATGCCAAAATATCCCTTCAGAAAGTGCCATTGAAAGTTACTTCTTGCCAGGGCAGCAGTTAAAAATCCAACTCTTGGTAGCAACAGATCAGATCGATTTTATGGCACAGAATACACACTTATTCTCAGAAAATTTTCACAAGACAACTTACAAATGTTCGTATTCCAACCAACACCATTTTCAATATGTTTAGTGTACACAGCATTGTTTTTTTTTCTTTTAAATATACTTCTAAGTACCGTACTGACAATTGTGAATACACCTCTGATGACTAAAGCACAAGGCAGATAATGTCCAAGGTGTTGGAGGCCAACAGCCTGGGTTTACAGTCAAAATGCATTCATACTGTAGTAAAATGGCATTGCCGTTTCATTGGTTAATGGACATGAAGTTAGCAACAAATCGATTAGTGATAAAAAGTTTAAGTAGTGCTGAAGTCTAAGGAAGCAGTTACATGTTTTACAGTCATCTGAAGTTGTCTTAATGGTTTACAGTCAACAGGCAATGCCAACAATCAATCAGAATAAGCTGGAGTCGTTCTGATCATCCTCTTTTACTGACAATTGGTCCAAAGGGGAGGTGGGATGGGAAGGGGGGGAGGGGGCACTCCACATATAACATGAGTGTGTTGTGATTCTCAGATGAATTTACAAACAGCAGAAGCCGACTGAGCCGTCACAGAGGTGGAATGTCCACTGAGACTCCTGGATCTGGATTTAAACTACACTCAAACAACAGCCCGTCGCCACATACAGATACAAGAGCAAAGCATGTGATGGAGGGAAACAAAAGGGCTGGAGGATGGAGATTTGGGACACACATACAGGACTTTGTCAGAGGAAGATTTTATTTATTTATTTATTTATTATTTTTCCAATGGAGGCTTGAAGACGACGAGGTGAGCAGATGGTTTTGGCTAGAATATTGTGCAGTGACAGAGGGAGGAAGGGAGGGGCTGGGGTTTGTAAGTTAAACACAGTATGCATGCAACTTTTAAATGCCCACATGCTGATGATAAAAAACTGCAACCTCAAGGCTGGCATCTTTAATAATGCTCACAAAGCATAACTATGCAAACTGTCACCACCGTTACATGTGTACTTCCCCTTTGATTATTAACCAGTGAATGTAACACAAAGCAAGTCCAATTTTGTGTTCCATTTTTATTACACTTTGCAAAACATTTTTTTGCACACTTTTGGTTAAACATTTAAATGAACATGCCATTACTGCAGTGCTTACATGGAAGTACAATGTTAAAGTGGGGAAGGACTTAAAGAAAAAGAAAGAAAGAAAAAAAGATGGGGAGTGGGGGGGTTGAGCAAAAATAAAGGCTGTGTAAAAAAAAGTAGACTGGGGGGGAGATAATGTTGTATGCCATCTAATCCTGGAAGTTGTGTCAACACAATGCGGTGAGTGGGAGCGAGCTGCTAAGTTGATGGATGGGTGGTGAGGTTGCTCAATATCCAGACTTCCTCAGGTAGTCAGCCATTGTAAATGCTTTCTTGTTCAGAATTCCACCATGGACCGCCTCTTTTCCCATGACTATAACCAATACTGGAGCACACAAGGAAAAAAAGAGAAATGAACAAAATTGAAGAGTTTCCCCCTCCTACAGGATGAAGGAGAGGGGGGGAACACAGGTGACACAGTATCTTACCACTCTTCATTGCTATTAAAGTTTCCAAGACATTTGACTGCTTGCAGGAGAAATCTTAACAGCAATATTTTCTTTTCTCTTCTTTTTTGTCCCTCATTTTATCTATGTGAGCTTGAAAAACATTAAAACCCTGAATCCCTCAAGTATTTTGCCATTGAGTAAGCCTTCTTATTCAATCCGCCTCCATGGACCCCTTCTTTGCCCATTACAAGAACCAAAACTGGAAGAGAAAAGATAGAAAAGAGGACAGTTTAGAAAAGTAAAACAAAAAGGTGGAAGGAAAGGTATTTTCAGTAAAAAGGTGTTGTCTATATTTTAGAGATATTAAACCATGTGCCATGCAGGGTGAGCTGTCTACAGCCCAGTTACAAAGACGAAAAGACTACTCAATTTGTAACTTTAATCACTCAGTCTGGAAATCTCTGGTCTTTAACACATGGTTTGATATCACTACTAAAGGCTAATATAATTAACTCGATTTAAGCTTTAGGAAAATCAGCATACAGAACAGGTCAGGATATTACTGTATGACCTTTGCCGATAGCAACAAACTAGATTTATATCACATTTAAGAGTGAAATGAAAAGAAATCATTTGTTGTCAGAAGTATGAAAAGGATCTCCTTTTAAAGATTCAGACAGTTCATGCAAGAGACTTGAGTGAATATTCTCTCATTTTCACCAGTGTGTGAAGACTTAACTATCACTGCACATGTGAGGGCAAATTAAACGTGTTCATTGACACCAGAGTTTGTAAACCCTTTGTTGAGTACAACATGCATTTAAAGGAGGAAATCAGGAAGTAGTGTTGGAAAAAATGAAAAGGAGAACAGTTTTTGGTTGTGATTGCAAACAGTGTTTCCATCAGAAAAACTAGCAGCACTCAAGATTTTTCCCCAGTAGCAGTTTGTCAGTTTGAAGTGAGAATAGGATGGAAGGTCTGCCAGAGCTTTGCCAGCTTTGTGTAACAACGTAAATGACTTGTGAACCACAAGTCATTTAGACCATTCTTATGGTTTATGGCAGGGGTGGGCAATCATGTGCCATGGAGGGCCTAGAGGCTGCAGGTTTTCTTTCCAACCCAAAACTCCTCCAGGTGATTTCACTGATTACCTTACCTCCAAGCAGAGAGCAAGGACTAATCAGTGAAATCACCTGGTGGAGTTTTGGGTTGGAAAGAAAACCTGCAGCCTCTCGGCCCTCCATGGCACATGATTGCCCACCCCTGGTTTATGGGAAGTGTAAAGCACTTTTGAAAAGTTGAATGACAGGCAAATCTCCCTATAAGAGAAACACTGAAGCAATATTGGACAGAGGACCACAAAGACAAACAGACTGAAGTAGGCCAATGACTGATATTTACTTAAATGAATCAATTATAATAATTATTTATTTAATATTTTAACTGCATCAATAAGTTTTACCAAGAGCACAGCAGGATGTTGGGTCCAAAATCCTTACAAGCTATATTTGAAAATTTGTGATACAAAAGTTGGCTAGTAAATCAAAGAAAAGTTCATTACAGTTATTTTAGTAAACATATTCTTCCATGGTCATTTTCCAACCACAAAAAACATTTGTTGGTTCCAATTACCTAAATGAAAATGTTACTTTTTGTTGTTCAATTTTAGTAACTGATATTTTTTTTTTTTGTTTTCGACTGTTGTTCAAAAAAAACCCAACATAAGACCACATTCAGCCCTGTCAAACTCTCATTTTCACTGTAGTTTTTACTTAATTTAACTGGAAACTATTCATTTTCATTCCTCCACTCACAGATGGATTACAAATTACATCAACTAGTGATATTCTGATTTGGCAAATGTCTGAATTGTCTCTCTCAAGGCTGAAACTAATGCTTATCAATAGTTGAATTTGCAAAATCTTCAGTCCATAAATAGTAAAGTGATTGGACCACCATCCTTTCTCCTTCAATCCAAGGTGATGTCCTGAAATGTTTATTTTCTGACCCTCAGTCCCAATATGAGGAGTATATCATGTGTGACACAGAAAGCTAAAAGTTCTCACATAAGAAGTTGAAACCATAAAATGTCTTGGAAAAGGGTTAACTATCCTCATTGGGTTTCTATCTACACTTCCTAAAGCACTAAACCCTTGTCAAGCAGCCAGAACACAGTGTGATATTTTATAACAAATCACTAAAGGTGTATAAACGCTCAAAATCTTTATTTTCAACATCTGCACTGAAGTAGCAGCTTTTTAATCTAGATATTTACCTTTCCCAGCTCTCCCCACAGCAATGTTGTATGTAGGTTCTCCTCCTTGGCTCTTCGTCCTGATGTCCATTGTCCAGTCGCCATCATCATGCAGGCTGTCTCTGAGGACCGAACACTTCTTAGAGCCCAGAGTGAGACCACAGGTGTAAAAGGTCTCCCTGTCCTTACCGACGAGTACATCAATTTCTTGAGACTAAAACAACACAAGAAACCACCGGGGATGTCAGTCAGCCAGATAAACAGTAGGGATATCAAATATTAAAAAGTTTTAAAGTTGGATCAAAAGTACAGCGTTTATCATTGTACAAGGAATAATGTAGAAGTCAAAGGGCTTTACTGTGGTCAATGTAAGATGGCAAAAACAGTCAAACTCTTGAATAAAGCAGAGCACAAGACTTTTTGGGGAAGAAAGAAATCGGTCTATAAAGAACATCCTCTTTGTGATGCACTGCTGCTTATGCTCTAAAGTTTAGCTGGAACAAAATACAATAATAATGATGATACCTGGTTTTCAATCAGAGCTGAAGAGATATATAAGTAATTTGATGGATAACTGGAATAAAATCATAATCAGTGGGTGGTTTTTGCTAGTCACTTATACAGCAAAAAATAAAAAAAGTTCTGGCTTATTGGCAAGCTTTGCAGTCTTTTGACATAAATGATTGAAAACAGATAATGTGCAGACACTGGATTGTTGGAATGTGGGGGGGGGGGAGACACTATGATTCACAGCCTCAAGCTCTAGAAAGTTTAACTGCACTTCACCATCTTGTGAGACTTTACAGATCTACTGATAAGGGATGCACAGATTGGAGAGTTCCTGACTGATATTGATTCCAAAGTCCAAACTAAAACAAAAAAAAAGGTGGTAGCAAACTGTTCTGAATTATTGGCAACTGTTGCTTATACTATTTTAGTTGAATTACCTTATCCGAGTCAACCCATTCATACTTGTAGAATTGAGTAATCTAAGCATTCATTATTCAGTGGTCTATGGTAAATGCTTGTCCAGAGGGAGGCTATATCAGTCCACACGACTTATAAGCTGCTGCATCCCCTGTAGTGATTGATCAGCATATTAAATTGGCGATGAAGGTAGTGTGTAACCTTATTTCACATATTAGTCGATCCACTAAACTGGCTCATGCTGAATACTGAATAAATATGATTCACTCTGTGTTTTATTGTCATGTGGGGTTTGTGGTAGAAGCTGAATATTTGCAAATTAACTGATATCAAGTACGTGGAAATCCTGGACATAAACTCATCATGCCCCATGTCTGCAGTAGCTGGCGGGGGTGAAGCGACGTCTCAGCAGCGGACTAGCTTTTATGAATGGCTACATTGCTGTTTAAACTGCATCAAAAAATTATATATGCGAATATAATGCTTAATAATCCACCACTTCAATATTTAGGAAGCCTCATTAAGGATGAATAGTCGTCTTGTGGTGTTAGCCTTTTTTGAGCACAGGTAGCCGGTAAGGCAGCAGCAGCTTAACGTTAGCTAATCAAAGCGGCCGTGCACACAAAAGCATGCACGTTTCACCCAGACACCGTCTACACTTGTCTTATTTAGCACCCTTCGGCGTCTCCCAAACTACCAACTAGTGGTTATTCGTAGCATTTAATTTCTTTATTTCTTTCTAATCGGTGTGATTTATGAGTGTAGTCATTGTAGACCCACACGCGGTCTAATCCCGCTGTTTCGGAAACAGGCCACTGATGAACTAGCTAGCACGCTAGCTAGCGCAGACTGTTAGCTTGCTAGTCGAAAGATAACGGTTATTCATTCAACCCGGTGACAATTGAAGAGCCCGGTAGATAACAACACAGTCAAAAATTAAGCATACCCTCGCTTCAGTTTTCCTATTCCGACTTCTTACCGTGATATTGTTGAATGTACCACCGGCATGTGCTGCCCAAACATATTTGGCGTCTGTATATCCAACAATGGCGCTATCCTGACAGCTGCCATCGGCCATCAGGTTTTCCACATAGCTTTGCCAAGACATGTTCAAGATATTGATGCTTTACAAAACTGCCTACAGATGAGGAGAAAGCGTTGTGGATCAAGAGACAGCCAACTCGGAGGAAAGCCGACAGACGAATTTGGAGTCTCCAGTGAAAGCCGCACTTCGACGTTCACCGACGTCAGGGCTGGGGCAGCAAAGAAAGCCAGGGCAGTGAGGCAGCGGCTGGGTGTAGTCCGTATCAGATCACTCCGCACAATGAGCGCCCTCCCCGGCGCTTTTATGGCAGCAGGCGGCGGAATAAAATGGAACTTAACAGCTCAGTCAAGAGTCAACTATCTGAGGGAATACCGGGGTACACAAGGAGAAAGGGGACACACTACTTGAAGCGTTTATTCAGTCAGACATTTATTCATTGGATGTATTTTTATGGTAAAAGGAACAAAGATGGTCAAATCAGTGGATTTCATTCACAGTGAGCGCATAAGTAGTTGGTTCGTTTTAACTGCAGAGAGCCTACATCTTATGTGAAATGTTATAAACTCATAGAAACAAGATATGCTACATTAAATGTCTCTAAATGACATTTGAAAGGATATGTCATTTGGGGCTTCAGCCTTACACAATATTTTTTGATATAACCATAAAACTTGCCTGAATTGTTGCTGAAAAATTATTTAACCGATTACATACCTAAAAATGACACAGGAGTTCTGTTTTAAGTCTTATCTACCTAAAACTTGCTGTAATCAGCAGTCAGACATGTAAATCTTGAAATGGCTTTTGTGTAGAGTTAATGAACATGGTTTGGGATTTCAGGGTGGCTGCTGGCACTACACATCAGTTTTGGCTGTGGTCACCCTCTGCAACCCCCCTGGCTACACCACTAATCCACTAATATTGCAAAGAGGACATAATCTAATAACTTTATAATTAACAGAATCATTAGAAAGTATTTATTTCATATCAGCTATGTCTCTTTTCTATTTTTACACATGGTTACATAAGGTCTTTTTGTGTTTTTTATTATTTTTTGGCTCCCCAGGGTTGTTCAAGGCAAATAGGATAAAGGTTTATCTCTTCACTTGTTCGAATACATTAAAGAGTGCAAATAAGGATCTTAGTTCATTGTTATCTGGATAAAACCAGGACTATAAGCAACTGACTTTGCGAAATGTTCAGTGGCCCATCAACAAATGGTTGTATAATTTCCTCTTTTTAAGTCAGATTTGGATAAAAAAAAAAAAACCCTGACCCAACTTTTTTTTTGTCTAGATCCAGGTCTTACATCACATTTCTGACTTACCCTGCAAACTGGACCTAATGCACACAAAGTCCCACTGTTATTTTACTATTCTTGTGTTGATTGTCAATGAGTCCACAATCCAAAATGCAAGGTCACTTTTTATTTTACAACACAATAAAATAAAACAGTAATCAAAAAGTTGTCTCTTTAGAGCAGATGAATAAAGGTGGTCAAGATTGATTTACACCCCATAACAAAGTATTGCTATATGCTGGGTCTTAATTTTTATAACATTGACTCCAGAAACAAAATTAGTGCTATGGAAAAATGCTGAACCAATAAATATTACCTTTCGATGGAACTACATGAAACAGAATATATTGTACATAAGACACACAGGTTAATTTCTTAAATATGACAGGCCTCCCTTTCTGCAATATTTTTAAATCATCACCTTTAGTTCAGTGTCTTTCTCCTATAGTGCCACTTCAAACAGACACTGGGACAAACTGACATTTGTCAGAGTCAATGACCATCTTTAAACCAAAGACTTGACTATGGGTTAAATTTGCATTGACTGTGTATATACCAGCACAATAATTAGTATGAAACAATAGAATTCCCAACATAAACCAGTTTAAATGGTGGAGAGTTCAAGGTTCATCCAATGTAACCAAAAAAGGAAACAGAAGCACACCACCTTTAGAGTTAAAGTACTGCATATGACCACAAGGGGCAGTCTTTCCTATGTTTTAGGAGACATCTGACCAGTCTGGAGTATCTGGTGCAGGGTTATGTAAAACAGATCTTTTTTCAGCTGTTCAGTGATATTTGGGCATACCTTGTAAACACATGTTTGAATAAAGCTGTGATTTTTTTCTTTTTCATATTTTCTTGTTTGTTTTATTAGTGGATTAAAAAAAACCATACCAAGTTTACTTTTCCACCTGATTGAATGCTGCAGATGATGATGATGATGATGATAATGATGATGCTACACAGTGCTAAAATTAACTCATGCATGATGTAAAGTTCAGCTTGGTAAATCAACCTCTAATAAACTCCTTACCACAGCGCTTTCGATGCCATGACACATTCTGGTTAACTTGATCCAGCTGGTCAAGAAAAGTTTTCCAGGTAAAGATGATTCAGTAATAGGAGCGTTGTGTGAATATCTAATAACAGTATCAACCAGGTGTACAAGACTATCTATGCTATGTAAATCAACAAGAACTTAATCAATTATAAATAGACCGTAAAAAAGTATTTGATTTTTAACTTCTAGTTTTTACACATGGGCTGATTTATACTGTAAAGCTCTAGACTGTTGACTTTAATATACTGAAAACAAGTAAAGTTACAAAAAAAAAAAAAAAAAACTAACTTTACCATGTGTCATACCTGACTGTTTACCTGTGGATGCTTCAATAAAGCACAGACTAAAATATATTATTGTAAGGACTCATAGTTTTAAAATAAGGTATACGTCTGCTGAACAATGCTACTGCCCACTGAGCAATAGACGGCTATTAGACGTCTAGTTTTTTTAGACCTGATTTCAAACGTCTAGATTCTGTATATTTTTTAAAGCAATTCAGACATTGCAATTTAACCCATTATTCAATAACTATTTATTTAAAAAAGCAACTGTGAGTTTCATAACTGATCTCCAAGTACTTAACCGAAGTAATTATGACAGCAGTTGAGCAATATACAGTGTATTATAGATATAGACCAGATTTAGATTAAGTTGAAACTTAGTCTACATTTAGAGGTCTAAAAAACTTTAATTCTTAGACTTGTGGTAGTCTGACTTTAGACCGGTCGTCTGGGCTATATTAAGATGTGTATTAGACGTCTTTTAGACCAAAAAATACTCAGTGGGTGTCTTGAAATTGACATACCAGAGAGTAGATTTTGGAAAATAGACTCAAAGAGCCTCTGCCAAAATGTCGAGGTAATATTGGTGACTGTGCTGAGTGAAACCACTCTAGATAAAAGAAAAAAGGTTTTTTTTTCCCCCACAAGTAACCTAAGCCACATCATTATATTTAGAATCAAGCTTTTATGAGGTTATTTTACAACCCTTACATGAAATGCTCACGTTGGGGTACTGTCATAACAACAGCAGTCACACAGTTACTGCAGCCTACACAAACAACAGAGGGAGAGGAAATTGATGCTTTCAGGTGCTCTCCAAAAAAGTTAGACTTTTATGGTTTTGCAATTTTTTAGAAGCACAGACAAACCTGGTGTTGTCAGACCTATCAGTCAGTCCAGCTACAAAGACACAATAGAAAAGCTGAATAGCCACAAACATTTTTGCTGTCTTCTGTGTTTGAATGTCAAACATAAAACTGGGATTTCTATGGAATTAAACTAAGTGGCAACAAAATATAACTTTGAAAATAATATGGCTATTCATATGAAAAAGATAGAAATTGGCCATTTTCTTAAGAGCATATTTGGTTCAGCATGTTGTAACTGATAACTAGTTGTTTAATTTTCTTGTTGTGTGTTGCACGCATAGACTTTATAAAGAATGGACAGTGTCTGCCTCCTTGCTGGGTGAAGCCACTCCGAGAACAGCACCCTCTGTTGATGGGCTGCAGTATAGGTCATTAATCCCGCCTCCGCCAGCAAAGCTTACGGAGCTGTGGGCAAACTTTAGAAATTTATTACACAAAACATAAATGCTTCTCCCCCCTGCTTGTGATGTTGACATGTAGTTACAGCAAGACTGGTTTGTGCTGAAGTCCTATTTTTTCTGTGAAGCTCCATTTTTAAAAGTTATTAGAGGGTTTGTGTTTTCTTTGATTGACACTTGATACAGCCAATTGGCGTTCAGGGATTGTGTAGCTCACCCGGAGTATTCGCTGTTTGAGCCGAGCGACTCTCCGGCCGAATGCGCACAACACTACTACGCAGCGCTGGTTTCAGGAAATGAAGAAAAATCCCGGAAATACAGAGAGCTTTTGGCTTCAAATCCGTATACAGGCAGTAGGCGGAACCAAGTTGTCCATAGTATATACAGTCTATGGTTGCGCGAAATTAAAGAATAACCAAGGAGACATTTCAATGATCGTTTCATGATTAAATTCGTGTTCAATAATCGGCAAACCATGGCTTTTGTTAATAGAGACAGGCTAAACCAATAAAAAAGACTATTGGGACTAAAAAGAGTACACGTGAGACAAACTAACTCAGAAAATGTTTCCTTTCTCAGTAATATCCCGTTCACTTCATAAAGTATAGGATTTCCGATGTTTCCGTGAAGGCACCACAAAGGGGGAATTCTCAGACGCATCGTACGTCAACATCCTTGCGCACGTTACCTACCCACGATGCAGCGCGGTTGCATACAACATAGCCATCTTGTCAAGAGACTGACTGAGGGAAGTAACTGTTGGCGCTGTTGGGAGACAAATTTATCGAAAAGCTGTGAAATTCAAGAGGCTGTCCATCCCTCGAGTGAAAAGCGAGGCTCGCTACCGAATGACTGTGAGCTGGTGGAGTGAGCCGCTTCAAAGGACTGCTTTCGAGAAGATGTCTCACATACTTGTTCCGACGTAGGGGGAGTGTGCAGCAGCCAGTTGGCTTGTCTTGCTAGCTAGCTCGGTGAGTGGAGGGCTGTGGGCCCTCCTCAGCCTGAAGTAGCTCCCATAGCTGGACGACACGCTCTGCGACAGCGACCATTTGACAACCGGGACACAAGCTGGTAGGTCTGCTGTGACCAAGGGCTGAAAAGAGTGGGCTGCTGGTGTTGGTGTCAAAAGCCGCATTGCTGGACGAGACGAAGTGTGGCGTTGCGTTATGAGCCCATGAAACGCAACAGGAGACCGAGGGAGGAAGAGGGATGGCGTAGATTCATCCTGACCACAGTTAGCAAGTCAAAGTGTTTCTTTTAATACAATATGAGTTGTTAAAAGCTGCGTCTCTTTCTGACGGAGGATACACAGAGCCATACGGGACTTAGAAACAGGCTGTCAATATGTCGAAAATGCCGGCCAAGAAAAAGAGCTGTTTCCAGATCACCAGTGTGACTCAGGCCCAGGTGGCGGCTATAGGTGCCACGGACGACACGGAGAGTCTGGAGGACCCGGACGAGTCCCGGACTGAAGATGTGTCGTCGGAAATTTACGACATGTCTCGTGCTGAGTACGAGCCTGCGTGCGATAGGAGTTCATCCGAAGAAGCCCTGAATAATGTCGGAGACCCAGAGGCGACCGGTGTCATGGCTCCTCCACACATACCTCAACCCGGCCAGTTGCCCGCGCTGTCCAGTAATCCCGTCGGGGAGTTTCGGAAAGTGGGAGTGTCGGCTCAAGCCGGTCAGCAGCCACAGGGGATCGGCGTTACAAGTGGTTTACCCCTCTCCACTCAGCCTGGAGCAGTGCAGCAACACTCTGTAAACACAACCCAACCTGCTGCTGCAGTGACCAGTAACGCAGCCCCCCCTCCTGCCACCTCCACGGCGAGTTGTACTTCACGCTTCAGGGTCATCAAACTCGATCATGGTACCGGAGAACCCTTCAGAAGAGGCAGGTGGACATGCACGGAGTTTTATGAGAAGGACTCTGAGAGCTCTGCTGTCAGCAAGAATGTAGATAATATCAGACATGCCAATGCTGCAGCAGTGGATCCTGGTGCAGACAGAGACAGTGGGCTTGGGCTTACAGGAGGATCTGTGGTTGCCCCGGCAACGTTCTCAGGTCAGGGCATGGGTTCATTGGCTGATGCTTCTGCCACATCATCCCGCATGCAATCAGTGGATACACTATCACAGCAGCTCCACCAACAGAACTTCAGTACCAGGCAGCAGGGTGTGAGCGGGTCGACCACACAAAGTGCTTTCTCCAGCAGCAAGCCCACAGCGCTCCTCTCTCAGCCAACAGTGGGAGGTCTCCAGCCTCCTGCCCCCCAGACTGTGCTGCCCGGTGGACAAAACGGCCTGCTTCAATCTGGTGTCACTATACAGAAGTCCCCCATCATGCCCCCCTCAGCCCAACCCATCTCTTACCCTCCTCAGCAGCAGCTTCCTCTGGGTCATCACCTACAGAACCAGACAGAGTACTATCAGCAGCAGCAGCCAGTTCTTGGTGCTGGCCAGGGCCTCCCGGTGTCCAGCCTGCCTGCAGGGCCCTCTTCAGTGTTGCCTCGAGCCTCTGGGGGTACGCCTGTACCTGGTCAGGCTGGAGATGCTGTAGGAGTAGCAGGTGGATCCCTACCTTCGGGACAGCCAGCCCAAGGCCTGTTGCAGCAGCAGCAGACCGGAGGAATGGGAGGTGTGGGGGGCTCCATAGTGGTCGGTGGACCCACGTATGCAGCCGCTGGACAGCCTCAACCCCTCGGCCTCCACCCTACATCCTCCGGCTTACAAAATGTGCCTGCCATCGCAGCGAGCTCGAGTGTGCCCACCACTGTGCCTGCTGCTGTGTCCAGTGCCTCCAGTGCAGCCATGCCAAATGTGACAGCCTCCACTTTGCCTCCTGGTCAGTTTGCCCTCAGCAAGGCTTCAGTGGGTGTCGGGATGCAGGGCCTCCCAGGAGCTGGATTCGGACTCGCAGAGGGTGGAGGAGGGAAATCAGAGGGTCTCGTCAACGCACAATCTCCTGTTGTCTCTGGGAAGGAAGTAGCAAAGCCCCTCATGCCTGAGGGCCTGCAGCTCGCCACACCGACAGTCAACAGCCTGTTTGGTATCCACATACCTGTCGACGGGGAGGTGGACAGGTAACAGCCAATAGGGATTAATGTTACGTGTTTAACTATTGTCACCATGCCTCAGTGACAGAGTTCATGACACAAACACACATACAGGCAGTCCCTTATTGTGTCTATTTCAGGGAACAGCTGATTACATCTGGTGTTTTTAGTTTCCAGTTTCTCTGACCACAACAGTGTTGGAAGCTGCAGCAGAGGCTGTGAGTGTTTATGCGCCGGTCATTTGGTTTTGTCAGATGAACAAACAGGCTTTATTTTCTGCAGAGGTACGGCAGGGAGGGGGCTGTGGAGAAGGAAGAGCTTTGTGGCACACAGGAAGGAAATTTAATGTTTGTTGTTTCTCATTAGGGCCCAAAGAAGTAAGCCGAGTGTAGCACAGCTCAGTGGAGAACTCCTATTGCTTCCACTGTATAGGCACACAACACTTGTTAAACACACACATGATGCCTGTAATGCTGTCAGCTTGTGTGTGTAAAGGTGTGTATTTGAATTGTGTGCTTGGAGGCTTTTTGTAAGCTCTCGCCCCCTCAGGATAGTGTCAGAGGTAAAGACACTGGCTGCAAACATCAAAAATGTGTTGCTCCTGTGCACAGAGCAAGCTGCTGTGTTCATGTCAAGCTCGTCCAGACTCATGTGCTGCGAGTCTGACACTTTAGTAAGTCGGTTCCTGCTCCAGAAAAAACTTTCTAATACAAACAAAGTTCAGACTGTTGCTGAATTTATGATTTGATCATTTCAACTGTGAGCACCAGAAGGTTTTCCTCTGGAGTGTGTCTGCAGAGGAATGAATTGATAGAAATGTGATTAGTTTTCATCATGGCTGCTGTTCTTCTGAATGAACCTTTCAGCCGCTCAGAAAACCTCCTTACAAATGAATAGAGCCCCTAACAGATGTCATGGTTGAGTTTCAACACCTTCAGCAACAGTTAGTATAACACATGGTTGTGACTGTTTTCTTGTACATGTAGCTCGTGAAGAAAAATATTATTCTTTTTATGAGTTATATCATCGCATATGTTTCCCTCCAAATGTAATCTTTACTCTCGCTGCCTGAGCAAAGCGATTTGTTTCACCTTTAGTAGATGGCACGCATGAGCGGAAATGATGCAGTGCCTTATGTCTCTGTGGTTTCCACTTACAGTCTCACAGAGAGATCAGACAGGGTCTGCACCCTGCACTGCACTGCCTCTATAGCTTTGAAAATTTGTGAACTACTCTGTCTTTTTTTTCATGTCAGGGAAGCTGCTCAGTTTCTCATCACATCTTTAATCCTTTCTCTCTGTGTCATTCAACAGCCGAACTGCCTGGTAGTAGCTTTACACACACCTCGTGTGATATCTTGCTGGTTATAAAGACTGAGGGTTGAGGCCTTTATACTATGCCTAGCTAGTGTCTGAATCCACTTTATATTGTCAAAGTCCATCCTGTAGTCAAAAATAAGAGTCTCACCTCAATCATATTAATAATTCAACAGAAAAGAGTTGATATTCCTGGATTTTGTGTACTATTTCTGTGGTTGTACTTGTGTTTTGGAGGTAATCATGCTCCAAGGTTTAGAGCTGCTGTTTGCACGAGGCTGTGGAGGTTGTAAACTATATGTTTGTGTGTGTGTATGGTTTTTAGAAAGTTTTGCTGCAGGCTCTGTTCGACAACCTGGATTTAAGATGAATTAGGGGTGAAATGACACCCTTCAAAAAGTCGAGCAGAAAAGGTCAAGTCCAGCTGGTACTGTTTGCAATAAAGCCGTGGATGTACTCGATGTTTATGGATGCAATGTTACAGAGTTTTTGAAATTCCTAACCGTGTCAAATGAGATTGGGGGATCGAGCGCTGTAATAGCCTGCTTGAGTTGTGTCACAGCTTCCACTGTCGATCATGTTGATAAGCAAGTCAAATCAATAGGTCAAATACATATGAAGAATCCTGTCATCTTTACAACACAGGCAAACATCTGCCCTCTCACCTTTCGCATTAGTTTTTTGCTGTTTCTCTCTCTCTCTCTCCCTCCCTCCCTTTCTCCCTCTTTGTCTCTCTCTCTCTGCCCCCCTCCCCTAACTCCCCCACACCTTCCTCACATGGGAGAGATTATGGAGGAGTTATTTCATTCCTTTAAAAGGTGCCAAAATTGTTAGGCAGGCAGTCTAAAAAAAAAAAAGAAAGAAAGAAACCACCCAAGCACCTGGTTGAGATGATTTAAACTTCTTTCAGGTTCACATGTTCCTGACATGATCTTAGTTTGTTTGTAAAAGAAAAAAAACTTGACTGAAGATTGGACTTATTTAGATCATTATTCATGTTGATGACAATGACACAGACTTGAAGCTGTGTGTGTTTGGTTTACCCATGTAGAGAGGGCCCGGCTCACAGGCAGATAAGGCCTGGGGTCTCTTACGACAGCCGAGCCCATATCAGACATTGAGCAGTAGTCTTTCCACTGTGCCCCCTTTCTGCCGATAAGAGGCCTGACAGTGGGGTGTGTCGAACAACTGTGCTATGTGTCACGTAGTAGTCTTTTTTCTTTTGCAACACAGCAAGGTACTCTATGAAGCCCTGGTACCTTTGGATGTGATCAAACACTTGACCAGTGTGTCGTTCCGTTGCACACCACTCCTGGATGAGCTTTGGGCGCGCTGAACCAGCAGCGCAGGGCTGTGGTTGACTTTGCAGCTCAGTTTTTATTACTAGTGCAGCATCAGCGCGGTTGCTCCTTTTGTACCTGCTGCTGCCCCACAGACTGAGTGACAGATGAGGCACAGCAGTTGTTCATATACAGATGAAGTGTTGAATGACATTCCTGTGCAGCAGCAACTGTGGTATGCTCAGAAGACGTAGCAGAAGACGCAGCAGCGGAGGGGAAACTTGTTATGCCTCACTTCAGCAGGCATTTTAGCTATGCTTATGTCGATACATCCCCCAAAGCCCCCTTCCTCCCTCCCCGGCTCTATTTTGACTCTTGCCTAATTTCTGCATTTCTACTATGCTTATTTATCTTGCTTGTTATTACTCCACACACCATAGAACAAAAACACTTAGATTTTCTCCTCAAACAGACTTTTTCAGTAGCTACTATCTATAATCTGTGTTACACAGAAAGATATTATACGTGCAAACACCCACTCAATGTTTTGACACTGCTTGCACAACCTGAAAAGCTCTCTTGGCCATTTGGAAGGCTCTAATGTTTGTCCCTGTCCTCCTCCACCCTGTAGTTTTCCCTGCAAGTAATTAAAGCACAACACTGGAGATATAGACTGTGAGGTTGAAGATGTTGTTCTCATACTCCGAATATGATTCGTTCAGCCTAATGTTTCCCAGATGGCTTCAACGACTGAAGGCGTAAAACAACATTTGCTTGATTGTAGTCATGTCTTGGTTGCATTCACAGAGTGGACGTTTGTGTTTTTAAAGAATCATTTGCATAAATGAATGGAATCTGCAGTGTGTGTGTGTGTGTGTGTGTGTGTGTGTGTGTGTGTGTGTGTGTGTGTGTGTGTGTGTGTGTGTGTGTGTGTGTGTGTGTGTAACTGAACTCCTGCTGAGGACGTATGGTTTATTGTCCTCATAGAGGGAGCTTATGTAAAATCAGACTCCTCAGGAGGTAAGAGAGGGGAGGGGAGTCCTGGCCAGCGTTACTGCCACTGTGAATCGAGCGCCTGTGTCTGTGTGGGTGGATGAGGGGTGTGTCTTTAAAAGGGGATGGGTTGCACAAGTATCCATGTTGGGGGTGGGGGCCGTTCACTGAGGAACTGAGCCATTACTTTAGGACTAATTCGCCATACACACTCACAGCGTATTCATTACTAGTAGTCACTGTGGAAGTGGTGGGTGCACATGTGAGATAGAGACACAGAGACGACATGTTCCACAGGGTTTTTCCCTCCCCTCTGTGACCTCTGCTTTACTGCTGTATCCTGTTTTCAGCCAGAGTCCCTAACACCGCTCTCCACCTTCTATTCATCTAATATTCCTCAGCTCTCTACCAGCTTCCGCACTGGGGCTCTCTGCTCATATCATATGACATTTGGTGGGCACATTTTTATCCAGCTGCAAAGAGCTGAGCGGCAGCACCTCCAGTATTTGTGAAGAAGCACTTCTATCACTCAGACCTGCACACTCTTTGTTCAAATACTATTTCTTCTGCGGCGCTGCTTGAAATTCTGTCAGTATGAAGCATGTGACCATGAGTTTGACCAATATGCGTTTTTATTGACCAAAACAAACAAACAAACCATCCTGTTAGTGTCACTTTGTTATAAAAAAAAGTTATTTAAAAAAAAAAAAAAAATATATATATATATATATATATATATATATATATATATATATATATACTGTAGGCTACTGCTCTTCACGCCGACAGGAAGATCGACCGATCAAACTTGGACCAGAAAAGCGTTTTCAACTACCCGCCGCCGATCGGTGCCTCCACGTCATAACTCAAGTTACACATTTCCAGTCCGGTCTCATCTGGAGACATGCAGCTGCCTCACTAAGAGAAGTAGCTCGATCATGTAATGTGTACTGTTTTTTATTCTACCGTTACTGGCACGGCTAACAGTGTAGCAAGGCTAAAAGCAGGTGGCTAACTCTAACTTTAACTTGCATATTACATGGTGCTTCACCGTTAACTCGGCGTGACCAAGACCAGCACAGCGGGGACCACTCTCCTCCGCGCGTCCCTGAGCTGCCTGCTTCAGATCCATCACTCTGCTGTTCTGTGAGGTAGTTAGTGGATGAAGATTGTCATGAGGTCGCTGCGCCATCTACTGGATAAGTCGGAGGATCTTTTCAAATGGCGGAACATTTTCGAAGTGAAACCGAATCTTATTCTCCGCATTTTATTTCTGAAAATATCGTTGAAAATCGGCAAGTTTTAGCCGATTACCGATTAGTCTCAAACAGGCTAAAATTGTCCGATTTAATCGGCTCTGCCCTACTTATGATGCAGATGAACTCACAATGTGAATCAAGCTACTTCACAGAAAATGTAGAACGTAAAATGCCGAATCTGGATTTATCAAACTTCATAAAAGGCTGCTCATCTTTAGATATGTGTAACATCTTTATATATAGTCCGCCAGTGCTAGTAACGACCACTCATACAGATCTACAGACAGCCTTAAGAGCACAGTGACACAAAAAAAAATGATAATGTAAATTATAAACCTAAAATTCAGCACATATCTGAAAACATTTAGCTGCCTACTGCTTATGTATGTATAAGGACAAATTCATGTTGGTCGAAAATATTAGCAAAGAGATAAATCAGTGAGGCTTCATTTCAGAGTTTGATCCGTGTTTCGGTCAAAGGTGTTAGGACTGCATTGTAGGGAAATTAGCCAGTAAAGTAAAATAAAATGATGTTGTGCCTGTTTTAGATGAATACCATAAATTCTTTGTAACTACCCTTTAAAGTTGCAGCGTAATCCCTTTGACTTTAACTTGCCTGTTGATCTTTTCAGCTGTTGTGAATTCTTGAACCTCTGACTGTGTACTTTTTCGTGTTTCTGTGTACACATGTGTACTTGTTCATCCTGCATGACCCCGGCCTCCTTTCAGCCTCTGAGCTGTTTTCAAAAAGACAGATGGATTGTTCAGGTTGGACTCACTGTACTAGTCAGTATATCTGTAGGCTTTACGTCAGTCATCACCTCCACCTCAGGTATGGAGGTTCTCCATTGTTCCAACTTGCAGAAAAATGTCACCAGTTAAGCACAGAGTTGATGATAGTTGTTTAACTGGAGATGTGCTTCAAAGCCAAGCTGAGAACATGCTGATCACCTTGTGTTTTGGAAATAGTTCTCATGTGACAAAGACTCAATATTTTACTCAAATATTACTCCAAATGATCCATTCATTAATTTTTTAAATCAAAATGAAAATTTCTACAAATAAATTCAGTTTACAAATGTTTGTCGTCATGACACAGCCAGTTAACTCTAACTATATTCTCATGCAAACAATTAATAATGCATAATGGAGGAAAAATAATATTTTTGGCACAACGAACTTTAAACTCAGGATCATAAGTGTATGGAAAGGAGTCATAAAGTGCTCTCTAGCTCTCTGCTTATATCGCATCATGGAACTATTAAAGGCCTGTCTGTATATTTTTTTTCTGTTTTGTAGTTTTTTAATCCTCAACATTCTCCTTTTTTTTCCAAATCATGGGGCCTACATTACCCACAGTTCACATTTTACTGTGGCCACCACGCTTCATTTCCAGAATGTAAAGTGTTAAGGCAGTAGGACCTTGTGTATCTAGTAGCTGGTAGCCTCAGGCACTCATGAGGGGCAGGCTGCAGAGGTCTGTTAACTATGCTCTTTCATATGAATACGTATCTATAATTTAGCCGAAGTTCTTTATTCAGGTTTGCTGCCTTAAGCCAAATCTGACACTGACTTCAGTGACACTACTTCTGTCAAGTTTCTTTCAGTCGGCCTTGAAGCTTTAAAGTGGTTGAATCATCTTCATTCACATGTGCAGCAGCACTCTCAAGTACCTCAACACAACTTTTATGCATAACAGAAGTGGAGTTTTTCTTGAACCAACTTTGGCATTGAACACATGATTTAAATCATTTAAAGCTCTGGTTTATTTTCTCTCAGTGCTTGACCTGCTTCTGTCATTATCTCATATTTTTGTGGGTTTTTTTGAAGTTGGCAGCGTGACTAATGCTGGTTTGTTGCTGGGCCTTCTTGTTAGTTTTGATACCGTGATTTTTGTTGAAAAATAAAGCTGCTTCTGTTTCTGCTTTGATAGCTCATGGAAGCTCATTGGAGAAGGAACCTTTCTGAAGGACTGTGACCTGGTATCAAAAAGTTGAACTGCCTGTTGGTTCCTGCAGTGGTAGTCCTAAGTCTTCAGTGTCTTGTCACTAACCTATGTGGGTTTGATGTTAGCACCAAACTCACAATCTCTTCAGTCGGCGTTTCTGTAATCATGGAGTGGCTCCTGCTCCTCTGTGCTTCATCTCCCCACTGAAAGAAACTCCCATAGGGCAGCAGAAATCTAAATAGTTCTGACCTACTTTTGCTCTGAGGCAGATGATGGATGGTGCAGAGAACCTGAGGTCTTACGAGCACCAACACTGAGTGTTTTCAACACATTCTTTCTGCCTTTCTTTGCCCCCCCAAGTCTCTCAATTACCCCACATGTCTATCTACTGCTGCTTGCGTCTTGACTGGTTCCAGTTAAGTCCCTCTACTCCAAGTCATACTGAAGCTTTGTTACATGCTGTAGAAAAGCATGGGAGGGTTTACACTGGAAATGGCTTTTCACTGTCTTATCACTAACTACTTCTTTAGCACTTGAAGCAGGGTTTCACTTGCCCAACCTGCAGGCAAGATTAAAAGTATCTGCCCTAAGGCCTCCAGAACACCTTCACATACAAAGTGAAATCCATTCTAACACTTACACTCTTCTCTGTACTTTCCTTTTATATCTTTTCTTGCACTTTTACTCCCACTTCTTTCTGTCACATAAGGTCACCGTGGTTTTTCTCGTGCTCAATGAGTTAGCAGGGTTATTAAGAGGTTCAGCACCATGAAACTCAACCTTTGACGCGGCTTTTGGTTTGATGTGCAGGCACGTTGCAGGAAAACCATGTGTCATGCTCCAGCTAGATGTGTGACATCAGCTAGCAAGAATGCTCCGAAAGGTTATTTCTGTCTGCTGCCAGGTCAGATTTTTTGGTTTGGGGCAGTGTGGGACAAAGCATGAGTGTGTTCAAGTGCTGTTTTTGTTTCAGGTTAGGTCAAGAGCTTTCAAAGAGAGGCGAAGAAAAAGAGAAGGAAAGTTAGTCTCTTTCTTCTTCCTCTTCTCTTGATACTCTGTGTTTATGGGGGAGACCACACTTTCACTGCCTCTGACTGAGCACATCAACAAGCTGGTTCACAAAGACAGGCTTTCAAAGATGGATATTAACGTGTTACATATTAGAGCTACAAAGAGAGCCTTTGAGAGCTGAGCGTGTGCTACTTGAAAACAGGGAATGATGACTCCTCCACTTCTTAACTCACTCATGAAGGGGTCGCTGGACTGACTCCCAAGTCATCTGACCCCCATAAGCACCAACCATAGCTGCATGGTCACACTTTAAGCCGTGTTGAAAAACGGCATTTTTCTGGAGAGGTGTGTGCTCCCCGCATGTGTGCGCATGTGTTGGTTTTCCCTGCACCATGTCCCGCAAAAGTCAAATGAAGCAGAGGCATAGGGGGAGGTTTGTGAGAGTGTTTAGCTGTGAGGTAATGTGACAAAGCGAGTTTGTGCCAGAGATTTCTAGGAAAAGCGCTCTGGCTGCTATGATATTCACACACATGCTGCAAATCAACTCGTCGTTCCCCTGTGTGGGGTGTGTGTACATTCATGTCAGTGTGCGTTTACATTTGTGTGAATGTGGGAGGGAAGCAGTTAGTTTTGAGATGCACGCGCCTGGAGTAGATTAAATGAGTGTGTGTTTTTGTCTTTGTGTGTGTGTGTGTGTGAAGGGTCAGCATGGGGATTTCCTTTCCCCTTCCCCGAATATACATCCCTTGGCATGGAACAAAGTGTGCTTGTAGTAGATTGCCAGTAACTTTGAAGGTGATTTTGAAAGCTCAATCCCATAACACGACGAAGATTGAACCACAGAAATTCACTGAATTTCCCCTGAAGCCTTTGAAAGAAGTATTTCTACCTCCACAGCTGATAAGGTGTTTACTTTCTCTGCCGAAACAAAGAGGTCAAGTCACCTCCTTTCGTCCTGTGTGTTTGGTATCAAGGAAAACAAACCCAGCCCGAGTGGTGGCCGGCGTGCTGTAGGTGAATGGCCTGAGGGAGGCCCTCACAGTTTACGAGGCTGTCCCCACCTTTGAACATACATTCCAGCATTGAGGTCAAGACTCCCTTTCTCCTGCAGCCTTTTTTAGCTTTACTCTGCCTGTATGTCCCATGTGTTTCAAGGAAAGCTCAGTCCTCTGGACTGCCAAGTGAACAGCACGGTATGAAGCACGGGGTTTTATGAGGGCACATCGAATTGCGTAAGAAAACATTTCTAGGAAGCAAACTTTGGTCTGCTTTAACTGTTTCAACTCCTCCATCTTTCTGTCTTCTCTTTCCTTTTTTTCCCTCATTGTGGTTACTGCAGGAATCCCTCCAAGGCTTTCTACCAGGCCTTCCAGTCTGGCAGCAGATTAAGGGACTCAAAGGCCCACAGTGATAGGTACAGTACGTTACTGGCTTGGACTGGACAGGCTGCAGAGTGTAACATGTGTGCAGTGTTGAGTAGCAGCAAGCTTTGCTTTCTTCACGTGCATGGATTAAGTTTGGAAACAAAGCTTAGCAGAAGCAAATTCAGAATTGGCTGATTGATTTGTCACCGATATAGACTGATCTTGAATTACTCGCAGCTTCTGCATCTGGTGCTTTCTTTAACAAGCTCTTCTTACAAAGACTCTGGCTGGTTTGTTGTGTTACTTTTATAACATAGAACAATATCATCTTACCTAACAGCTCAATTGCTGCTGTTACAAACACATTTACAGTGTTCAACATGATAAGCAACCGGGGCTGTTAGATGTGTGTTTAGCTGTATGTTGTTTTTTTTATATATATATGGACAAAACTATGTTGTCTTTAAAAAAACACAACTTATGACGTATAAGAAGAATACAAATGTCATGATGCAGCATGATGAAGAGTTGAAGGATGGATTAAGTGGAGAAAAATCTGTTCAGAGCACCGTATCATTTTCAAAGTAAATTATTGGGGTTTTGCAGCAGCAACTTGATTATCACATTGCACAACAAAGTTCAGAGTTCAGATATATATACAGTGAGAGGCGTCCATTAAAGTACTTTGTTAGAGAAATGAGGTTTACTTTTCTCAGTGAACATGTGAATAAAAATGACTGTATTTGAAGCAGCAGGAGGACTTCAACTTTAGAAAGTTAGAAAAGATGGCCTCTGGATGAAACTCGGTGTAACTATGTGAAATTGAAACTGTGAAGTGAAAGAATTCTACATAACATTTCACCTCAATGTTCTGCTGAAGCCTCTGTTTCACTAAAGTGGTGAAAAATATTGGTAAATGAGAAACCGGTTCACAAAAAATATTTAAAACAAACATCAATGCCACATTTCTGTCACATCATCTGAAATGTTTGTCAGTGTTTTTAGTCTGCAACAGTACAGTGGCACACACATGAAGAACGGATGCTTCTTTCATCTTTATGCTCCAGCTACTCAAAGGTGTTGCTGGTGGTGAAAAAGGGCATTTTGTTTTATGAACTTAGCGGTCTTAGTTCAAATTTACAGAACATTTGGATAAAAAAAAAACTACTTTTCTTTGTTTTGTTTGAAAAAAAGCGACGTCTTTAAAAACAAAGTTATTTAAAAATGAAAACCGAGAATATGAAGAACATGACCCGATGAAGCAGGAAGTGGCACAGAAGTCGAAATTTTGCACAGGCACTTTTGGTAATGATTATCCTTCCTGTGAATTTTCACTTCCTAGTGAGTGATCTGGCAGAAACATTTGTTTACAGCCAGCCTGATCATCTGACTGCTGGTGTTGTCTGCAGAGTTACAGTCTATGAATTCAGTTGTGATTCGTTTTGTATAATTATGTTTCTAGAAACTGGTCAAAACTATAAAAACAATACCAAAGCTTTTGAACTTGCTTCACCTCTACCCCTAACTCTAGCTGCAGTGTGTGTGTGTGTGTGTGTGTGTGTGTACACTTTATTCTTTAAATGAATCCCCATGTAATCAGGTGGAGAAATGGTTGAATGGTGAATGTTGAGGATGAATCCAGAAGTCCGGTGACATAAATAACTCCCCTCACAATGTGAAGTGACAAACTAAAGTGAGTCAATATTTTTATGATGCCTTTTACAAAAATGAAAAAAAGGAAGCACACGAAACCATATCTTAGAGACAGGAAATGAAACCGTATTTTAGAGAAATATAGAGCTGACACACCATCACTTGTCACCAAAGGACTAAAGATACTCACACACACACACACACACACACACACACACACAAAATCATACACACGTCCTCATTCAGCCTCTAGGTTTTGGTGTATATAAGCGAACAGCTAAGCTCTTACTCCCAGATGATATGATTTGAAGTTTTTTACTTTGAGCTTCATCAGAAGAAAAAAACTTCAGCATAGTAAAGTAGCACACATACGATCCCTGTAAAAAAAAGAAAAAAACCATGGCCTCACGCCTTTTTTTTCTTCTAATGCTGTTATGGACACACTGTTCTGCCAATGGCTGATTTGTTTCCATGAAAGCAAGGAAAACTACACCTGTGTTTGAGACTTGTTTGGTGGATCTCGAGTCTTTCATAAGGGTGTAACAGATACAGATTACAAATCCCCAGTCATAGTTCTTGTCATCTCCTGTGTGTGTGTGTCAGTTATCTTGCCGTGTGTGCTGGGGGTCATATGAGTTGCTCCTCTAACTCAGATTACTGTGTCTCAGTATATTAAATGCCCTTGTATTGCTGCTCTGCTCGGGCTTTAGGGACCAACACAGTGATATGAGTGTGTGTGTGAGTAAATAGTGAGTCTGCATGGCATAATGGAAAAACTTTTTTATCTGGACCGTATATGTGTCCCGTTACAGCGACTTGTATTTTCTGGTTGGGCCCAAATGACAATCAACCCTCATAATGCAGGAAAATGTAGTTATTCCTCATTTTTGAAGATAGTTTGGTCAATAAAAGACAGAAACCTGCGCTCTTGCCTCTCCTCTCACACTCCATATTCTGAAACTAACGGACCTCACTTATTTGTTATTATACATGTTGAAGATTATTTCTCCTTTCTCAGTGGATCACAGTTCAAATTAAAAAATGAAATTGGGTGTAGGTTGGTATCATGGATCCTGAAGAAAGAGTCCTGTTGATTTTAGTGACTCTTGTCTTTAGGTTAGAGTTTCAGCTACTACTTGCACAGTAATATTTAACAATCATTAGCATGCTTACATGCTTCACAATCATCGTACCTGCAAAAATCCAAATATTAGTTTTGCAATCAACAGTGTATCAGCATGAAGATGTCAAGTTTAGAGGTGAACTGTGTCTAATTACAACCTTATAGAGCTGCTAGCATGGCTTCAGACTCAGTGCTGCTTGAAAGCGTAGATTCCATCCAGTGTGTTTTGGTTATATTTGGTGATCAACAGACTCTCAGTTTCATCAATTGAAAGATTATTTTTGGCCAGTATGATTTTGAGAACATTTTTGGTACAAAAAGACACATTAGCTCAGTCTTAGTTTTGAGGGTATACCTGCTGATATTTTTCATTGAGATGGCACAGATGTATTTGAAGGTCTTTAATCACTAGCTTGAGCATCAAAATGGTGTGGAGGCATTAATGTGCTACAACCACAGACTGTAAAACATGGCCACTGTGATGACAGCTATTGGTTTCCGTTCTGAAGTTTTGAAGCTCAGTAATTGCAGTGGCCCTATTGGGACTTGATATAACTTTCAATCGGCTGAAATTCTGGCAGAAAGTTGAATTGAAGAAAACTTAGAGTCCTCTAGCAAACGGCGCCAGTGCAGCTACTTGTCAGTCATCTCGGCTGTTCCCTACTAAACATATTTAACTGTTAGCCTTGCAAACCCAAAACGGATGAAAAAGTCGCCCCCCTACAGAGTGGGGTTTTCTGGGTTTTTGCAGCAAGCCTCAAATGGACACTAAATAGAGATGGGATTTATGGTACTTTGAGGGAGCTGGATCTTGAGGGGCTGTTCCTTTAAAGAGCTGTTCAGAAGACTGGCTTATTATTATTTTTGTTTATTTTTAGAAGTCAACTTGGGGTCATTTTCATCGCGGAAATCACTGGTATTAATTATAAGATACGATATTGATCAGAATAAATCAGACTTACACATCCCAACAATATATACTCTATTAGTGGGAATTATTCCGAAATATTGATTTTAATTTTATTTGGTTTGATAATTTCATTGTAAACATTCCATAAAGTGGTGCTGTATCTCCATGCTCTGTGAGATCAGTATTTTATATTTTTCCCCCACCAGTAAAAACTATGCAGACTATAGATAACTTCCATGAAAACAACTTTACTGTAAAATTTTTCAGTCAAGAACATTTTAAGAATACAGGAAAACATAAAGAAATAATAAATGAGAAATAAATATGTGTATTAAAATGTGAATGCAAAACTGAACTACCCTATCCTGGTGTTAAGAGCACACAAGTGACACGTGAAGGCAGCGTGGGAAATTTGCATATTAGAACGGCTCACAACTGTGAACTGGTTCTCACCAATCAGTAAAAGAGTGGTTGAAATAACTAACTCGTTCGTGAATGTCACATCTCTCACACTGAAGTTACAGCAGTTTGGTGCAGTAAGTTTCATTTTTCCAGATGTCTGCTTGCATGAAGCCCAGACCTTCATCAAACAGATGAAACGTGAAGTCATACTAAGAGAAGAAGCATCGCTGCTTCATATTAAAAGAACATTTACTGAATATTTCTTGAATACCGTGATAAATTTAGACTTTTGTGATGCATTTATTACAAATGCTGATGATGTTTGATGCTTAAATTGTGGTTACTTAGGCGGTGTTTATTGGTGTTTGTTTGTTATTTCCATGTAAACACGGACACATTCTGCTTGATTACATTCATATGGTTTGAAGTGACTAAAAGAGCTGAAACTCAACTTTTAGGGAAGGGTTTTCTCTTATTGCGTGCCTGGTATCTTTCCACTCTACTCATCAGTTCATCATACAGAGTTGCATTTGCCTTGTTCGCCTGAGTGCCAATTTAGATTTCAAAAGTTAATCTCTCATAAGACTTTTCTATTTAAGTCATGCCAAGCCAGCAGCTTTGTACACGCTCGGTTGTAACTTTAGCACTTCCTCATTTATTCTCTGTTGGCTCGCTGCGGCTCCATGCACAGCTGTGTGATGTAATTTAACATAAACAGTGACAGTTACCAGGTCTTGGTTGTAATTAAACGTATGCACATCTGATATGAGTGTGAACAGACAGGCTCTGTATACTTCTGGTGTTAGTTTTAGCTGTCAACAGGCTCTACCGGTCTACATCAGGAAGCTTCACACTCAAAAAGAAAATGAAGGTCCAGATGTGAAAAAAAACAACTCAACATCTGATTTACTTATGCAGCACAACTAGTGTGACTGTGCACCTGTCGTCATTGAGCAAACTTTGGAGCGCCCCTCTATCGCTGTAAACTTGTCCCATCATGCCTCAGGTTGAGTCAAATAGACCTTACTTTGTTTTTACCGTGTTTCTGAAGAAAACTTACTTTTCTTAAACATGCCGGCAGTTGTGCTAGAGGCGAGGAATGACAACTATTCGATGTGTAGATGAGTTATTTTACCCTCAGAGCTCGACTTGTTCGCACTCCATGTGAGCGTAAACCTTTCTGCCTCTAATGGACGTTTTATTGACACTTGTGTTTTTCACCAGCCGGAGCTTATAAATGTCAGTCATGTTAGCGTAGAAGGTGAAGTTTACTGAGGCGCTGCTTGCGTAATCAGCGGCGGAGTAGGTTCAAATCCTCGTTAGCATAATGCTGGATCTGAGCCCAGCCCCACGGCCTCCAGGGCTTGACCTCAGTAGTTATATACTGTTTGCTTTGTGATGCTGGAAAAACAGAGGAGGAGGCCTGACTGAGCATCAAACATGTTTTGTATTGAAGTCAGGCGCTCAAACGGGTTCTTGGCTTTGACTCCAGATCCAGGGGCTTAAACAAGATCATGTGTGTCAGGAGCGCTGCTTTAACCAGACACATTTGCTGTTGAGCTCCAAAATATACTCACTCATGTTCTGGCTTACAAAATCTCCCTCCCGTGCCAGCATTTCTTGGAAGTACCTTTTGGGGTACCACATGCTGTCCTGAAACGGTTTTGGCTTGTTGTTCCCGCTTACTCCGATCCGATAAGCACATTTGCAGATGAGGAGTAGAAGTCCAAAATATTATGACTTAATAAAATTATTTTACCAAAGAAGAAAAACTAGTTTATACTCTTAATCCTGTTCCTTGTCATATAAAACTCAATCTAAAACACATTGGGGAGTGTGATTGTGTAGTTGTTTTCCAGTCTCTATAGTTACAGACCCATCATTGGCCTGTCCCAGTAATAGCGGGTGTCTTTTTTTTTTTTTTTCTTAAGTCTTTCCTCATTTTTTACTTAGTAGTGTCAGTCCAGCTCATTGTTTCTCCAGTGAAGTCAGTAAGAAGAGAAACCTCAAGAGAAACCCACTGCTTAAATGGAAGTGGAGTCATCCAGAGACATGAGGATAAAAACCACAACAGTTTAACTGTCAGGCTGAGTATTACACAGACGGATGCTAACCTGTAACTCTCTGAATGATTCGGGAACATTTTGTTAGTTTGAGTTATCATAATATCTTTGGCGTTGGGAGTTTTGGTCTGTCTTTTAAAACACTATGATTAAATCAAACTGCATTCTTGGAGCAGACAATGGGCGTTTTTCACTTTTCATATTAGGTTTTGGCTGAGATTTTCTCCCCTAATGTAATTTCATCCACCAAACTTCAACTTTGGTCTGGTTCTCCTCAAACTCCCTGGTACATCTGCCTCCGGACAAAATTTAAAATCTCTCGTGTGTTTCCAGCTGCGTTAACAACGTCTTCACATAGGCACTCATTTTTAATGTTTCCCATCTGGCTCATCTTTGGTTTGTCTTTCCATCTGTCATTAACTGAATCATACAAACCAAAGTCCCCCAGAACTGATGGTGAGGTCTTTATTGGTCATTTTGCCATATTTACTCGCAGTGAGCTCTCTCACATACAGTAGACCAAGAAATACGTGGATTAGTTTATAAAAACTAATGACTGTTGTACAAAGTGCGAATAAAAAGTAGATTTATATGGAAGCTTCTGTGAGGATTTGTTGGCTGATTGTTAGGGCTGGGACGATTTGCTTTTCTCCCGATCCGATTGTTCTACGATTTTTTGGATGCCGATTCGATTTAAATTGCGATTGTACGATATTGCCGATTTTCTTGATTTTTAGTCTGCATTTTTACCGCTGGTGAAACAGTTGAATGATTATGATTGTCTGCTGACTATTCCAGGAACCATATTTCCCCAAAAAATAAACATCACATGTAAGTCAGTTTTTAAGATTTAGTCCTAAATTCGAAAAAAAATAGATTTTTGAACATAAAAATCGATTTAAAATTATAAAACAAAAAATTGCGATACTTATGTGAATGGATTTTTTTTTCTCCCACCCCTACTGATTATGAAACAGACTGAAATAGATATTGGTTTCTTTTATTAACCTCAGAAGAGCTAATAAGACCACCAACAATACGAGTGACTATTTCTATAATGTCTAATGTTGCTGACTGAGGGAAGGTGTTCTTTTTTTAAGTCAAGAAGCAACCATTGCACATGTCCAGGACAAAATCAATCCTTTCATTTTAAGGAAACATAAGGATCACTTTCTCTGATTTTCTGTGCTTGTGTGTTGTTTTCTTTAAACCCGACGACAAACTAGGAACGTCTGAAATCACATTGAAAAACTAGAATCAAAAATGTCTGCAGGCTTATTTTGGGTAGTGGCTGAAAGAGGCCGTCTGTCGCACTGGTACGGGATGGAGGAGCTTGTTTTTGACTGTGCTGTCTGAAGCCACTGGTGAAGAAATCAGGGTGTAGCCCAGAGAGTCCATCAGGGTCTGAACTTTATAGAGTGAGAGATTCCTTTGGGCACAGGCCTAATGAAAACTCAAGTTAGAGAGGAAAACTATAGGAGGCCCCGTGTGACGCCTATCCTAAATTAAACACACATTTAGTGACGGGGTGAAGTCGAGGTTGATGTTTTTTTATTACTTCATAGCGTTTGGTTATGTAACTAATGTTGGGGTAGGGGGGGTGGGGGGTCATGTAACATGGTCTATAAGGGAGAAAAAGAATTTAATTAGTGAGTACTGACAGAAGAAGTGAGACCTTGTTTTTTTCATGGATCCCTTAAGGTGACGGGTGTGTTTTCGTCTGTGAAATCTGATGGACAAAGTGTATATCTTAGTCGACACACTTATCTTTTGTTCATTGTGGACATGTTTGCATGTAGCTCATGTACGATGCTGTCATATCTGACAGATCAAAGGAGATGCAGTAAGACGGGGGATGTGAGTGACAGTGTTTCATAGCAGCAGAGGTATGGGGAACATTCCTTCCCCAGTCCAACCCGTTGATAACGATCTGCTGAGAGCTTCCGTCGGCCTCACACACATAAAGTGGAGAGTGTTGAGCAAAGGAACATTGTGTCCTCAAGGGGAGCCTATGGCCAACCTGGTGTCTGCCTCCAGGTATCTACCCACCACTCAGGTAGACATTGGTCCAGTAAAAAGTCAAGGTGGCGCTCTCCTATCTCCTTTTTAGACGGTGATAACCTTCATATTCGCTCCTAGACCAGCACAGATATTTCAGGCCAGTAAGTTAGTCCAGAAAAGAAAAAAAAAATCGAAATGATTGTTTTTAGGTTTGATATTTCTATGTAATGAATATATTTTGATTTTAGTTTACAGTTTTATAAAAGATGCACAGGGTCAGACATTTATCTTTTAAAAGCTTATCAGTGGCCTCTGGTGGACAAACTTTTTAATGGTGCCACTGCTTCTAATGATGTGTGTCTAAGACATGGTACAGCTGGACTCTACTGTTCTATAGTAACTCATGGATACATAAATAGGATATAACCACCCCTCACTGTACAGGACTTTAAGAGGGAACTTTTTTTGTAATTGAGTCAAAAAGTTAAGTTAGCAATCCAACATTAAATGATTGGTTTTTGTTCTTCAGTCCCTGTTTCCTTTAGTCTTAGTGCAAACTAGGGCTGGGCGATATAGGAAAAAGTTTATCACGATATATTTTCTTCATGTGAGTCGATGTCAATATATTTCGCAATATAAAAAATGAAATTTAACAGTGCTTGTTGGTAGCATGTCTTTCGCAATACAATAAGCTACTGCATCTGTGAGGTCTTTGTGTCGCTTCGACGTTTTGTCGTGTGGCGTTGCACTGTTAAAGTGCTATGGTTGCATGTAGCTGCAGCCTGCTACTACGCAGTTGTTTGCTACTTGGTGATAATTCAGCACATGATTGGTTCAGCGTGAAGCAAACCCAGAAAAAACTCCCCTTTTCATTGGCTATTCGTTAGGGGTGGGAGAAAAAATCGATTCACATAAGTATTGTGATTTTTTTTGTTTTACAATTTTTAAATCGATTTTTATGTCCAAAAATAGATTTTTTTTTTTTTAAATTTAAGAATAAATCTTAAAAACTGACTTACATGTTATGTTTATTTTTTGGGGAAATATGGTTCCTGAAATAGTCAGTAGACAGCCATAATCATTTAACTGTTTCACTGGTGTTGAAAATTCAGACTAAATATCAAGTAAATCGACAATATCCTACAATCCCAATTTAAATCAAATTGACATCCAAAAAAAACGTAGAAGAATTGAATCGGGAGAAAAGCATATTGTCCCAGCCCTACTATTTGTATAGTCTACCGAGAAATGGCAGAATGCCGACTATTGTAAAGCATATTGGCTATGTTTTATATTGATATTGACGGAAATTAATTTTCGATATAAATCATTATCATGTTATCGCCCAGCCCTGGTGCAAACTATAAAAGGACTAAACATAGACTCTCGTTTGAGGCACTTTTATTTATAGAGTTGACATTTGTCTGAAGCTTTGTGCTTTTTTGCATAAAGAAATGAGGCTTCAACTCATCCAATAACTTCTTTTTGTATCGCTGCAGTTTCTTTTTCATAGATACTGTGAATTTATTAAACATCTGTTTACCATCTAGTTCTGAGTGGATCAGTACTCAGTGAGCGTATGGGACGTGGACCCCCATACACGTCCCTGTCTGCTCACAGTACAGTTCTTAGTGTTACCTCAGGTTAGACCGCGGAGCGGGCGGCACACAACTGTCTCTCCGCCTCCTCCTGTCAGTTCCTCTGACTTCCTCCGCCCGCCCTCCGGTTCATGTTTCATTATTCCAAATGTGGTCACAGTAACCGGACTGAACCACCCGCGGTCCGCACCGGTGGCCTCTTTTCCCACCGATGTAGCTCCAGCAGCGGTCAGCGCCATGCCGTGCACGTTTTCCTACAAACCGCCGTGCTGCCCCGGGGGCCCGACCCGGCGCGATGCGACCTGCGAGCCGCTGCTGTTCTGCTGCCGGAGCCGCCGCAGGTAACGGGAGGCGGCAGCTGCCTGCCCCGCAGAGGACCGCGTGTCCAACGGGAGCGTTAAAATAACGCGAATGAATTAATATTGAGCTGAGTGATTCGAGAGAAATGATGTGATTACAATGCAAGAGTGTTTTACCCTCACGCTTAAAGTGACCTTGATACTTTAGTTTTGGGTTTGCCTGCTATCTTTTGATGATTGTCTCAGTGTTTCTGAATGCAAACTTGAATTCTGAACAGTGGTGTTGATTGTTGCACATTTGTTCTGATGAACTTGTGATGTATGTCTAAAAGTATGCCCTGATTACTCAGCAGCACTCATAACTCCTGTTGCTGTGGCTGCCAAGCACAGCTGCAACATAACTCATCTGTGTTGGATATAAAGGGGTCTGAAATTAGGTCAAGCTATACCATGGTATGTGTCAGAAGATGATGAAGGTTGAAATCCTCAGCTTTTCTTTTACCCACTCTTAGTGCTGTTGTGGTCTGAACATTTCATTGATGCACTTAATGCTGCACATTCTTGCACTAACGCTGTCCTGCTGTGTTTTCTGCACTTTTCCCTCTTTCTCCTGCTCACTCACTGACCTGACCTAGATAGGTGTTATAGTAGTGTTCATGGTATGACCAGGAGTGACGACATGTTATTCTATACGATCTCTCCCTGATTCACCCGCTGAACTGAGAGCAGCTGGTTTAATTATTTGAGCACAACTGTGCTGTCTGGTTTTTCTCTGCTTTTGTGCTGTTTAACTGACTGTGTTTCCAATAAAGACTCTCATCACTGTGGAAAACATTGTTGTCTGTCCAGTGTTCCTTTGTCTTCTGTATTTTAAAGGGGGAGGAAAGAAAGTGGGCTAAGATAAATGACTCCTCTTGTGAGGTTTGGATCCTGAAATCCAGAGGACGAATTCTAACATCTGTGTTTTCTGTTTCACAGAGCCTCGGGAACTAATGTTGCTGCCATTGATAATAAAATCGAACAGGCAATGGTGAGTGATATTCCACACACTATGGTTGAATGTTTGATGCTTTAAGTATGAAGGATGTATCTAGTTGCATGGAAAGATAATGACTTCAGGGACCAGATGTTATATCCATTAACCTATTTGTGTTATACATAATTCAAGTCAAGGGGGTTGACTTTCTTCCTTACTCTTATTTAGTTACTTTTTAAAATACAGTCATTACACTGTGCTTATTTTCTAGTCTTTCAACATACAGTGTCTTTATTTTTGCTTACAGTCATATCCACACAGCTAAAATAACTGAATAAATGAAGCTCTAGCACTGATCTTTACTCCATTATCCTTCATTGAACATGAATCATATTAGAGATCGGTCACTCTGATGCTTTTAGTCAGATTAGATTCTGTCGCCCCAGAGCAGCGTTTAATGTCATCTGTCTTTGTCCTGCAGGACCTGGTGAAAAGCCATCTGATGTATGCAGTGCGCGAGGAGGTGGAGGTGTTAAAGGAGCAGATCAAGGAGCTGTACGAGAGGAACTCTGTGCTGGAGCGGGAGAACGCCGTGTTGAAATCTCTGGCCAACAGTGAGCAGCTGTCTCAGCTGTCCACCCAGCCGGCTCCCAGCTCCAGCACCACGCCTCCCCAGCAAGGACTCAGCCACCCTCCACCACAGGCCCAGCCTCCGCTTCAAACCCAGCCCCCGTCTCAGCCTCAGCCTCAGCCTCAGTCTCAGCAGTCCCACCCCCAGCTCCAGCACCACCCCAAACCCCAGCAGCTCCAGACTCAGCCCCAGCTCGATCCCAGCCAACAGCAACAACTGCAACCCAATGTCACCTCCGCTTGAAGTGCATCTGCCCTGCTTCTCCGAGGGCATAAAAAAGAAGAGCATCTTCTCTGCAACCTATTACAAATTAGTGTATGTGAAAATAAAAAGAAGAAAAAAAAAAACTGTCTTCTTAGCCACCAGCTTGACCACAAAGTACAGCTTGTATGTATGTGTGCGTGTGTGTGTGTGAGGGAGAGTGTGTGTGTGTAGGATAGGAAAGCTGGTATGACTGTAAAAATGTAAGTGTGTATGCATCTGTACTGTGGGCCTTTCCAGTGTTAATGCAATCATCAGAGAGCGAGTGAGAAAGACTTGGAGGTGGGAATCTGGAGACTGAAGTGTGTCAGAGGAGGGTCAGAGGGTTTTTCATCTTGGCTGTTATCCCAGAACGGCTGACTGCTGGGTCCAAGCGTGTGGATGGGATGTCTCATCTTGGACCCAGGCCAGGATGCTGACCTTAGACCCGCTCATACTGAGGTTGTGGAAAGGGAGTGGTTTGCCTGACATAAGGGACAAATGGGAGTGATTGTCAAAACAGAGAGTGATTATTTTTTTAATGTGAGATAAATGAGGGGGTGAAGGGGTATTTTTAGCCTTGCTGTTTATGTTGTATAGAAAGACATGGGAGAGAGAGTGAGTCTGCCCCCCCCCCCTTTTTTTCTTTTTTTGCCGTTACTTTTTACATCAAGTCCAACCCCTGCATCAGTCTTTTTGAGTTCTACTGTTAAGTGTTTTATTTATTATGGGGCTGCTATTTTCACACATGAACAATTTCATGACACCTGTTTAACAGAAGCCCAGTGACTCGTTTCCTGATTTCTTTTACAGTATTTCAACATTTTGGCTATACTTCTTCTCAGAGGCAACACTTTGGACTTAATTAGTAAAAAGTAGGCAAATATAAAGTAAATTCTGACAAATGTTTAACACTAACTCAAATTCTGCTCTCAAATTGCTAATGCGTAGTTAAAGTTCCAGTTATGAATGTACATTTTTGTATAAGTATTAAGAGCCTTGATGGTTGAATCCATCTGTTGACATCAAATCAAAATGTGTGCCTGCAGATGGCATCTGGTGAAGAATCAACTTGATGATTGAAAAGTGAATTAGTGTTGCCATACCCCCCTCCTTCTTATCTTTTTTTTTCTTCCATTGTTTTCCCAATGGGGTCAGGAGGGGAAAGCTGTGAAATTGTTCAACCTACTTTGTAACCAAAGATGCAAAGCTGTGTAAATTGATTTTTAAATGCACACTCATGTATTTTTTTTTCTTTTTTTTTTTCGTTTTGTTACTTCCTCCTTCACAAAATATTTTGTTGCTGTTCAGCATGTTTTGCATGATCTGTAATCTTCAAACCACTTTCTTACCTCATTTTTATTCAGCACTCTTATGTAAGATAGTCTGTGAACAGTGTAAATGGGTGAGGGGGGGACAATGCAGAGCAAAGTGGGCAGAGAGAAAAATAACCTAGTGTTACTGACACTAGTCACAGAAAAATGAAGTGAGCCATGTTTTGTTCATTTAAATGGTGTTTGAATTTCATATGCCAATAGTTTTGTTACATTGCAAATTTTAATGTATTTAAATAAAAGCAATATTCAGATTCCAAATATGTATGTCACTGTCTCTTAAATTTGTTTCCAAGCTCGGAGGACATGAACGCTGTTTGTCTGGTCAAACTTTCTAAGAAGTTGCAGTGGTTTGTTTGTTTTCTCTGCAATTTATTCACTAAATTATCAGTGCAGAGTGATTCACATACTATGAAGAAGTATTAGGGAAAAAAATTGAAGATTTTGAGATGATGTAAATTTAAGAGAATAAAATCGTAATCAAGTCATAACTTCTGAGAATTAAGTCCTTATATTCTAACCTGTTGAGATGACAGTTGTTGAAATGAGAGCCATGGAGTATTTTGTGAAAATGTACTTAAATATAGGTTGCTCAGAGATACTTTATCTCTTGGCACATCAGCACCGCATTATCATAAGTATCATAATGATTTTATTACAACTTTATTCTTATAAATTAACGACTTAAATCTTGAAGTCTTCAATTTTTGTTCTTAATGTGGCCCTAATACTCCTTTGCAACATAAAAATGAGTTGTGATTAAACTTAAGTATAGAAGGTGCTGTGCATCCAAATGCTGGCAGATAAATCCTGTTTTATTTGGTGAACCTCTCCAGCGCTCCACAAACTAATTTAAGTTCAGGGAAAATATTTTAGGAGAAATCCATTTATTGGAACAAACTTTACAAAATAATTCTCAAAAATGTCAAAAAAGGTTTTCTGCACATACACCCCCTTGAGTAAATGCATATCTGTCCTCTCTTTAAAGCCAATACTTCTACTCCGTCTTAAAATAGTGTCAACAGTTCAGAGACCAGAAGAAAAAAAAACTCTTTCCTTCCCGGTTTAGGACGTCCACAATACAAACAGCTGGGCACAATGATATGGACAATGAATGGTGACTTGTTTTTAACTATCCCTTCTACTGACACTTCAGGTCTCACAGCTGTGCAGGTTGGATTCATTCATCCCACTGTTGCCCTCCTTCCCTTTAGTAAAGTCAGTGAGTCACACATCCTGTTCATCACAAAGGTGAAGTTCATTGTGTATCTGAGCAGGATGACCGGCTGCAGAGTTGCTGGGTCTTTACTGAAATCTTCTTGACCGCTAACCCACCGTAACGAATCTGCTGCCTTTACTGCTGTGTGCTGTGGAGGTGCGCCGATCCTTAAGGATGCGGAATCGCTCATTCAAGGTCATCGATGTTTGCTACAGGAAGATAAAACACCAGAGGCAAGCTTATAATGGATACACAAATGAAGACAATTTAGGGACAGTTTGGATATCATCACTGTAATATACTTCAAATATAAAATACGTGTTTGAAGTTGGTTATACATGGAACATCTGACGTACAGAAGTAAAACAATCCAGACTAGGATCATTTCAACTCATACACTATTTTTTATTTTTTATTCATTTTTGAAGTAATGGCTGATAGAGAGCCTTCTGTTCTTTAAGAATAATTGTATCTTGAATCTATCGAATTTTTATGTTGTTGTAATGTATATAGTTACATACATTCGTGGTTGTGTTTGCATTTTATACTTAACTGTTTCATACTTGTTTTATTAATCTATGCAGATCCACTGCATAAGCTGAGCGTATCAATATTTTAGGGCATGACATTGATTTACATACAATACACATGACCCCATAGAGAAAATAAGAACATGAAAACAACAACAAAAAAAAGCTGAATACTCTTACTGGTTTTCCAACGCTGTTGATGTCAAACTGCAGAGGCACTCCTTTTGGTATTTTCTTCTCCACTGTTTCCACCTTAGCAGGGGCAGAGCTGGGAGTAGGGGGATGCAGGGTCCAAGCCGAAGGAGGTCTACAGAGAAATTATAGTCATTAATCTGGAACGGACTAAAATCTGATGTTTGCCATAATAGTGCATGGGTGTAACAAAACGGCTAAAAAAAACACCTCACTGTCTATCATGAGTTAAGAGTTCATATTTTGTGCAGTTGCTGAGACTTACTCAGGCTGAGTCCTGGCTGTAGGGTTGTCAATTGAAACAGTCAAGATTCCACTGCTGGTGGTTGATGTGCGCCACCTGGTGGATAAACACAGAAATGTTAGTGTCACATCAACACACAAACCATTGACTCTAAAAAGGCAAACAATGGTCCTCCTTCCCCTCCAAATGATTCATATCCTCAGTGAATTTCCTCTTCCCCACACATGTACACCTAAAACAGAGTATCACAACACAAAACAGACTCAAGCAGGTTTCAGAACACTCACTGTCGAGTTCTCACAGGAGGAGGGCGAGGATTTGGCTTTTGCACCTGGGCATGTACCTGTAGACATGTGAAAATAAACACAAAGGTGTATTGACAATAGGATCTAATTTCAGTGTGTCAATACCCAGATAAACAGATGATGCTCCATGTGCTGACAGAGACCTCATTAGACAACTACTGTAGATTTAACAACTGTCAATGACACACAACCACTGTGTACCTTCAGTCCTCTGCGAAAAAGAAATGTGGCCTGGCGGGCTTCTCTCTGAGCTTGCTGAACAGGTGGCAGTGGTCTGCACAAGTACAAAGAATGTAACGGTTTTTTTTAAATACAGCAGAGTGTATTAATGTTTAGATACACCATATCAAGTCTCAATTTTCAGTCAGTGCTCCAAACCTGTTTGAAATCAAACTGTTTACACTGTCTGTAACTACAATTTAGGTGAAATTACATTCAAAATATGATGCGAGGTTTCTGCATTACCCCTGCTGTTACCTCCTTTCTTACAAAAGATGCAGTAAGTTCATGGGACACATGCTCTCACCGTCTCTGTAGCTGAAATGGTCTCCTGACTGACAATGCATTCTGGCCTCTTGGGGGATCTGGCTGCCTGTATGGCCTCCTCTGTACCTCTGGCTTCCCGTACTGAGCTTCAGGGCGCTGGATGAAGGGCTTCGTTTTTTGCCTTGTTTTCTGTGATACATAAATTATAGATAAAAAATTATACATAAATATATAAATTTCCCTTCAAGGATTAATGAAGTTCTTATTCTTTAATACTGATTCATCATGTCTGAAAACCAACATTTAAACCTCATTTGGCAAAGTTTGAAAAATCCATTAGTATAACTATCACAGGAAAAAGAGAACAACACAATCAGCTTGGGTATTTGTAAATGATATGAAACCAATAATTTCTGTACACACCTTAACTCTGTTTCATTAAAAATTAAACTATAATAAGCTTTAGAGAAAGTGAGTGAATTCCTAAGAGGATGGTAGGTGTATGTATGCAAAGCACAGCACAACAGGAACTCAATCAAACTGGAGTTTAATTAAAGAGAGGGAAAAACAATTTCAGGTACTGTGAAAGGATAAAGGTGCAATCATATCATCTGAATTTCTCATTAATCCTTCTTGGAATTAACAAAATACAACTCCTGGGCTGCTGACAGTTCACAGAACTGAAAAGTGTTTGAGACTGCAGACGCCAGGAAAGAAAGCTAGTTAGTATTACTTGAAAATTAGGAGTGGCTGCTGTTTTTTACCAGATGACAGGATGCTGAAAAATCTTGCACTCCTGTTACAAAATGCTTTCTTGTAAAACGGTTATCACAGTATGTAGTGTTGCAAAAGTTTTAAAGGTTAGTCGTTTGTCAGCCTATACAGGAGCTAATGAAGTGTCAGTATGACACCATCAGGATAGTTTTGCTTCTGCTGAACTGTCATTAAAATTAGGTCTTCTTACATTACATCAACACTGAAACAAGAATTTAAAAAACACATGAGGTCTGTTTGGGTTCATGATGCGTGGGCCTCCTGAACTTTTTTTTACTTCAATGATGTGTAGTCGTTGACAGATTGTCAATAGGGGAGAGTGTGGTAAGTTAAGCCAAAGGGTAAGTTGAGCCACCTCCTGTTGCTTGAAAATGATAAAAGAAATTGATCATGTGACCAAATATTTAGGAGATGGGCATCAATTCATGGAGTCTGTGAAGGTTAGAAGCACATGGGTGAAGGGGTCAGACATTTATTTCCAAAAAACATTTTTAACTTTTGAAAAAAATTGTGAATTTAGTCTGTCATAAGTTTTATTAGAACTGTGTTCAGACCAAAAAAGATCATTTTAAATTATTTTTATACATCAATTATGGTATCTATGAGCTACAACATGAGGTCAAAAGTCCACCATTTTGACTTCAAGGACTAATAAAGTAGTAAAGAAGTCTGATGAGAGGATCAGAGTGTCAGTTCAGATTGTTGAAATGTGTAACTTTTTCTTTTTAAAAATACAGCGGTGAATGTTCTGAATCACTTAAAGACATTCTCATGTTAAAATGACTTTTTAAAAAAACAGCTTTTTAGCAGTTATATGTAATAATAATAAAAAAAGAATTATTGTACCAGTTGAATAGGGTATAGTAGATAAAAATATACATGAATGTGAAGAAGTGACTGTTATTTAGGGAGAGAGAAGGTGAGGGAGGGCTGGGGTGGAGAGTGAGGGGGTAGTAGGGATATAGCTCAACTTACCCCACTCCTATGGTCAACTTACCCCATACACAGGGTAAGTTGACCATAGGAGACCACTTTTGTTGGCATGCTATATTATCAAGACAGTTATGTTTACACTCATTCTGTTGGTTTGCAGGGATGCACAACATCTCATCTCACCCCACTCTACCCTAAGGGGGTTGCTCAAAATGTACATTTAACCAGATGTCTCTCTGTTTACTGAGTCTGAATCGTCAAAGCTTTGAATCTATTTTAAGCTCAAACACAGAACTTAATCATTTAATGATACCAAAGTCAAATCTGAACATTGAAACCGGAACTACCAGCATTTACATTCAATTCAGTATTATCTGAGACCAGAATCTGTTTCCACACATGAGCACTCAAGTGTTTTTTCATTACCTGGTTTATTGCTGCTCTGTTTAGTGTACCGACTCTCTTCAGCAGGGCAGTGGGTCTCCTGGCTGCCAGTCCTGTGATAACCCCCTGACCTCGCCGTCGAACCGGCAGGGGAGGGACCCTCCTGTTTCTCAATTTAGGCACTCCTCCGCGAGGCACGCCACCTCCTGGTAAATACAATAATGACAGCGTTAGACATCGTCGACAAAGTAATACAGCGTAAAGAAACACACAGACATGCAAACACCTCTGAGGAGTGGACCAGCAGCCCTGGACGAAACTCCTTTTCCTTGGATTAAACGGCCTTTCTTCCTAACTGGTCGACGGTTCACTGTGGCCTGCTTCCTTTTCAGCTGCTGCTCTTTCTTATTCAATCGAATAATATCATCTGTTAAAGACATAAGCAGTGATAAATTAATGCGATTTGATGCGTATATGAGATTTATGAGACTTGCGACCCAGCACCTGGTAACCTCCCACCAGCTAACATTAGCCTGTGCTCTATTTTAGTAACATTTGTTAGCTAGATAGCTCCTTACCTAATGACATGTCGACTTTATCAGGGACTGCTGTTTTCCTAACCCGCCCTGCTGAGAACTCATCTTTGTTCATGTTTAGAAGATAGGGCAAAATCCAGAGGGAAAGATACAAATAAACGACAATAGTAAACCGAGTCAGTTATACGCTCTTGTTGAAGCTACGCTACAATACACACGAACCTCCCCCTGAACGTAAACGGCGCGGCGCATGCCCCGTAAAGTCGCACACTTTGAATTGTGGGAAATGTAGTTTAATCCGCCCAAAGCGTCCTTACAAAACCCCCACACTAGCGTGCTCATGTAACCGGTTGTGTAAAGCAAAGTACGGTGAATGCTTACGTATTCTCTTCCTTGACTGCGAGAGGAGAACCTCGGCTGTCGTTGGTCTCACAAAGAATTACTTTAATTTTAGTCATTGCATGTTGCAGTGCATTTGGAGGAGGTGAGTTTACTGAGTTTAATGGTGAAATTCCTGTGCACCGTCGCATTTCATGTCATTCTACTACATTTTCATGTAGTTTGTGCTCTCTACCTTGTCTAACATATCCTTGTTTCTAATGTAATTTGGGATGCTTTTACCATTTCAGCTCTGTTTTACTTGCAGTTCGTCCTTTTCCTTTGCTCCGAGACTAGTCTTGAGACTTGTATCCTACAGCAAATTTACTTCTGCACTCTCCTACCCGACCGAGTCATCGACCGCTCCAGTTATCATGTCGGATAAAAAGCGCAAGGCACCAGCTGCATCCAAAGAGCCCAGCGCCAAGCTGCAGAAGCTGACCCCCGTGAAAGAGAAACAAGCGAAAGCAGAAGGATGGCTGCAGGAGCATCTGAAGCAGCAGAGGACAGAGATGAACGACATGAAATTTAACAAGAAACGCCGTCAGTTTATATCTGATGCTGAGAAGATAAAGCAGGGCTCAGAGGGTGTCTTATACTGGATGTCACGAGACCAAAGAGTACAAGGTGAATATTGAACAGATAGTTGCTCTGTGACAGACATGTTTTAACATGCATACTCAAACTATAAGACCTCCTAAAGCCTCTATTTGCTCTGTTTCAACCGGCTCTTCTTCTGTGTATTCTAGATAATTGGGCACTGATCCACGCACAGCGCCTTGCTGTGAAGGAAAACCTCCCCCTTCACGTCTGTTTCTGCCTGGTCGTCCCAAAATCAGAGCTGTCCACTCTGAGGCATTACAGCTTTATGCTGAAAGGTCTGGCAGAAGTTGCAAAGGTATGAGTTTCTCACAAGTCAACAACCTACCACATATACCAACAACCTACCACATATACCATCATATCTCCTTGGGGTTTCATCTTATGTCAGCCAAGGTACTTACATCTACAACAAAAGTTATGTGTCCAACTTGTTGTCTTTCCCAAACAGGAATGCAAAAAGTTGGATATCCAGTTCCACTTGCTGCGTGGTTCACCAGGGGATGTCCTACCCGGTTTTGTCTCTGACCGTGGTCTCGGGGCAGTGGTGACAGACTTTTCTCCACTCAGAGAGCCTCGGCAATGGTTGGAGGATGTAAAAAAGAAGCTGTCAAAAGGCATTCCCCTCATACAGGTAGAAACTCTTTCGTTGGTGGGAGAGATTTTGTTTTATTTCCATATATGGTCTTTATCACATAAGTTCTCATAAAACAAATCAAACACTATTATTTCCCCACATTTGCTCTCAGTACTCCTTAACTATAATCTGTTTTACGAGGTAACAGAAACCCATCCTCCTTCTTTAGGTTGATGCCCACAACATTGTTCCCTGCTGGGTAGCATCACCCAAACAGGAGTATGCTGCCAGAACCATCAGAGGAAAGATCACAAAGCTTTTGCCAGAGTACCTCACTGATTTTCCACTGGTGGAGAAACACCCCTACACAGCCACAAGAACTGCCAAAGTAAGTGTCACAGCAGCAGTGAGAGCCACCTTGTAAATTTCAGAGAACATCTCACCAGGTTTTTTGGATTTGTCAAAATGACAAAACCATAATACAGCTTCAATGTATTTGCCTGAAAATTGTTTAAAGTTCACTGCAAAAAAGGGCTGTCAGTTAGGGTATTGATGTGGAGTTTGAAAGACAGACTGCTGCAATAAAACACAATTCTCTTGACCTTCAACCACCCTGCTCCTCTCCACATTATGTATTGATGTGAGAATATAAACAGTAGACTATTAGATTTACAAAAACTGAAATTTCCATCCAAGGTCAGTATATGAATGTTGCAGGAATGTGTATTTGAGCCTCATGATAACATAAACTTGGATGAAAGTCACAGAATTCCCTTCACATCCTTGTCAAAGATTTTGTTTTTATTTGAGTGCATTATTGCCTGCTGGCCTGCTGATTTTTGTCTTTCCTTTCCTTCAACTCACAGCACATAGACTGGGATGAGACCCTGACGTCCCTGAAGGTTGACAGAACAGTCGGAGAGACAGAGTGGGCTAAGCCAGGCACTAAGGCCGGGATAGCCATGTTGGAGTCCTTCATTGATGTTCGCCTTAAACTGTTTGACACCCAACGCAATGACCCAAATGCTCCTGCCCTCAGCCAGCTCTCTCCCTGGATTCGCTTCGGTCAGTAGTACCATGAAAAAGATACTGAGTGCAGAAAAAGTGCTGTCCTTTAGGGGCTCAAACTGTAAAATGATCAGATGTATAGAGCCTTTGGTATTGCTTTCTTTTCACATCTTTTTCTGAGTTTTTGACTATCAACCACTGGCATATGTCTGATGAAGAAACAATGTTAAAGTAACATTTACATGTACCTCTGACAGATGATAATACCATCCATCAACAGTTAAGCCTTATTATAGTAAAATGACCAAAAAAAGTGTCAGCATGGTTGAATAAGGTGTCCCACAGGGATCAGTACTGGTGACTGAGCCATTTTAACACCAAATATGTTAAGTGTTTAAATTTTGTCACCAAATCATCACGTCTGCTCTCAATGCTACCTCAAATTAATGTTTGTACCGCTTTACTTTGATATCAATTCACAGAATACATTACAGAGCTTGTCCACAATCTGCTGTTTTTTTTTAGCATCTTCTTTAATCACGATTTTTTTTCCTTCTATCAGGTCACCTGTCAGCACAGCGTGTGGCCCTGCAGGTTCAGCACAGCGGGAGAAAGGCAGGTGTGAGCGTTGCCTCTTACATTGAGGAGCTGGTGGTGCGCAGGGAGCTGACTGACAACTTCTGCTTCTACAACAAGAAATACGACAGTGTGGAGGGTCAGTTGAGATCCCTGAATGGGAAAAATTTTACCATTAGTATCAATGATCAGAAGTCTGCCTGTATGAAACACATTTGTCAAAGAAAGTAACTTATCATTGCCCCTTGTTTCTTGTAGGTTTAGTAATGTATTGTTGTACTAAATTGAGTGTGTGTGTATGTGTGGTACTCAGGTGCATATGAGTGGGCCCAGAAGACATTGAAAGATCACGCCAAAGACAAAAGGCCGTATCTCTACTCGCGTGAGCAACTGGAGAAAGCAAAAACACATGACAAACTCTGGAATGCTGCTCAGGTATAGCTTTTTCATCAGGTCTCACATCTACATACTCTTGCTCAAGAATACTCCTATTTTTCAGTGTTAGAGTGTGTTTACTGTGTCGAATTTTTCAGCTGTTTAAACTTTTGCCCTCAGAACCTGCTTTCCCAGTTCAGAATCAATCACTTTTGAGTCTATTTACCTCAAGCTTTATTTTTTTCTGCTTTTTGTTTAATTCCTCTTGTAGTACCAGATGGTCATTGAAGGGAAGATGCACGGTTTCCTGAGGATGTACTGGGCCAAAAAGATCCTGGAGTGGACTTCTTCACCAGAGGAGGCACTCTCAATTGCTTTGTACCTGAACGATCGCTACGAGCTGGATGGCCAAGACCCCAATGGCTTTGTCGGTGAGGACTCGAATCTTAATTGATCAAAGATGACACAGATAAACTGAGTTACGTTTTATAAATGCTGATACTCTCTGCACTTTTTCCACCTCTCATAGGATGTATGTGGTCCATCTGTGGCATCCATGACCAGGGCTGGGCAGAGAGACCTATTTTTGGAAAGATTCGTTACATGAATTATAAAGGATGCCTCCGAAAGTTTGATGTCCCCCGCTTTGAGAGGAAGTACTGCCCCAAAAACCTCTGAAGGTTTTAAAGGTTTAGACACAGAGGAATAAGATGTCTTAAAGCCTTTAAACATTTCAGCTTTATCTCAGGGAACTTTGTAAAGTGTTTTTTTCTATTACTTTACTGCTTGTTTAGTCTCAAACTATTTGTTCACGAATGCCTGACCAGTTCTTGATGCAGTGTTTTCAGTTATGTTGATCTTGTCAGAGCTGGGAGCCTTTACTTTACTGACTGTAGTGATGTTGTTTAACTTAACATTAGATAATGATAACTTGGTGCTTGAACTTTTTTTGTATTCCTATCATATGTTACTGTTTTCTTATCCCATTTTGAAGTGACTTGTTCTGTTTACTGTTTGTTTTTATCACATTGCATGGTATTTTATTATGCTTATTGTCTTCATACCAAACTGTAATAAATTTTATTTACAAATTCTTTTAAAAAAGATGTTTCTCTACAATTTTTAAATGTTCTATATTTTAGACCAGCTATACAACTTGAACATAATCATTTCCCCAATAATCTGAATAAGTGCATTCAAATTTGCACACAGTCTGGCTGAGAGTGGGGTAGTCTAGAGTGATGAATTAACTAAAGTGTATTACATTTATATTATAGCTGTAAAAGCAGTAGGTTCTGTTTAGAGATGCATCACAAAAACAGACATAGGTTATACACACAGCAGTATAATGACAGACCACATACACACATCAAACACAATAAAAAAGAGGAAGTAAAAAGTCTTGAGATGTTTCTTCAGCCTTAATAGAGATTGTCAGTCACAGACCTTTAACAGGTTACTTCAAGGAGGTGCTACAGAGAAAGCCCCATCCCTGACTTTTGCCTTCCTTAATCAAAGGAAAAGAACAGTCAATAGGCCCCACCGTGGGGAAATAGGGGGTCTGGTGGTTCTGTAAGAGTAGGGATATAACTAGGGGCAAGAATTGTAACTGGGTTATGTTAGTCAGGCAGATCTGAGTATCATCAGCTTAGCAGTGGAAGAAGATGTGAGTCGAGAGGATTTTTCCAATTAGAGTAATAACAGATTGAACTGCAGAGGACCTAAGGCCAAACCCTGGGGAACCCCACACGTGGGGGATGAATTGCTATTTGAGAAGATGGATTGTATATTTGAGACTTAGAAAGAAACTAGTTGAGGGCAGTTCTAGAAAATGCCAATCCCAGTTTGACATTTCAGGAGAACAGAGTGATCCATAGTTTCAAACTCTTTGCATATGGCATAACACAACCTCATCCAGATAATAAACATAAAGTTGTTTTATCTTCTTCTTGGGCATTTTTTTCTCCTTACATGGAATGACTGCTAAGTTTACTTTCAGAGCAGCTAATACTGCTACTACATAGGAATGTAGCGGTCCGTCTAATTGCCCTCAATGTTCTTAATGAGGGAGACGCCACAACTGGCAATACAGACAAATAAGCTGAACAAGAAAACAGAAGAGGAGGCAAAACTGAAGCACTGTAAAAATATAGTAGATTAAAATGGATTCAAATTGAACATTTAAAATCAGTGTGACAAGGGATATTTCCAAGTTGAAGTACAATTGACAATGATTTAACAAAAAAATCCACTAAAGAAATACGAACTGAAGCTCAACATACAAAACAAAAGATGAGAACATACAGTATCTTACTCTCCCCTTGCAGATGTGTTTTCTCAAATACAAGAGGCAATTAAACACAGAAACCCATGACTACCAAACCTAATTAACAGCACTGCCAGCAGTAAGGATAAAAAAAAAAAAAATCCTTGTATGTAGATATGGCCTTAACACCAATCCTCAAATCATAATGAGGAACTTTCTTTGCACTGTGAATTCTTTTGCTGTGTTCATTTCAGGCGAAAAAAGGGAGAGATATATGCAGTATGTCACCTGGGAGTTTTTTTTTTTTTTCTCGTTTGAATTAGTTTGAAACAAGCGAGTTTCATCAGTGCAAAAATGAAAGAAAGAAAAATCCATTGTACAATTTGGTCTCAGGTTGCTGGTGCTTTAAATTGTTTGAAAAGGCAATTTCATTCCCCTTCCAAATTAGACATAAGAAGAAAGAGTCCTGACGATTAAGGTTACTGTCAGCTTTAATGAATGTGGATCTATTCACCAATCTAATCAAGGACGAGGACTAAAATGTACTATAGGTTGATATTAAAAGAGATCGGGATTAGGAGAATTAACAGCAGTCACAGGACTGAAAGTGATCAAGTGACAAAAACCAGTGGATAACTGTGCAGGTGTGCATTACAGGTTATCAGAGGATGTAATTTCCTAGGGAAATATGGATGATTAACAGAGATAAGTGTGTGTTTTTTTGTCATGCTTGCCTTTATTTCTGTACATTATATACTGTATGATCTTTTGCTCAACATGCTTTGACACAAATGGATCGGAAAATGAGACAGGGGCGCAGTTCATTAGTGTATAATAATAATTCAGCATGGTAGGGATGCAGACAGTTCATAACATGAAATCATGTGTTAATCATGCAGTTAAATTAGACTGTCTGTGCTGTCAACAGGGACTGCAGTTTGTGTCGTACTTTTTGTGTTTTACTGATGAACCGTGGAGCCACAGGATCATGCATGATTAAAATTGTCACATGAGTCTGTGATCATTCTTCTCCCTGCAGCTCATGCACATAATCACAGCACTCTCTCTCTCTGTGCTACATGACTGTAGTAGTTTTTTTTTTAAAGTCTAATGAAGGTCAGTGAGAACCAGAGTTTATTTACCTACACAGGGAGAAACTGAGATCTGTATGCAAGTGGTCAATAAAGACGCATTTGGAGACATATAATGATAGAAAGTAAAAATTAATGTAATAACTCATTTATTTCCTTCATGTAATTTTTATTCCATGTGCCTCCTTTGTAATTCCAACCATACATTCAGGCTAGTAAAAAAGCAGTGATGATGCATGATCTGACAAGTATGCCCTTATTTAGGTATTCCTCTGCCACAGCTGTAAACAGATGAGCTGCCATGTTTTATGTACACTAAAGTATTGTTTTATCCAGTGCTGAAACAATACACTACGTCTGTCTGCATACCAATGTTTCATTTTAACTGCATCACATCAACACTGAGCCAAGAGACTGCTGCTGGTAATCTTCAAGGGTTTTTATTTTGGTTGAGGGCACAACTGGCTCCTCAGCATTATGCTTTCATAAACACAGTGTGGCAATGTGATCATGGGAGTTTAGAGAAAGGAAATCAGGAGACAAGTCTTCATCCTGTTATTCTACATTGTGCAGGATCATTGAACCCCCCTGTTGGCAAAGAAAAAAAAAACATGAAATGATAAAAGATTTTGAAGAGTTCTGTAAGAGAAAATAAACCAAATTTAATTTGGGTTTGTCTCATGTTGCCTTTGGTGTCTGCAAGCTCACATTATCCTCTTTTTTCACACCTATTGCTCTCCCAAAGAAGACCTTTAAAGCTCCCGTTCCCACTTAACATTTTACCTCTCATTTTACCAATCTCACATGCAATGAGTCTCGTGTTTATGTCCCATAAACCATGTCACTGGAACTGGCACCAGCCTCATTGTATCAAAAACATTATAAAGGAACTGGAGCTCCAAAGTTCCCATGTTCCCATGTGTTTTCTAATATCTACAGGTTTATCGATAAGTTAACAGCAAACAAAGATCCACCTCATAAATGATAACTCTTTAGTTTCATGAATAAATCTTAAAGCAACTGTTAATGACTTAAATTAGAGTCATAGAACTGAAAATGTCACACCTCTCTTCAACAATGTCAACCGAGCACTTTGGTGACTTTCTATTGGATCTAGTTCTAGTAAAAATTTGTTTTTGCTTAGTCATTGCTGACTTCAGTCAAAATGAAACCCATCACATCTCACATTAAGGACAATTTGAGGTTTAATTTCACAGCATCCACATTGTACTCACATAATTCTGGAAAGTTAGGCATGGAATCACTTATTGCATTACATAGATGATTCAGATCTTTGATCAGGTCCATTTCAGAGCTATTCCATAAACAGTGTATTGCCATTGTAATAGGAGTGTGTAGATTTTTCTTCATTAGTGTTGGTGTGGCCGACTAACCCAGTGTCATTGTAACGTTGTTTGTCCGAATCCATCTGGAAGCTCGCCTTCTTTTTCTGTCCTCCTCCCACTTTATGTCCTCCATGATTTCATTTCTTCTCTGGGATTGCCTCAGTAACATCATCTTTCCCTTTTAGCCCTCATAACTATCCTTTTTATTGGCTCAAATTTTCCCTCACATGTCCACCAAAGCTGATATTAGAGAGCTAAAGGGAAGATAAGCTTGTCCCCTTGCAGACCTTTTTACAAACATGTACACCTCAACACCACGCAGATTTATATTTCAGGCAGTCCTCAAGCTGGTGGTCCTGATGGAGTCAGGGTATAAAACAAGAACAAAGACAAAATGTACTTATCTGTTTCAAAGCCTAAGAAAAACTGAGAAAAAAACATCTGCAGGCACATCTTACTATCCAAGGGGTCATCTTACTATCCACAGGGTTTCAAGAGTACACACTGACAAAACATTCATGTTTTCATTATATAACAGGGAGCACTTCATCAGGTCCAGTGCATTAATATATATATATATATATATATATAAATGTTCTATTTACAGTTTCTGTTTTTATCACTTACAATCGAGAATAAGGGGCACATGAGAAAAAGGAGATTTCCAGAATAAAGTCATTGTGAAATTATGAAAATAAATTTGAGAGAAATGTTTTACATATTTCAAGAAAAGAAGTACAACTTGATGAGAAATGAGACAGAGTAAGTCATAAAATTACATGATGAATTGTTGTCAATCCACAATAATACAAGAAAAATGTGTAAAATGTGAAAAAATTGAAGTGATACATTTACAAGAGGACAAAAGAAAACACTCACAGGCTGCGAATTAACCTGGTCTTCTCCAGGATGGACACAGTCCCTTGCACTATTATTTATTCACACGCCTAATACTTAATGACAGTTTGGTGCATATTTCAGTTATTTATAAAACCTTATACTCAAGTATAACTTCACAAAACACTTCACATTCCTCATTCCTCGTGTAGCACAAGGAGGGGGTGGACTTGCTGGTTCTTCTTTGAACTTGACTCAAACTGAAGCAGACTGTGTGTTTGAAGTTGTTGCCTCTAAACATGGGGACAGTCTTCTGCTAGAACTGAGAATTGAGGACACGGTTGATGTTTTACCCTCATGTGGACCCTTATGTTCAGACTTTGTTTAGTTTGTCTTTGACTGCCTTTATGTATTCTGAATATATATATTTTTTGCATTTTTTCTCTTATATTGCAAAGCATTTTGTTACATCTGCTCTTGAAATGTGCTTTAAAAATAAACTTGACTCGTTTTCCTCATTTTGGGTCATTTCTTCAATTTCTTGACCTGTATATTTATCATCTTGGAGTAATAAAGCTTCTCTTTTGTCTCAGCAGGATCATTTTCTGATGCAAACCTACCTCTTTACGTAAAACCTCCATACTATTTGAACCCAATCTTTGCATCTGCTTATAAATATCCCTTTAATGCCTTTTTAACATATTTGATACATACTTTTATGATACTTCTATCAAATCAATATGATCAACAAATCACAAAGAAAAAAAAATCACATGAATACAGTCCAATAAATGATAAAAATGTCCTTTTGTGGTTTATCAGTTTCCAAAAACATCTAATGTATCAAAACAGATAAATATATATATTTGTTAAATTTTAAGGACATTTAGATTTTTTGTTTTTTCAGTAGTGAGTGAAAGAAACATTTCGGCTCAAAAAAATTGAATTTTCTGGCCATAATTTGTGGTTTAAGGTATTAAAGGGATATACTCGATATGTTTCTTCCTCTGCTTTTTTGCAGTGACTCTCATTTTCTCCTCTCATTCTTTTAAACAGAGGCCATTGGCTAAATTGATTTTAGACTTTCAGTCATTGTGCTGCGCTGAGTCATCTGTAAAGTGGAGTGTGTCGACCATCCTTTGGAGAAGCAGGTAATGTGACGAAACATCTCTCTGAACCTGGTGGACATGAGGTTGTAGAGGATGGGATTGACAGCAGAGCTCAGGTAGAAGAAGACTCCAGAAACAATGTGGATTGGGCCGAATAAATATTGATGCTCCACATCAGAGGTGTCCATGTAACTCCACATCAAACGGTCTATGTGGAAGGGAGCCCAGCAGAGTCCAAATACAATCACCAGCACACCTGGACCAGCCAGACAGAGAGTTCAAGTTAATAGAAGGCAACTGGACATACAGGTCATGGACTATAATAATAAATGATTGTCTGCTTCCGTTTTCCCTGTCGCCATGTTTTTTTATGCAGCAAAGAATAACCATTTATGAACCAACGGGTGGCACAGAGTAGTGAGGGTTGACAAATGCCAAGTTATCAAAGCCTTTGAATCTGTCCCTATTATTCGATACAAGGGTAATTCCTTTTTTGTCACAAGCAAAGATTTATTTTGATTTTCATGCTTGACATTTGGAAAAGATTGCTCTTGCTTGCCTAAATCCCTGTTAGAAACCAACCAGGCAACTCAAATAGCAGGTTTTCTTAACAGTGCTGGAAAAAAGCCAATAACAAAGCCACAAATACATTACTCTATGGAAAATACCAAACATGCTATCAAGCCAGTTGCTACTGCCTAGAAGGTCAACTAAATAACACTTGAATTGAGCTCATTTCCAAAAAGCTTCAATGCAGACCTCTTGGCAGGCCTGTTAGTGCATCAAAATCCATATAGAGATATGAGTTGAGAAAAAGCTGGAACGATTGAACATTTATGTTAATATCTGTCAAAACAAATGATAAAAGGTGCAACCAGGTACAGTGGAAGTACAATCTCACTTACACTGTCGGTTGTTTTGTCTGCTTTCTGGCCCTTAGCAGTTTAGTGAGAACATTACTGACATGACACTCACTCAGCATTTTGGTGACCTGCACGTTGCGCTTGCTCAGCTTCTGCTTTTGGGACTTGGAAAGACTTTCAGGTCCAAAGCTTCCCCTGGGGTCCACCATAGTTAATGCCTTCTCCCTGCGCAGCTGTAGGCCAATAAGCAGGTAGAGGATGCTGATGATCAGCATGGGGAGCAAGAAAAAGACCAGCGTGGAAATCAGGATGATCAGGTTGTACATCCAGGGAGGCTTAACCACTTCTAAAGATAGAGATGAAACAAAAGGGAATAAACATAGATATTAATTGGTTTATTAATGAATGAACCATGGGTTTCATGGCTACATTCCAACCTGAAAAACCCCCAAGCTCACTGGAGACAAGGCAGGGCAAGTTAATTTATAAAGCACATTTGAAAACAAGGCAATACAGAGATCCTCAAACAAGACTTTAAAAGAAACATTAAAAGGGTCAGAAATAAACATGGAGGAAGATAATATGAAGAATCATTAAAAGGTGACATTTCAAATAAGTGAAACAAACCATTGACACTCAAAGCAAGAATAGATAATTCATCAAAACACATCAGAACAGAAGGTTAAAATATGGTAATGTTTAAAATAGGAGCATAGAAATTTACAGTGCCAAATTGTCCAATAAAAATGGAACTCAAAATGATTCATGGAAATTATGGAATAAAAGGCAGCCGTAAACAGCTGAGTCTTAAACACTGATTTAATAGAAAGATAGCAGCAGACCTGACATTTTCTGGTCATTTAATTTCTGGTAGTGGCTTGATTACAGCAGTTTTTAGAGACCTTTGCAGAACAGAGTTCAGGGGCTTCTGACACAGGAGGGTTTGTTTGCCTGTGCATTATTATTGTGTTTGGAGATTATGTTGGAGAACAAAGATTGCTTTGCATCTCCCAGTTGTGAATAACAAATGCAAAGTCTCTCTTTATTGATAAATCCAGAGATTTATTTTTTTCCTCTTGAATCCAGCTTTTCAATTTTCTCTTTTTTCATTTCCTACCAATGTGGGATTCTCTTCTGAACATGCCAGCAGTATATCAGCCTCAACTAAAATGCACTGATCCCAGCCACCATTTGATTGAAACTCATCTCAGCCCCACTCATCTGTGATCTGAAGCTTTGGGTCCATAAGTTTGGGTTGGAGTGCAGTTCAACTGGTAAATTGAAAGCTTTGCCTTTTGGCTCAGCTCCCTGTTCATCATTTCCCAACACTGCTGACACTGCACCAATGTACCTGTCAATCTCACGGTCCATTGTACGCTCACTTTTGAACAGATCCTGTTTACCTCTCTGTTTTTGCGGGGGTTGTTGTTTTTCTTTCCTTTTCTTGTCTTCAGTGTGAGGAAATCAATTTATTTGTGTCTTAGAAAGTCCCTGATACAAGAGGATTTGAACCCAAGACCATCTCACCCAAATGTTGCAGGCTTGACAACACCACCAGCTGGCCTTCCAATGTCTGTCTGGGTCTTTTCTTTGCAGGTCTTTGTTTATTAGGGTTTTTAATTAACTGGGTTTACTTTTCAGAGTGAGGAAACATTTCATTTATGCCAAACTGTATAGTACTTGTTTCTGGAGGGTCCAAAGCAGGATCATTTCACCCCTTGCTACAGGATTGTCTGTCTTTGCCTGCCTTTTAAGGGCTTTTTTACTGCACCAGTTAATCATAACCATTAAAAACCTGAGCCAACTCTACTGTGTAAAGAAAGCAGTTAATTTTTGCCCCACAAGAAAAGCCCTGATTAGTGGGGAGTTGAACCCAGAACCATATCACTCAAAAAAAAAGAGCTCTGACCACCGCACCACAGGCCTGCCAAAACAAAAAACACTTTTTTGTTATGTCTTTTGTGCAAAGCTGGATGTAAACTACAGTGTGAGGAAAGAACTTCATTCGTTGCCAAGAAGCTTAGTCTCTGATCATTCAAACTCTGAAGCGTTTCACTCAAGGACGGCAGCTCTCACCACCAAACCATAAGCCTGCCAGACTGAGCCTGCCTTCAAAAGTTGTTCATCTCACCAATTCATGATGATATTTGTCCGAACTATGGTTTTTACTTAGGGCAGCATTTAATTTCAGCCTTACATGGACAGTCTTGGTCTGGATATGATGAGTACAGAGACAGTCTTAAAGGTCAGAGGTCATGACCACCATGCTGGTTATTTTTCCATTCAATTATGGGGTTTTTAAAAAGCTGGGTTTAGGTTAAAGTGTGAAACATTCATTGTTTCACTCTAAGGCTTGGTTGATACTTCTGCACTGAATCTTCTATGTAACTGTAGAGTAGTGGACTCTGAAACAAAAGCAAGTAGAAACACATCTAGAGGAGTCCTGTTCAACAAAATCAATTGTATGATATCAAATGAAAATTAGAATAATAAACAAATATTTCTTTGGGTGTGGTCTGCATAGAGGGGCTCCGGAGGCGGGGCTTGGATTTGTGATGTAGGAAATTTCACTGTTTCTGAGCCTGCCATCTGGGTCTGCCAGAGATTCACATTGGTTTGAATGCAAAAATACTCAGAAATGCAATTTCGCACTCAATTTTCTCATGATATCTCTCTGCCATATGAACATGTAGACAACAAGAAAAACATGAATTTCATCGGATTTGGCCTTTAAGCAAGTCAGCATTGTTGACTCAGGTACTGGTGTAGCTGTAGACCAGGCATGTCCAAACTATTCCACAAAGGGCCATGTGGCTGTAGGTTTTCTTCCAACCAATCGAGAGCAGCAGTCTGACCTATCAGCTGTCTGAAGACTGGGATCAGCTGATGAAATGAATCAAGTCTGGTGTGCTGCTGCTTGGTTGAAAAGAAAACCTGCAGCCACACGGCCCTTTGTGGAATAGTTTGGACATGCCTGCTGTAGACCCTTTACAACAGTAAAAACAGAATCAAAAAGCTATACATACTGCACACTGCAGATTGGGGAAATCTCCGTCCAAATAATGGGTCCAGCTCCTCTATTCCTTGTAGGCTGGTGTTTGGTACAGCACACAGCATGGACAGCACCCACAGAATAAAGATCATCCTCTTGACACGAGCACGTGTAGTCATATGTTTGACTTTAAGGGGGTGCACCACCGCCACGTAGCGCTCCACACTGAGTGCTGTGACATTGAGGATCGATGCGAAGCAGACGGTCTCAAACAGGAAGGTTTTGAAATAGCAGCCTCCCTCCCCGAGCAGAAAAGGGTAGTTTTGCCACATCTCGTAGAGCTCTAGCGGCATCCCTAGTAGAAGAACCAACAAGTCTGACACTGCCAGGCTCAGCAGGTAGTAGTTTGTGGGTGTCTGCATCACCCTGTAGTGCAAGATTACTGCACAAGTCAGGGAGTTGCCTAGAACGCCAGCTAAGAAGATGGTGAGGTAGATGATACAGACAGGAAGAAACTCAGGGGACCTCCGTACCCCCAGATGCAGATTCAGGTACTCCTCTTCACTCATGCACAACACTTCAAGCTGTTTCACGGTAGCATTTGTCACAACCAAGGAGACGTTCATCCCACATGCCACAGAAACCTCAGGGCAGTCAGGGCCGCTGAAAATTGTTGCACTGGATGGGAAAAGACCTGCGATGGAACAGTTCGATTCCATCATGTTGCCAAATAGAGAGAAGGTTGAAGAGCTCTGTGACCTGATGGAAAAAATATGAAAAGGAAGTTTAAAAAAAAAAAAAAAAAAAATCAAATGATCAAGATGACACTATCTCCTGTAATCTTTGCTGCTGACATTTCAAATCTAGAGTTTCTACAGTGTATGCATTGTACAAAGTTTTCACTCAGAGCTTAATTTCAATATTGAAATGGAGGGGGGAAAGGGATTGAGCTCTCGAGAGATTAATCCCTTTCGCTTCTCTAGTTTTACAAACTTTATTAACGACCGCACAATAGCAATACACGGCCGTCTAAGGAGCCACGCATGAACCTCAACCAAAAAGCCACTTTATAGCCACAAATAATGCTCAGAACAGCACCTAATTTCATGATCATAGCTGTTCTTCCTTGAGCTGTGTCACCCCACTGCAGTCGCTAATGGACTCGTCTGAGCTCACAAGCCGCTGCAGGAAGAGAGTGGGTGAGTTGTGTTTAGTCTCTTTGCTTAAGAAATTAGGCAAAGTTAAAAAGATGTTTGATGAATAGTACTATGGCTGAGACCTTATATGTACTGTTGATGGTATAACTAGAGAAGCAAGCAGTCGGCAACATTCATCTCTCGAGGGGGTGTCGAACTCGGTGTTACGGTGTGTTTGACTCTAACTTAATTTTGCACCGGAATATCACTTTGAGATGAAACAGATATTCTTATTTAGTTTGTATGGAAAATGTCGGTGTTTCATGTTAAATTCTGTCATCTCTTGGATGCACATTGGCTATGGTTGGCCTGGAGATCATATCCCCCCCTCTACTACATTGATTTTTGAACTTTATCGAAATCTCTGTCAAAATGTACATTGCTACCCTAGTCTAATTAAAAAAGTAATAAGACAAATCTAATCTACTTTCCACAAAAATTGAATCATCCAGTTAGTTAGACTTTAAGAGGCATAAACAGTAATTCAAGTGTCAGCAGAGGAATCCGAATGAACAGTAAAACTTTTGCCAGTTAAACTGTATCTTTAAGAGCTCTAGCAAAAGCACTATTTTAGTAATGTCCTATTTTTAACTAACTGCTTTCAAAAACCACATTTTCTTCCCCCCAGTAGCTCCACCATAGGTCTTGCCTATCAGAGTTATCAGGAAAACCACAATTAAAGTGGGATTGATGGACTGAACAAAGCAGTCAAATCACTTTAAGATAAAAAGAGTAGACTTACAGCATCACATTCGAAAAATTTGTTTGACTAGTCTTCATAATACATAGCAGAGCTAAAAAAAACTGTTTTAATGTGCACTTTTATGTTTATTATGATCTGACACAAAAAATGTAGTTAAAAACCAACAATGTTGTCACTGCGTTATATAAAGAGATATTTATGTTCATCTGAGTACAGACTCCAGAGTAGGTTTTGTTTAGATTCCCACACTGGATTTGTTTACCACTCCATGAGACATGACTTATTAAGATGAATTCCAGTGAGAAACAAACAAAAAAGCACACACACCTGTAGTTTGAAGGCTCCTAAAAGGCTTTCTTCTCTTCTCATTTACAGGCTGAACCTCATTTGAAGAAGTTGAAGAAGATGTTTGGTCATCCCGGGCCACCACATCACTGCATTACAGTTTTTCTAGCACTTCATCCGAACTGCTTTGAAGCTTTAGTGCGTCACAGCTGCACTGACTTCCCGTACTTGAGCTCCCTCTCTCTCTGTCTCTCTCTCTCTCTGTCTCTCTCACTCCCTCTTTACCGGAGTATCTTGTTATCAGATTCTTCACCTTTCTCCATCTTCAGTTTCAATATCTTTCACACATGCTTGAGCTCACACACGCTCTGTCACACTTCCATTATTTTTCAGCATGAACCTACAGAAACTCTATACCAGGTCAGTCTGCACCTTATTACATTTCCCATTGAAGGATGTCATGAGGATGCTCTATGAAGATTATAGAGGAGATTGTTTTGAGGCAGAGGACACTTGGACTTGGTGTCTGTGTGCTACAGGGGCATAAAGAAAGAATATACTGTGCTGCACACTATGTATAACACTATCGTCATGTAATTTAAGTCAAGGACCAAACAAACACCCCAAAATTTCAAAGATGAAATTAAAAGACTATGTTTGAGATGTAAAATAAAACTGATAACACTTTATTTGACACCTATCTCTACATATAATGCATTATGATCACATTATAGCACTGTATAACTATAGTTATAAACACTCATAAATGATCATAATGCTTTATAGCAAAATCAAATAACATTATAAATCATTTTATCATGACTTACAAGGTCAGGTTTTATAATGTGTTATAACTGTTAGCAGCAGAATTGTATTATCAATGTGAGCATTGTCAGTGAGTTGTTAACAGTTATAACACATTATAATACTGACCTTGTAAGTCATGAAAAAATGAGTTATGATTATTGCTATAAAGCATTATGATCAATAATGAGTGTTTATAACTGTAAGTATACAGTGCTATAACGTGATTATAACACATTATACATATACTTATAATGCACTATAGAGAAAGGCATCAAATAAAGTGTTACCATAAAATTCATTCATGAATCCTATTTTTTATTCAGAGTTGCACAAAGATGATAAAACAAATAGTAACAACAACTGTGACAAACCTTAACTCAAAAGCACTCATGTTTCACAGAGGATGAATCTCTTTGACTTTACGGTACCAGGTCAACAGTGTTTAAGTAAACGACCACACCTGTCAACTTTTGGATGGATCAAAAGAGAATTTGATTTGAAGCTCTCATGGTCCAAATAAGGGATCCAAATAATTTCCTGAATTTAACTCTATCTGCAGCAGGAAAGTCAAACCTCTCAGCTTTTGAATTTTTTCAACATTTGTTACAGTAAGCAGCTTTGGCTCCATTGTGGAGTCGCATCTATTCAGAAGGTTGTTGGTTCAATATTGTTAAATATGAGTAAGACTGTGAACCCCGAATTTCTCCAGATGGCATTGCCAGGGATGTGTGAATTCCATCAGTGTGTGAACGAGTGGGTGTGACATGCAGTCAGATGACTAGAGAAATGCTTAATCAGTACACTCAATTCGGATAGATAGATAGATAGATAGATAGATAGATAGATAGATAGATAGATAGATAGATAGATAGATAGATAGATAGATAGATAGATAGATAGATAGATAGAAGCTTTCTGTTGGCAAAGTGAAGCTCTGAAAAAATTCTAGCAGGAGGTACTTGAATGAGGAAAGGCGGGTAAACAGGATTTACTTATATCCATGTTTGGGCAGAGGCTTTGATTTCAAGTAATTCATGATAATTATGGTTGTCCCATTCAGCATGTGAGTCATCAGGTGTGCTTTTGTGCCTGAACATTACTAAGTGAAACGTTGTACTCCCCAAGACACTGACTAGTGTATTCCCAGAACCAAAACACAATTGGTAAAAGTCATATTGATATATACATGCAAGCTCAGGGGAGATATTTGACTTGCTAAGATTTTTTTTTCTCATCAGATTATTCCAGTTCGAGGCATCCTGCTCAGTATATTTCCAGCAAAGTGGGTGTGAGGACTGGGGATTCATGTGCGCAATAAATCATCAGCGAGGCATCTGTCAGAGGGGCAGGAGATTCACAGTTTTGGTACTCTGCACATGCCTGTCTGACTCTGTCTGCCCCATCACACACATTCCCCCCAACCGGCTCCCCCCTGCGCCCCTCTGCAGTGGTGTCTAATTCAATCACAGTTTAAATCCCAGCGCAGGGGCTCTGATACTTAGTAAGCGCAAAACTGACATGTTCTCTTTGGTGACTTCATTTAGTCCAGCATTAATTGGTCTTCGGTGTCAGACTAAGTGAGACAAAATGCACTAGGTGTGATTAGAGTCCCTCAGCACATGCTAGGTCGGCTCTGTCTGTTTTAATTTGAATTGACTGTGATGCTGAAATTCTGGACAAATATGTACATGGAGTTGATTGAACAAAGTTTTTTTTTTCTTCTAAATTTATATCCAAGGCATAATAAAATGTCAAGATCTCTCAAAAAATAAAGTATTTTCCCTGATGTCTAATCACAATGATAGCTGCACAAATGGAACCTCTGATGTGACGTAGACTGTGTTTCATTCAAACCTGAATATAGGGATATCTTTCAATTATCTCTTGACTCTCTCCAGTCCACACACAAGTAGACTTCACAAGTGTATCCATCTAATTTCTAATCAAAACCAATACTGGATGGTTGTGATCTTCAGATCCTCGGTCAGCAATGTTCAAAACAGAGATCTCTGCACTGGAAATCATTGTACCGGCTTTAAATCACTCCCATATAACAAATGTCTGTAAACACAGTCAGTTGCTGCATCCACAAATGCAGATTTTAACTGTACCAAACATTAGGAAATGAGACATTATGTACCATGATCTAGAAAGGCTAGCAACTATTCTGGGCCTGACCACATTTGAGATAGACTGGGTGATCCCAGGTTAATACGTCAGCATTCACACTTTTCAGGGGCTCCCATTTGGTCACTCGTTGTTAAATAAATAAAACTGTTTTGCCTATGACGATAAGATGGATAACAACATGTCAACCTGAGAATATTGCTCGGACTATAATGTTCTGCAGTTCTGACTGGCCTTCAGTCGGTTGTCTGCAGAGAAGCAATCACTGTTAATTTGTCTGATTTGGTTTCGTCCTCAGGTAAGTGTGCAGCTATTCACTCACTCCACAACAGTGCTCTCCTGACGTTTGTAATCTGATTGCCCACTGACATCAGTCTGATCGTGTACCAGGTTATTGGTCATTAAGGCAGCTTTATTTCAGCAAAAGAAAAAGAAACCAAACAACAACAACAAAAATAAATGATAAAAAAAGAACGATATTAAAGTGTTAATCTTGGACCTTTATTGCATTGCTGTCGACATGTTAACCCTGACAGTCCTTATTATATAACTCATATTTATTCAGTGTATTTTCTCGGGTCAGATTAAGCCTCTGTTTTTATCTCCATGCAGAGCTGGTATTGGTGTCCAGGGAAAAACAAGTGCAGTCTTGTGAAGTGTTTCCTTTCCATATCCATATTTATATTTAGCCCTCACATATTCTTTTCCTACCTTCGTCTAAAATAATAATTTATTGTGAATGTGCTCCATGCACTTGTTAAAATTTATTTCCTTAGAGATACCAGAGAAGTCAAAGTGTCATAAGTGAGGTGGCTGGCTGATGTTGACTCACAGCGCGACTTCTCCTCCATACCAGCATCTTTTGGTCTGCAGCTTCATATAAGAACAGATATCATGAGAATTTATGCCAGGCTGCATTATTCCAACTGAACACAGTCCTCTCAGGGCTCCCTCTTCACTTTTATGAAAAACCCTTCATAGAAGTCGGTTTTCTGCTGTATTCATAACCTATATGAAAGAAGAGGTGTAGCCACTGTGATTGAACTCACTGGTTTGTGGACCACAACCAGAAGTGATCCTATAATGAAGAGAGGATAGTGCCTGATAGGAGCGAGGAGGGGGCAAGTCGAGTTATCAGCTAACAATAGCATGGCATGGTTAGCAAACAGCACTCATAGTTTACAGTAATTGAAATCCCAATCAGTAACCCAATTCAGTTAGCATAATGCAGGCCTTCACATATCACATATCACAAACATAAACACTGGACTTCTCACGGTGAATAATGGCACAAGAAAAAAGCTGGTTTTGTCATGTGCATGAGGCCAGTGGACAATGTTCAGATACAATCACAGCATGCTGTATGGCAGTATGATCTCACTTATGATGCTACTTATGTAAAACACTTGTGTACAGTTGTTAAAAGAAAAAAAATCAACAACAGATTGTTTTTCTGGTTTATTAGTTTATTTCATGGAGCATGGTATCTTCATGTGTTAACAAGATCTGATTATCATTGTATTCTGTTTTTATTCACATTTTATGCTATGTTCCTGCGCCTTATTGGAAGTGGGGTTTGTAAAATCAAGAAGTCCAGCATGCTAAGGCATGCTGAGGAAAGTCAGCCAGGGAAAGAAGACAGGCTTAAGGGAGGACCCCACCACCCCTGCAGCTGCCTTAACAAGGTTAACCCCCAACTGTTGACCTCCCTCCTGAGCCAAAGCCAGAAGCTGACTCTCTTTGCCTCCAAGCTTATTCACAACTTAGTGTAGGTTTGACCCCATTATGCCAATGACCCGGAATAAGTGGACAACTGTGCTGCTGACAAAACCTCTTCACCTAACCTCCATAGGATACACACTGGTTTTCCAGATCCCCTTTGGACGACCCACTGCCAGTTCAGAGTATTTCAGATGTTTCCATCCATTGGCTGCTGATGCCCTGTTTCCGAAGGATGGTAAACTCTATGATGACTCTTTTTCTACTGCAGACCACATGACAAAATATGGTGTGAGGGTATCATCATGAACTGTCTTGGGAAGACCAGCAGCTTCCTCAATGTCTGAATATGGTGGTCGCTTTGCTTGTAAGAGACATGTTTCTATCTGGAACAGGCTGCTTGTGCCTGTTTTCTCATGTTTATTTATTTTATTTTATTCTTTATTTTGTATTTATTTATTAATTTTATTTTATTCTTATTTTTTA